TGGCGGTGTCGCCTCGGCATCCGTACCTTTTCTCGTGTGGTGAGGATAAGATGGTTAAGTGTTGGGATCTGGAAACCAACAAGGTTATTCGTCACTACCATGGTCATCTGAGTGGCGTTTACACGCTGGCCCTGCATCCTCGTCTTGATCTGCTAGTTACAGGTGGTCGTGATGGTGTGTGTCGAGTTTGGGATATGCGGACGCGGAGCAACGTCCACGTTCTGGGCGGACACAAAGGCACTGTCGCGGACATCAAATGTCAAGAAGCCGATCCACAAATCATCTCTGGATCGCTGGATTCCACGGTCCGTCTGTGGGATCTGGCTGCTGGAAAGAGCATGGGCGTCCTTACACACCACAAGAAGGGTGTCCGCAACATCGCCATCCACCCCTCCGAATTCACCTTCGCCAGTGCCAGTACCGGAAGCATCAAGCAATGGATGTGCCCCAAGGGCGACTTCATGCAGAACTTCGAAGGCCAGAACTCAGTCATCAACTCCCTCGCCGTAAACGACGAGAACGTCCTCTTCTCTGGTGGTGACAACGGCTCCATGTCTTTCTGGGACTGGAAAACCGGCCACCGCTTCCAGTCTGTCGAGACCACTGCGCAACCAGGTTCCCTCGAAGCCGAAGCTGGTATCATGGCTTCTACTTTCGATCGCACCGGTCTGCGTCTCATTACTGGTGAAGCTGATAAGACCATCAAGGTCTGGAAGCAGGATGAGAATGCCACACCTGAGACTCATCCCGTTCAATGGGCTCCCACTCTTGGTAGACAACGGTACTAGAGCAATCACCAGCATAACCAGCCATCGTGATCTATGTTCCGATTTCTTAATACCCTTCTTTTTGTTTCGCCATCAAGTTCTTGTATCGGCACTATGTGGAGTTCAGCGTGGTCTGTGGTCAATCCTGGGGTTTGAACCACACAGATATGTTTGGGGAGCTATTTCCTGGAAAGGCTCATGTTTTCAAAAAGAAACTGAAGTCGTTTTGTACTATACAAATTTCAATCGAGTGAAGCGATGCTCTATCTACCAAACATGTCAGACATATAAGAAGATAACATGCGTAAGATTCGAATTCTGCCTGAGATGGATGTCAATCTACAGTGAAAAAGCCCAGTTGACCGAAAGGGTATCATATGCAAACTAAAGTGCGATAACACTGACTCCAAATAATGCGTCCTTGAACATATCAGCGGACCAATAACAAAACCCCACCGCCATCATTGCTCAATACCCAAACCAAGGCCCTTAGCCTCAACATCCTCCCGGAATGCAGACCTAACATCCTCGGCCGCAACTCTAAGCCGAACCTTGCTGCTGCGGTCACCCCTTGTGGGAATCGTAGTACCACCAAGTACACTCTTAGACCCAGTACCCTGCTCCAGCGCAAGAATACCCGAGTTCATAAGCTCCATAGCCGCATATCCCATGGAACGCACTCGAGCGCTGGGACCGCCACCTAGCAGGAACTCTTTCACGCCAGCACCGGCGGCACCAGCAACGGCAACAGCTGCATCGGCGATGCGGCGTGCTTCGTCTAGGATGTCGCCAAATGTCGATTCCGAGATACCTGTTCGGGCCACTCGGGCTAGAAGTGCAGCGAGGAAAAGCTTGCCCGATAGAGGCAGGCAGCGGAGGGATTGTTGGAGGGGGGTAGATGTAGCTTCGTGGATGGCTTGCTTGATCGTGGCGATGGTTACTCGGCCTGGTTGGCCCTTTGCGGGTCCGGTTTTGGGGGTTGGTAGGTCATTGGCCGCCACTGCTGCCAATGCCTTGTTGCGTCGGGCAGGAGTTTTGCTCGGTGTGGGAGGCAATGACTCTGTCTCTTCTTTTTGTGTGTCCTCTGCCGCGGCAGCTTCGTCAGCCGCTTGCTCGGCGATTTCGACGGCGCGGCGGCAGATGTCTAAGGCTCTTCGGGCGTCACCGCTGACGGCTGCTACCTTCCGACTGGCGAATTGGACGGCATCTGGGTCCACGATGTTGCCGGGGACGTTAGCGAGACGGGTACTGATAATCTCCATAAGGTCTGTGTGTCTGTATCCTGGGAAGGTGATACGGGTTAGACCGAGACGACTGGAGATTTTGTTGCTGAGAGTTCTCTCGGGAAGATCCATGGTGTTTGCGACGGCTAATACAATCAGTCGAGAGTGGCGGAGAGCAGGCCAATTGAAGAAATTGTACATGACGGACTGGTTCTTTGTAACCAGTTGGTCCAACTCATCCATAAGCACCACACAAGATACCCGGCGAGGCGAGGGGTGGGAGAATTCCCGCTCAAGCAGATCAAGTGCATGGGAGGGCGAGACTCGATCACCCTTCAGGGCTTCCCACAATAGGGAGTAGGACTGGTGCGGATCTGTGACTTTCATGCCGTTAATCTCAACAAAGATGAAATCGTCCATCTCTTCTTCAAGCACGGCGCCATTCAGCTGTGCAACTACTTCGCGCACTGTTGCTGTCTTGCCCGTACCGGGGGTACCTGAGATATAGATACAGGCACCTGTGCCCTCCATGATAGCAGCGCTGAGGTGGTTGTAAACAGTGTTGAATTCAGTCTTTCGGCATGGCAGTGAGTCTGGAACAGTTGAGACGTGAAGCAGGTTGCGGGCTTGACGATAGGGGGATGCGAAGTGCGTAGGGGAAAGGACTCGTGTGCCCAGTGGTGTGAACTCAAGGGGCTTCTTGACCACGATCCTAGCAGATTGTCAGCGTTGTTTGATCACTGTTTCTTGAGCCATTTCATACCGTTTGTGGGTTGGGGTGGTCAAGGCCTTTTTGCGCTGTGACTGCGGCGTAGCATTCCCTGTCGCCAGTCGTTGTCTCTTCCTTGGGGTGCTGGGAGCTGCAATCTCCTTGCTGTCGACGTACTGTAGACCCTTTATTAGTACCACAGCTTCTGCTTCTAGACTATGCATTGCGACTCACCTCGTCGTCCGCAGCCCTGCGTTTCCTCGAACCCTTCAAGCCCTCCTTGACCAGATCGATCAGATCATGGATCCTGTCTTGGTTGTATACCTCCTCCCACACAAACTCATCCGTGTATCTTCCCTGGACCTGGTTCACACCTCGTCGACAAACAATACACTTGTTGTATTCCGCCAATTCGGTTTTATTCTTCGGTGGACCGTTCGGGTATCTTTTATAGAACGCATTCTGTGACATGACAATACCCTTCCCGCTGATTGATGTCAAAGGGTTGGTATTAAAATCGAGGGTAATATACTGCTCGTTGGGCAAGGCATCGGTGCGGCGTTTGTTTCGGGTGCCCATGAATTCGTCGGGCGATGCGAACCACATAATATTGGCGGATTTGACAACCTCGTCCTCTTCCTCTTCATCTTCCTCCTCCACGAACTCGGTGATGACGCCCACCCAGTCCTTTCCAGCCTCCGGAGACTTCAAGAGGATCACCTCGCCAACTTTGCATTCGAATCGGCCCATCCGCGCCCCGACAATCCTCCGGCGCTGGGGAGCAGGTCGTGAAGAACGTCTCCGGCCCCGCTTTTGTGGGCTCCCATCGTTGCCTTCCTCCTCCTTTACTTCATTCGCATCGTAGACCCATTCCCACGGGAGGTCCTCAACCCCCAGCTCGTCGTCGGAATCGTCGCGGACCAGGGCTCCCTTGGTCATCCATTGAGCTCGCTCACTGGCGGAGGCCCTCTGCTTGGGAGAATTGCTTGCTTCACTGTCGCTCATTGCTGCAGATGTGGCCGGACTGAAGGTATGGAGAAGGAGAAAACGCGCTTGACGCGTTGTCCACTTTACTCCGTATTGGGTTTAGCCCGGCAAGGAGCTCGGCCCAATCAGGTTATCTGAAAGTATGTGAAGTATAAAAGAGCACGATGGCAATTTATGTCTATGTAGCTTGTCAGTTCAGTGTATTTGCTTCATTTCATCGCGCTCCTCATGTATGATCAGCTGGGAATGCCCCCAATTCTGTTTGGAATCCCTGTCACACTGGGGTTCCGGTTATACTAATAAACTGAGCCTTGGTCTTTTTTTGATTACTGTGACACTCAATAGCTGGAATAGACTTATATGCTGCTACTACATACCGTCTGTGAATGGGTACTGAGGCTTTTTTTTTATCATGACGCTGCTGGTTATGGTTATTTGAAAGTTCTGGTGCCTTGATGCCTTGCGGCCCACTTGTTGAGGCCTCTGCGACTCTGGCTGGTTTCGGATTAATATGTTCCAGTCCGAAGTATCGCTGCCCACCTGCTAAGTTATTGATTGAAGATACATGTTATTCGTAGACAATTCCGTATTTTGTACATACCACCCGCTGTTAAGTGAGGACCATACATATTTGCAGAGGATTTCACATTTTGTATATGCCACCCGCTATCAAGTGAAGACCATGCAGGTTGTTCGTACATGATTTCAGATTGTATGTGCCATCTACGACGCATAAGATGCATAGAGCCCAGGAGCTTTATAAATCAGAGCTTCCGGGGAGCCAGGCGGGCATCTCAACCCTAACATCAGGTCATACTTATAGGAATTGTACCCTATGCTACTGTATTGCAAAATGATAGGAAATGGGGGGAGAAAGAGAACAATAAGTATATGAAGGTCAACTCTCTTTTTGTAGTTTTTAGGAATAGCATAATGTCCTAATCTGCCTTTCTTCCTTATTTATCGCACAGTTGTGCTCTTTCCCATACTTTCCCTTCTGACCAAAACTCTCAAATGCTCAAATTGCTTTTACTTTGTCTTCTCGATATAACGTTACTTGCATCGTTATTAACTCAACTCTCTTCTTCGTCAATTCAATACTTGCCCTTTATCCTCTAACCTCGGATTCCAGCTTCTGTCCCCAGACTGCTTCATCCCTCTAATTTTTTTCGCAACCCACCATCTTCCTCTTCTCACCTCCTCCCTTCTCTTCCTCAAGCTTCATCTTTATTCTCACATCTTTCTTGATTCAACATCATCAGACTTTACAACCATCTTTCACCGTGATACCCATATCCAGCTGACTCTACCGAAATGGCGGAAGCAGAGCGGCCTCTCGAAGAGGAGTAAGCGCATCTCACACCTTGAACCCGTCATTGTATCACACTAATTATTGCCACAGTTGGGAGAAGCATCAATCAAAGGGTAACAGTTCTTTTCCTTCTGCTGCATGGTTGGTTATATGCTAACTACTTCAGCTTGGTCCCTGCCGCCGTATAATACCGGAGCCATCAGCAGCCCAGACGAAGACAACCAACCTTCTCACGCACTGAATATTCCTTCCGGATTCAGCAAAGACCCAACCTCACTTGTTATTGAGGTTAGTTCCTCTACTCCACAACCCGCGGTTCCTCCTACCTCGTTGTCCCCTGGTCAAAATACCCAAACTCCTAGTATATCTGCTTCTTTGCCCTCAGGCCCATCTCAACAAGCACGAGGAGCCGGATCCAGTCAGCAGAAAATCAGCATCCCAGCTCCTGTCGTACCGTCAAGGAGTTTTCCTCGTCCATCTCGCTCATGGGGTGGAAAGAAATCTACCCGGCAGAGTACTAATACCAGCGGTCCACCGATCCAAGCCCAGGTCTCCCCCCTCGCGGGTGGTGGTGCCAGATCTCACCAGCCTGTCAGAACCCAAAGGTCGTCGCCATCGGTTATCCAGCCCCAAGCTACTGGAACACAGCGATCAACAGTCAGCCAAGCCTTTCGTCGCCTGGGGACTAACATTTCCACTCAGAGCGTCCAGGGGCGCGTTGACTCTGCTGCAAAAGACTCTCTCGGTAAGGCAAAATGGCGTGCCGGCGCAACTCCCGATGGTAAAATCACCTGGCGTACTTTTATCACAACTTCTGACAATTATTCAGGTTATCTCCGGTTGCCGCTTACTATCGACCGTTTCCAGGAGATGTATGTATATATTCCTTTGAAATGGTCTTTGCTCTCACTAAACTCCATATTAGAATCACGCAGTTGACAAAGGAAACTGCACAACCCGTTACGAACTTCCGTGATTTCATTGTTAACGCTACCGGTGCTTATCTTACAGTGAGATATCAGGGTGTACCGGTAAGTCTCACTCTCGTTTGCCGCATATCAGTCTCCCTTTTCGTCGCACCTTCCGTTTTAGAAAACTCTTTCCGTACTGTACCATTTGAACTAACAATGCTATCAGGTAGTTCTCATTTGGGGAGATGTAAACCAGGTGTTGGCCGCCCATACGCTCCTTCACACATTTGTTACCCAGGTCAATCAGCTGCAAGAAACCAGTAAAGTACCCGGATGGACCCGTATCAAGTCTCACTCGACCATTAAGGTTGATATTGCCAACACAAAGGATGCCCAGACTTCCCAACTGGATGGATTGCGAAAGGCGCCAAAAGTTGTGGCTGATAGCACGGTATGTGATGAACACCGGAGTTCGCACATTGTCGAACTTCATTAAGGGCTAATATATGTTTGATATCATAGGTCTGTTTACCGTGGCCTCCAAATAGTCCATCCCTGGAGCATTGCCTGTCATCACGTCGCAAGCTTCTTGATAGCATTCGTCTTCACTGTGGTATGAACATCTACACCAAGCCTGGTGCATGGGAGAATCTGTACTTTTCTGGGGGTAACGAAGGCGATCTCTTGGGAATGGTAAGCCGTTCTCGGGACTTGTGGAGGACACTGTCTTTGCAATGCGAGACCGAAATCAAAGTGTTCCTCGTCGAGCCACCTCCCCCCGAAATCATGAGAAAGGACGTCACCATGAAGGAATATTCTGATATGGCCAAGCCCTATCTCTCTGGATTGAAGCTACCCATCGAGCAAGCTGTGCCTTGGGAGAAAAAGAGAGGCGAGGCTAGACAGGATAACAAAGTCATCATCGTTGATTGCTTGAAGCGAGCGCTGCACCTCGTCCCTCATTTCCACAGTTTCCGACAAATGCGAGGAAAGTTCGGTTCGTTCGTGCTGAAGGGTTATCGAAAGACCGAAGGTGCAGATGGCCCATTTCTGTTTCCTGACTTCCGTGACATGGTCGCCGACACGAACGCTGAAGGCCGCCTGCTTCCCGGGTAAGCAATATATTAATCGGGAAGTGACGATTTAGTAACTGACTGGGGCGTTAGACTCCGACTTTCGCAGAATCAGATCATCAGCCGCGTCATGGGCGCAGGACATCTCCTCGTGCCCGCGGGTACTATACCACTTCGTCGCCTTACGAAGATCCAGCCCCGATTCTCGGCCAGTTTCGAATACAAGATCAAAAACAATCATGCTGTGCGCATTGAAGCGAACTATTCGCTGCCGCGCGGAAGCGAAGAATTCGAGGTCAATGATATTCGTTGCTTCAAGCCTCGGAGTATTGGCGGCCCTGGAGAACAGGAAATGCCGATGCAAATCGGCATGATTGACTTTGAAAGGTTTGTCAATTTTCCTATTTGTCAAATGCTTAAAGCTCAATTCTTTTGATTTAGATCCGACTGGCAATTAGAGATCAAAGCACTGGAAATGCTAGAAGAGGAGGATACACCTCCCGAGGTAGAGGCTTTCAAGCGCAAGCTGAGCTTCGTGTGGAACGAGAGTGCCCACAGCATCACCTCTGTGCCAGAACGCATGTCAAAGTTCCCTCTTGGTGCACCGCTGAGCTGGTTTGTTGAGAAGGCTGCGATTGAGTTTCACGTCAGGGGAACCAACCTTGTGTTTGAGCTCGCCCGCTTCGTGAAGTACACTGTGACAAACGGCAGGATTTTAGAGACTCTCGATGTGTCTTGGGGCGGCTCGCTTTTCGATCCCGATTGGGATGTCATGCTCGGTGAAAATACTGAGCTCGACGGCAACCAATTCACGCGAGAGGCTTGCCTCTGTACATTTTTCCCGCCGGCCGAAGGAGCGAAGGTTGATGAGGATGTGCAGCTTGGCGTGTTCATGAGTGCGCTGCGGCAGATTGCCCGGGTGTTAGGGTCTGCTGACTCTGCCGTGACCAATGTCCTTGATTGCGACGTTGGCACTTTGTTCTAGCAAGTTCAATGGCCATCGGTTCCTGTCAAGGATTTGAGAAAGTGTATTTTATCACAGCAGAAATCATAAAGTCCAAAAACACAAAGAAATAAAAAGAATGAAACAAAAAGGGCCCTCAGGCGTCGACTTCGTGCCCGAGCTATATTCACAGGGGTATGTGGTAAGTGGTCAGTGATTATCTCTGGTTAACATATCATTGTTTGAAGCGTTCTTATTCTCCATAGAGCTAGAATTGAAGATTAGGAAAAGTTCACGCAGAATCCTGCGTCTGATATATCAGGCAAATAAGATTAGCCCCATTCCAGATGTAGGAGTTTGGACTAGGCGGTAGACATGAAGCGATTGCCATTCATATCACCGCAATAGTCCGTCCCAGTTCGGTACAGTGTAGTTCATCGATTTATTTGTTTTATTCCTTCAAGGTATGTCGTATTCGACCTAATAATAACACATGACTCAAATTTAGCCAGCAGCAGCGGCTTGAGGAGCGGCTTCTCCGGCGAGCATCTTCTGTCTCAATGCTGTGATAAGTGTTAGCGAACAAGGCCTTCTAGCACGCGCAGATCCAATCAGCAGATCGTGATATAAACTTACTCTCTTCAACAACCCGCAACTGTGTGCTCTTAGTCTGTACAACCTTCTCCAAATCCTGCAAGTTCGACTCCAGTCCCTTAACCTTATCATCGTAGAATGCAATCGCCTTGGCCGGGGTCTGAAAACCAAAGTGTGAGCCCAATTCGAAAACCAACCCCCAACATACACTATATCACATACCTTCTCAACGTAGAATCCAGTTCCAACATCAACAAGCACCTTCTCCCGATCCGTCAACCGGCCCTTAACATACAGCGAGCTGGTCAGGGGAACGAGGATCTCATCGCGGCCATCGGTACCCTTCTTCTCGGATCCGGTCACGCCGTCGTTTATTGAGCGCACACAGTCGCGGAACTTGGCCTGTGCGGCGCGCAGCTTCGAGTGCGAGGTGGTCAGGTGTTCCAATTCGGAGGTGAGGCGGGTTTGGAGTGCGCGGAGCTGGGGCACGGAGAGGGAGGCGAGGTTGACTAGTTCCGGGGAGTGGTTAGCTTAAATTGTTCGTTGTACAAGGTTGGAGAGCAACGGAGTCGCATGTATCGGGAGTTAAGATCGTACTTGAGCCTGGGGGAGCTCCGTCTGACGAAGGGGCCTCTTTTGGTGGCATTGTGAAATTATGGGAAAGCAAAGGGGTACCGATGGGTTTCTCGGTGACTTGCAATCGTGGGTATGCTGTTTATTGATCACGTCGCATTCAATTATGCGGGCAGTTCAATATGGTGGGGGATGAGCTTCAGAAAACTGGTGGTCGGCAATACTTGTTCACCGCTAAGGAAGCGGGGCTCTATAAACATTCACCAAACGTTCTTTATAAGTTATATCTTGCGTCTGCTTTATCTTTGGTTTGTTAACGCATACATTTCATCTGGGAAATCACTTCGACTTCTATTACTCGATACCGAGATCTCGCAAGATTGGCTTCAGGCAGCTAGTACAAGTTCCGACTTATATCAGTATCATGTACTTCTTCTCCAGAAGTACCCTCTCCAGGCTCTCAAGAGCTTACCACTATTATACGAAGCGTTTGCAGAGCCGGTGAGTGATTCAGATGAACTCCTATAGATGGCGAGTCATGAGAGCTTCCCGCTATATATATCTTATGAATCTTGGAACAAGGCAAAGCACAATAGCAGTATACCTTGGCCGCGGACATCTAAGCTAGTATGGGAGTAGTTCCAAAAAAGCCTGAAACAAATAGACATGGGTTTCAGAGATATAAGGTGGAAGTATATTGGACTAAATTGCGATATCGTTCTTAGAACAAACTTGGATGGTCTATTCTCAAGAGTGGTTGACTAAATAATTATGGATTTTATTTCTTGCCCATTCGCCAATAAGATAATTTAATTCAAACCAATAGTATTCAAATCTCATAATAATGCCTGATCAAGTTCCAGAAGATGTTGGGGTATCACGCCGAAGATCCCGATCTCTCCGGAGTGAATTCTCCGCTCCGGACTCTCCGCAGTCCAACACCTCTCTTGTACACAACCCCGAACAGCTCGGTCATGGCCTCCAGATTAGCTGCATGTGAAGCTTGCAGGAAGGCAAAGGTTGCCTGCGATCATAAAAGACCAGCATGCTCTCGTTGTGAGAGCAACGATAGGGCGGGAATCTGCATCTATCGAACCACGCCATTCAAAAGAAAGAGAGTCGAAGAGTCACCTTCATCGGCCCAACAATCTCCTAGGTATGCTATGGAGACCCCTATGCATCTTTATATCGTGTACTTATACTGCTCTATAGTCGGCTATCACCGGCGCAACCATCATCATGCTACACCCCAAGGGCAAATCCTTATCCCAACCCTGGGTTTCTGGGGTCTTCCAGCCATGTTGCAATCTTCAATCAAATATTCCCACAAGAATACCATGCATCTGAGACATACCGTGCCTCTGGACCAGACGTAGCAATGTTAATGCAATCGCAGTCGGCTGGTGAGAATCTACTCTTGATCCAAGGCGCGGACGTGCTCAGACAGCTACTCAATACATTTCCTTTGGCTGCAATGAAGGAATTCGTCATGTTCTGGCTGGCAACGGGGACAAATCTCTCACTGGCAGAGCCTTTCACGGAAAAATGCACTGAAAACATGACCCGGTTATTCACGACTTTCTCTCAGGAAGACAACTGGCACTTGGCGTATGCGCAACGCCTGACTGAAAACTCCCGCAAACCGTTGCAATTTCATGGGATGTCCGAAATTTCTGAATTCTCTGCTCAATTTCTCGATCAAAACTTCAGATGGGAAAGCCTCGGCATTTTTCTTTCTGCTGTTAGCCGGGCCACAATTGACATATCTTTCTTTCCGCCATTATTCAAAACTGAGAATGACCAGTTCGCACTCAGAAAGCTTGCCACAAGACTGAGCGACCTAGCCTTGGATATTGCTCTTTCGCTGGATTGCTTGAATGATCTGCAAATCGTTCTACAGTATGAAAACTTCATTATGCACACTCATGTTGATGGCGATCAAAGTATGTACTTACGGTGATATATGTTATTTGTGCAGCTAATCTTATACCCAAACTACCAGGTTATCATTCATGGAGTCGACTTGGAGACGTCATATCTTCCATGTTTGCCATTGGCTACCACGAGGATGTCGAAAAGACCAAACCACCCATCCCTACATTCCTAGCAGAGCTTCGAAAGACAGCTTGGGCCACTATGTACTCAGCAGACAAAAACATTGCTTTATTCCTTGGTCGGCCCCCTCGAATGAGCAAACGCTTCTGTCATTTCCAGTTGCCCTCGCCCCCGAAAGGCTCGGAACGAATTGGAAACCCTCGGCATATTCAGGGTGAGAGTCCTACCTCAGAACTAGATACTCCAGTCAGCTATAGAGCAGGAATTCGATGGGCCACTATCTGTGCCTCACTGAAAGAAGATATCATGGAATTACTTCGAGATAAACAACGTGAGGACTTCAACTCAAAAGCAAGGTATGTTAAAGCTTTGTCACGCTCGATCATTCTTCCGTTAACCGACAGAAACAGTTATATTCAGAAGAAGGCAGAAACAGAGTGGCAAAATCTCCCTTCCAATTTCCGACTGAAGTCCAGTTTGAAAGAGTGCTCTCGATATGCATTCGAGCGTGATTTTCTAGCTGGCCTGCGATTGGACTACTTACACACCCTATTTTTGCTGAGATTGCTCTTTCATGATACGCTGGCGAGGCCCGATCCTGCTATTCTCGATGTTTCAGACCAAATGCTGGCCCTTGTAGTTGAAGTAATACTTTTAAGAGATCAGCTCGTCAATTCCGGAACGGGGCTTATCTGGAAGGTATGTGTGCTTCCTTCTGTGTCATTTTGAACCATTGCGCTAAACTGAATCAGATTGCACACTTTGGACTCCCAGCAGCAGGCATAATCCTGCTCTCTATGCTGAAACAAACCTCTACAGTTAATGAGATTCGCTCAACATGGTCTAAAACCTTACTTAATTTGGGGATCTTTGTTGCGCAGATTCAGGTTGGCAGCATTGTTCGACCAAGTGATCCGAATTACGCATTGATATCCAAGGCAACACAAACCATCGAACGGTTCCTTAACTCGATGCAACGGGACGGAATACAAAGCTCGACTCAACCCAGTTCGCAGATGGAAGAAAACGGCGACTGGGCTGCCTTCTTTAGTCAAGACTTGTGCGACTTCGAGACGGACTTTTGGGAGAATCTTGCGGATCATCCTTCATTGCTGGCTTTAGATCCAACTTTGCCCTCTCTATAGTGGACTATCTCAAGAAACAAACATTAATATACTTAGTACTTGAATCGATTATACTCAAGTGGGGCACCTAGGTAAATAACTTGAACACGAAAGTCGCCCACAAGTTTATTTTCTTACTCGATGCCATCTATTTTTGGGTAGCATTCTTCTCTGTCTCTCAATTCACTTCTCTCAATTCACAAAAACAGTCATACCAAAGCCGGTGTTCAAAGCTCATATGTCTAAGCAAATGAATCAGTATCAAATACCCAGTGAATCCAGATAACAAGAACAAGGAAAAGAAGACATACCATATCATACCAAACACCTCCTGCAAAGTTGGACTTGCTCAACCCCTGGTTCTTAAAACCAACACTCTCATAGAAATTCACCAAATAGTCATGAGCAATAAGTACAGCCCTGCTTGCTCCAAAAGAGCCCCCCTTAAGATGCTGAGTGTATGCACTGACAAGTGCCCTCCCAACCCTCTTGCCCTGATAATCAGGCGAAATAGCAACGGAATGGATAGCAATTGTATCCCCGTACTTGTGATTGCCAATTAGCTCATCGTTTACGAAGACAGGCTCATCATTTGGCAATGATTCCCAATTCTCTGGCATGGACATCGAGCCGTCTGTCACAAGCGTATAAGGTGAGCGGACGGCGATGACGTGGCCGATGAGTGTGGGTGGGCTTTCATCTTCGTTGTTGACAAATAGGCCCAGGCATAGATCTGGACATGAGCTGAGGCGGTAACGGAACTAGTTTTGTTCAATTAACGTTATACATTCCTTCTGGGTGCTGGGTACTTAATTGGCGGTTTACCTTTTCTTCGGAGCAGCGCTCTTGCTCTGTAAATGCACTCTCGACAATTACACAGCTCTTCAAATCATCTATACTCAATGTCCGGGTGAATGTGTTGGTGTTTCCAAGGCTTGGAATGTGGATGTTTCGTTGGTTCATGGTTGAATGTGGACGAGGTCTGTGACACTCAATGAAAGGTGGCTAGAGATAATTGGTTCGGAATGGAGAAGAGAAGGCATTTAGATTAAGTCAAGAAAGAATGCAAAAAAGGTGCTTATAACCCATGTCCAGTGAGTCAAAGCGTCTCTATATCTGTGGGGGCTGTGTCACACCGGAGTGTTCGGAGTATTCGGCGTGGGGGCAACCCCAATCTGTGGACCTGTCGCAAAGGGCGTCAAATGGATGAGCTTGGAATTGAATGACCTCCTTGTATTATCTACAGTTGCTGATCTTATCTTGTCGAGGATTGGCTTTTTTCCATTGAATGCGCTTACTTTGTGAGACGGATTGGTGATATATAGATAGGCCTTATAGCGTTGGAACCCCGGCATTCAATTGCACTTCAATCTATGGGAATTCGACACCGCCAGCCATTGGATCGAAGAGTTCGGATTCTAGCGTTGAGAAATCCGGGCAGAACAAATTGAAGTCCGGTGAGGGCATCAGCATCGCATCTGTACAATTCATATCCAGAGACAAGTAGTTATCCCAATACCCGAGTGGATCGAGATTTGATGGCTTGTCGCTACCGATAGACTGAACATTGTTACCAGCAACTGTTCGTTTGTTTTGTTCAACAAGCCATATTCGCTTGAGAAGCTTTGCATAACGGCTCCCTATGTGGCTGTCGCTAGTGCTTGCTTCATCGAGGACACTGACGAACTGGTGCACCAGATCTGATACTTCACCATGTTCTTTCTGGGTAAATGCACCGAAAACACTCGCTTTGTATAGAAACACAGCTGAGTAAATAGCATATCTGCTAACTTTTAGTGACGCTCATATAGTTGCTTAATATTGGTACTCACACATAGAATCGGAAAGGCATATAGTGAATGTGGGCCACAGGATCCGTTCCACATGCTATAGTGAGAATGTTCCGCGCCGATCTAACGGCTTCGAAGACATAAACGCCATCTGGGGATGCCATGATGCCTTCTGGGAATAGTGATGGGGCTTTCTTGGACCATGGAGTTGATGTTCCGGCAACCCGATTGTCGTGGACAGCTCTTGATAAGATTGACTGGAAAGAAAACGCAAGCACATATAGCCGTACATATTCTTTGAAGATATTCAAGGTACACTTTAGCTTTGGCGATGCTTCAAGGCTATCCCAACGGCTCTGCCACCCCGAAAATGACCGGCGGAAATCGTCAAGGTAGCGGTTGTAATCTCCCAGTCGAACCATCTGCAGCCTTCGTTCTTTCGAGGAATAAAGAATATCGTGCGAATTATGCAAAAGCTGCGTTAATTCAATAGTCCCCTGGAGCACCAGTGCATAGTTATGTTCCGCATCCGCGCTCAGTTGTAAGCTTGGAAAGTCCTTTGCCGTAAAGCGCGTTGAAAGTGAGGGCCCGCGAGACCAAAATGATTGTCCCATTCGCACAGAGATCTGACGGTCTGCGATATAGACAACTAGAAGCTGTCAGTGCCCATTGATATAGTTGCGGTATGCAAACGAACATATCCAAGCTAATCGTTTCCTATTCTCGAGCTCGTATGGCTCCCCATCAACCTTCTCGCGAAAAGAGGCTTTATCTAGACGGAGGAGATATGCATGTCGGACTGCTTGGCCAATTAGTGACCATGCCATGTTATCCTCTACCGCACTGAGGTTTCCGGAAAGCACCCTCGGGTTAGAAGAAGTTTCAACCTCTGAGTAAGGAATCCACTCTGCCAATAATAGAAGGCCTTCTACTGTTGCCACATTCAGTGTGGATGGTGTAGCCAACAGGATATCAAGAAGATGCCGCTTCATGTGCTGCCAACAATGCTGGTGTATTTGCCGATATGTTGTGTCGTCTTTCGATGCGATGGTCAAGATTACTGTAAGCAGAAATGGCTCATCAAGAGCTGCCTTGCGTACATCGGGAGTCACGAGGAGCTTTTTGGGCGTAAGAGGGCAGAAGGGGTGGTAGTTTGTAGCGTAACTATTTTGTTAGAGACCATTTCATTGGTGTTGCATGGAGACTTTTTACTAATTCAATAAGTGTTGTGTTGTGTCTGTTCCCAGCACTCCAATGACCAATGTCTCGGTTTCTGACAATGTGGGCTGAGGCACAGGGTGCACTACATGGCCAGGCAGATTGCCATTGTAATAATCACTCCGAGCTTGCGATTCGCTTGTTGAGATTGCAAGTATTTGATCACTGGAGCGAAACGACATTGACTGATCGTGCGCCGCAAGCCGAGCAAGTATTTGCAGTGCCTCACCCGGATTAGTCAACTCAGCATATATGGGATCTTCTGTCCTTTTCTCGTTCTCTCCTATGCCCTCGCTCACATTTTCGTGCTCGGCGTTGACGGAATTTGGAGGCAGCATGGGACTTTCGACACGTTTTGAGTGTCGAATTCGGGAGAAGTTGCCTCCTCGTTTTGACCCAGCAAGGATACACGGCTCATTGGAGCGGACACATTCGAAGCATTGTGATTTCGTTCCATCTGGAGAAGAACTATGTGGGTTGTTAGCAAAGTGAATAACTATTGCCTCAGCGCACTTACGGGTCACATTTGAGCTTTCGCGTGCGACAGCGCTGGCAGGCACGATATAGGCGGATGTTTCTACTACGAGTCATTTTGATTTCAATGAGGAGAGTGAATTCAACAAAATCCTCCGCGTTGTTCATTACCCCGGCCTCGGGAACTACCGCAATCTCCCAATATGGTTAAGACGGCAACAGACGGAAAAGACGTGCGGGGAATATCACAACTAGAATTTTGTTGTATTGCTTTACCTCGGGTGTTACTAAACTAAACTAAACTACTAAACCCATTAACACCTATAGCCATCTGGGCATAATTATAGATAGGTCCAACAGTATTTGCAGGCAATAGACGGACTTTATGGGGCACCTAAGCTAGCTTCAGTATAGGTCTAGATGGCATATCTGGGATCATACAAGAACAGATATAAACCATTGTTCTCTCTGGTCATTTGTAGAGCATTTTCAGTATACGTGCACGAAGCCCACTGTTAAGTTGCCTTTCTACTGAGCTGTTCAAATTTACACTCGCCTCGAGTCCTCTTTGGTCACAAACTATAACGATGTCGATACATAAAGCGGTTGTGTATGATAAGCCTGGTGAGATTTCTACTCGCATTATTGAGGTGGAAACTCCTAAACCAGGACCAGGTGAGATACTGGTGAACATGTACGTGAAATCCATGATAAAGTTTGCTTCATGTATAGATAACAACAAACCATAGTACGCACTCCGGCATCTGCCATTCTGATCTGAGTCTCATGACCAACACTGTAAGCATCTGTCACTTTGAGCTTCTATGCTTCCATGTTGGTTAACTTTCGTTGCCAATATTAGTGGAAGTTCCTACCTGAGCCCGTGAAAGCCGGACAGATTGGAGGTCATGAAGGGGTCGGTGTTGTCACTCAATTGGGTCCATCATGTGAGAATTCAGATGTTAAAGTTGGTGACCGCGTCGGCATCAAATGGATTGCCTCAGCCTGCGGTAACTGCGCCCCTTGTTTGTCAGGCGCCGACGGAATCTGCCCAAAGGCAGAGATATCTGGTTTCACTTGCCCAGGCACATTTCAGGAATACGTTTTGGCGCCAGCTCACTATGTTACTCCAATTCCCAACGGAATGGCAAGTGAGGTTGCTGCACCCCTGTTATGTGGTGGAGTTACAGTCTACTCTGCCCTTAAGAAGAGCAAAGCACAGCCAGGAGATTGGGTTGTCATTGCTGGTGCTGGGGGCGGACTTGGTCATTTGGGAATTCAGCTCGGTAGCAGAGGAATGGGATTCAGAATGATTGGATTGGATGTGCCATCGAAGGCAGAATTTGTGAAGAGCTGTGGTGCAGAAGTGTTCATTGATATTACGAAATATTCTGCCGATCATGGAGGCAAAGGCATCGCTAAAGAGATCCAGACTGTTACTGGTGGTGATGGTGCAACGGCTGTAGTCGTCTGCAGCGCCAGTAATGCTGCATACGCGCAGGCAATGGATTATCTCAAGTTCAATGGAACTTTGGTCTGCGTCGGTGTCCCTGGAGAGGCAAAGCCGATCGAAGGTGTCTGTCCTCACTTGATGGTCGCCAAGCAGCTGAATGTTGCTGGTAGCACAGTTGGCAATCGCAGAGATGCAATTGAGACACTGGCTATGGCACAAAGAATCGTCGCAACGCCCTTCTCCATCGGGAAGGTAAACAATCTGAACAGAATATTCCAAGATATGAAAAATGGAAAACTGCAGGGCCGGGTTGTGTTGGACTTGCAATCTTGGGCTTGATCTTTTATTCGCATTTTTTGTACTTGGATCTACATGAAAGCGAGTTCGTATGCCACTCGCCAATCTGCGACCCTTTACAAAATATCAACCTAGCCAATTCAAGCAATTTTCATCTATCATATAGCAAACCCCCATTCACATCAGGACGTGACTGGATGTATCAAAACTCTCAGCATGATCCCCATGTCCTCTTTGGCCACGCGGGATCGGCTATCTGGTTAGACGGCAGTCTTAAGAATAATTGAAACTAGAAAGATAAGTTATTCTAACCAGATACATCATAGTCGGCTATAGACGGATATCAAAGCCCAAAGGTTGTTGAATCATTTAGCTAGCCCATAGCCTTATATATTTCAGAGATAGTATATGATTTGGTTCTTATAACAAGTCCAACACACCCTTACAGTCATAATCGATACCAACCACTCAACATGACTGTTAGCTCAGAAACACCAACTTTCCACCACATCTCAGTCAAGCCTCTGCATCCAACCTTCGGTGCGGAGATTAGTGGAGTTGATATCTCAGTCCCGTTGGCCGGTGAGATATGGAGTGAAATTCGGCAAGCCATCACAAAGGTATCTACAGCCTTTTTAGTATATCCCAAATCAAGATGGAGTGTACTGATATATAAGGGAATCAGTGGGGAGTCGCCATCTTCCGTGGCACAAAGCTTACAGATGAGAGCCACATTTCATTCTCCAAGTATTTCGGAGAGCTAGACGACGTGACACCATACATCGCAGCAGGTCGAAAGAATCGTCTCAAGTATCCTGAACTCTTTGACGTTAGTAACGTCGAGATTGATGGGACTATCCTTGGCCCCCAGAGCGCGCGTAGCCAAGCAAACAAGGTATTTGAACATCCTAATAAGGTTGGAAATTGTGCATATTAACCTTGAGATAGGGAAACCATCTTTTCCACGTGGACTCAAGCTTCAACCCCCGCCGAGCCGGTTACTCTCTGCTACTAGCACATGAGCTTCCCCCATCTGGAATGGGAGGCCACACCGAATTTGCAGATACGCGAACGGCATTCGAAGACCTCCCAGCCGATCTCAAAGAGAGTCTCTTGGCAAATGACTATATTGCCTGTCATTCCATGCATCACTCTCGCAAAGTCGCTGCACCTGAAGCCTTTGCCCACATCAACCCGCTTGATCACCCAATGGGCCGACACAAACTGGTTCAACGTCACGAAGCCTCGGATAGGATGAACTTGTATATAGCGGCCCATGTGCACCACATTGAAGGACTTGAGCCGGAGAAGTCACAAGAATTGTTTGATAAATTGTTCAAGCATGCTACTCGGGACACTAATGTGGTGAAGATTGAGTGGCAGACCCCGGGTGATTTGGTCATTTGGGATAACACCTGTGTTATGCACCGAGCTGTCGGGGGTCCATTTTTGAAAACGTACAGGCGGGATATGAGGCGAACCACGGTTCATGATTCGAGTTCTCAGGCCTGGGGATTGAATGAGCATACTGATGTTAGGCAGGGGTTGCCTTGAATGGCTTAGGCTTCTTGAAGTTAGGCTCTACCACCAATTCAATGATGGATTTTGCTTAGTTGGATATTATATGAATTGAAAGGTCTCGCTTGGTTTCTGATTTACGACTATGAGAACCCCTGTCCTTGTTCCGAATTGTAATGACACACTGGCTTAAGAATAAACTTTTCTAAAGAAAGAACAGAGCCTTATAAAACATATGCATTATTTATTAATATTCGTGAGGCTTCTCCTTATAACCAACAAAACGCCACCACATATCTCCTTTAGTAGTCTCCCACATTCAGCGTAACCGACATTTCTGTTCAACAGCTTCTTCAACATTATGTATAATATATGGAAACATTGTCCCAATTATTCAGTAGCTTCCTCCGAGATAGCAAACTTGCTCAAGGCACGAAGTCTGGCACCATAGAAGTAAAGCAGCCAAATTCCAATAATTCCAATGACGCTCAGTCCACCAAGGAGACTGGTACCCCGAGCAACACCCAAGTTTCCGAAGAGCGGGTGTGCAAACAAGACACTACCACAAGCAAGTGCACTGCGGAAGAAATCATTCGCAGCGAACAAACTCGCGGCATACTTCGGGTAACTCAGCGGAATGTACACGAAGATACACTGCATGACAATGAACACCGTAGCACCATAGATAGTAATACCAATAGTAGGCACAATCCAATGAATAGACGCACGAGCAGTCCAAGCAAATAGGAACAGGCCAATGGTAGGACCAAAGGAAGCAGGCAGAGCAGGAATGAGACGTTCCTCCTGGGCAGGGAAGCCCAAGCGCATAATGCGAGGATTCATCCAGTAGTAGATGTAGGCGACATACAGGGCGATTCCGATGATACATGAGACCATGATACAAAGGAAGACTAGGCCGATCTGACCCAGGTTCATGCCATAGTCGACTGGGTAGACGAGGGGGAAGACCTCGAAGAAGGAGTAATAGATGCCGTAGATGATTGCTGTGTAGATCTGGACGAAGAGGACAGCGGGGTCCTTGATTGTAATTTCCAGGGGCTTGATCAAGGCATCGATGGCGACGTCAGAGACGCGCATGTTGCGCTGGTCGATTTCGGACTGGGACATGAAACGCTTGTTGTTGTGGATCTTGCGGAGGCGCTCTGCTCGGCGGAGAAGGATTGTGGCGCTACTTGTTTCGGGGAGGAACACGAACATCAGGATTAGGACAGGGGCGGAGGCCCAGATTGATTCGAAGAGGGACCAGCGCCAGCCTTTGACTGGGACTGCGAAGCCGGATAGGAGGGGACCCAGAGCAGCTATACATTATAGTCAGTGTCATGAGCAGATATAATGGGAGTAAATAGATGATGGAGGGAACTTACGTCCACAGTATGCGGCAGAGACCCAAGCCATCATGGCATAGGGCAGGGACATCAGACTATACAAATCTCCAATGGAAGCACCGCCGGATGCCAGACAAGGCGAACCGAAGAATCCTTGCAGGAACCGGAGCACCATCAATCCGGGGAAGTTGCCAACAAAGGCGGTTGGGATCGAGATGATGACGAAGAGGAACATTGTGACTATGTAGACCGGGTTGCGTCCAATGGTAGGAATCTCACTCAAGGGCGAGAAGACCAATGGTCCAACGCCATACCCGAGAACATACAATGACAAGCCCAGTGTAGCAACCAGACTGCTGACACCGAACTCCTTCATGATACCCTCTGTCGAGGATGTATATATGGCCGAGGTGGTGTATACAACGAAAGTGTACAGACAAATGACGGTAGTAATCAGAGCCCGCTTGGTATTCGACCAATTGTGAGGATTTTCCGCGTCATCGGTATAGTACCAGTCGACAAGGATGGCACCATCCTTTGTCTTTCTTGGGGCAATCGGAATTGACTTGATCTTTTCGATTTCATGTTGTTCATCGGCTTCGAGGCGGGCTTCTGTAAACGGAAGGGTGATGGAGGAGGTGCGGCTGAGAGGTTCACTGGTATCTTGGCTCAGATGACCATCCTCTGGTTCTCTCTTCTTCTCGTCGGGGATGTTTTCCGCAGTACTGGATTCATTCAACAATTGAAGCCATGCGTCGGGGAGCTTGAAGTCGGGCTTCTCTTCGGGGTATTGGAAATATTTGTTTTTTGTCAGGAGACGAACAAGCTGCCCGAAAGGGGCCTCTCGAATGACAGCTTCCATTGTATAGGATAGGTAGCTTTGGGGGCTATAGCTGTAGGGCTAGACGAACTGTAAAGTTTGGACTGAAACAAGAATCTCATATTGCGTGGTAGACTAGACGGACTAAATACTTCCATTCTGATACTGCATCTATCACCGACAGAATCTTCGCAGTGACTCTATGACTCGACTAAAATCCGAAAATTAGAAATCAATAACGTTATGTTAGGTACAGTGGTACAGCGTTATGCTTACAAAATCAGATTATCTATCACATTAGAAATCAAGGTATTCGCCTTTTGGGACCAATCAACGTCGCCCATAGTGCGCCAAATCTTAAATGGTATTTGGATTAGCCCGACCCCGAGACTGGCAAAAGACAAAATTCACGTAAAGCCATCGGGAGGCTCCGTAATTACGGGTGAGGTGAGATTTTCATCTTTGGGTGGGCGCGTCAGATTAAGCTGCTGACAGATCAAGTCGGGTCTTCCACGGTGTGAAGTTCTCAGATCCATGTATGGCGTAAGTGCCAAGTCCGGCGATTAGGGTCTTATCCCCGATTTGGCCATAGGTGATATCTCCGTTGTGCCTACTGGTATATCCAGGGTTCCACGTGTATCTGACTCATAGATACTGCGGAGATCTGTGCAACATCTGCGGCGTTTGATGAGGTCGGCCAAGAGCTAGATACGAGAAGCACGCCAGCGGTCAAGGGGAAAAAAAAGAAAAAACATGTGATCAGGCCCGAAACGGCTGCAGGTCGATGTACACGACGGGATATATTCTATTTACAAACGCAATCGCTTAAATCTAACAGGTCAACTCTAGACATGCCCAATGTCTCAAAAGCAGACATTGCGTTAGTCCGCAATCATTTCATGGTACTGTCAACCAGCTCACGGTAGATCTTCTTGAGATCAGCAATATCAGCGTTCAGCTCCTCGACCTGCTCGCTCTTCTCGCCTAGCATCTCCAGGGTAGTCTGATACCGCTGATCGAGGTCTTCAAGCTGAGCCTCAAGCTCCTCCACGCGAGAATCAGAAAGTTGTTTCTCTTCAAGCTCACGCATGAGATCCACGACTTGTTGGCGTGCCTCGTCGCGCTGGGAGGTGACGCGTGCCAGTTCATCTTTGGAGCCAGCACGTTCGCTCTCCAGCCGGCGCACGGTTGCACTCATGCGCTCAACTAGCTGAACGGAGGGGCCGGCGCCGGTCGTAGACTCAGAGATGATGTCGTTGATCCCGCGCGGCGGTACCTGTGTTCCACCATACGCTGAAGGAGTGGCAGGGGTGCCAGACTCTCCGAAGTACTCATCCGGCTCGAAGTTGATGGAGGGAGCTTCTAAAATTGACGCATTGGTGTTGATGTGCGGCGGGGAGAGCGTCGCCTGGGTTATCGAGGCAGGGTAGGAGTTCTGACGAGGTGGTGTGCCAATTTCCGGTGACGCGAAAGGGAAGTTGGACGACCGCCGGCTGGGGGGACGGAGATCGGGAAGAACCGTGTTCATGGCGTCGAGGGTGCTTGACCGCCGGGTAGAGGGGACTGGGGATATTCCGCGTGGATGTGAGGGCGAGTTGATTTGGTCTCTCCATTTAGCCCGCTCGTCTTCGAGCTTCTGCGTCAAGATAGCTTCAGATGTCTTCTTTTGCTCGACCAGATCCTTTTGCGCTGATGTGAGCTCATCTGCCGCTTTATCGAGCTTCTGTTGCATTTTCTGCAACTCTTGCATGCGTTCATCAAGTTTGCTCTCCAAATCATGCTCGGTCTCCTTGGCGTTATCCAAGTCCTCCTCGAGCTTCTTGAGTTTTTGGTTCTAAAGTGGATGTTAATAAATCTGACGTGTCCAGATGAAGGTGGACGAGATCTTACCATTTCCCGAATCTTCTTCCGCAGGTCACTCTCACGTCGTCCCGTGTCATCACGTTCCTTCTCCACGTTTGCCAATCGAGAAAGCAGAGAGCCCTCAAGGGTGTGCCAATTTTCACTGGCAACTGCATATTGGGTTTGTAAGGTCTCAATCTGGCGCAGAAGTTTGGCCTGGGTTTCCCCGGTTGCCCCCGATGAAGCTTCTTCCGCGCGAGAACGAAGACTTTCCATCTTACTTTCCAAAACAGATTGTTCGCCCTTCAGCTCTGCTTCGAGCATGCGAGCTCTCTCTTTTTCTTGCTCCATCTTTTCTTTGAGCTCGGTAATCTCTCTCTTGGACTTTTCTTCGCCAATGTCGCGCTCCATCTTCAAATTAGATAGCTCCTCTTCCACTTCGGTCACTCGGTGCTTTTCTTGCTCTAAGGCGTCAGAGTTCGCTTTGGTCTCGGCAGCTTCAGCGCGCGAGTTCGCCCGATTTAGTTGTAACTTGATCTCTTGAACAGTCTGGGCAAGCGCATTGCGTTCATTCGTGACGGCTTCCAGGTCTTTAGTTGATTTTGTTTGGGACGACAAAGATTCGGCTGCCCTCTTCTCCGCGGCCTCTGCCCGCTTAGCTCTGGCTTCAGAGTTGACCAGGTCACGCTCAAGTTTCTCCGTCTTTCTCTTCATTTCTGCTTGGGACTTGCTGTTGTCGGTAAGTTGCTGGCGGAGTTTCTTGATCACAGTTCGGTGATCCATTTCCGACTTGGAGAGCTTTTGCCCTTCTTCAAGGAGCAGTGCGATCTTCTCATCCTTCTCCAGTAACTGCTTCTGTGTACTGCCTGGAGTAGCGCTTGCGGCAGCATTCTTGGCCGATTCTGCAGCGTCCTTGGCCAGATATTTGAGCTTTGACTGCAATGCGTCAATCCGTTCGATATAGCCGTACATTTCTTCCTGCCATTGCGACTCGGCGGCTTTATAGTCAGCCTGTACACGAGCAACATCCGGGCTCTGGTCTTCATCTGGTGTCTCTGATGGCACTTCGACGCTAGCACGCGGACTGTCACCCGAACCACCAACACTGAGTGCCTCGTTGCGCTGGGACTCCTGCAGCTCTTGGCTGGTCTTTTCCGAGTCCGCCACCGGCTGAACCACATCTACAGAGTCTCTGGGTGCGGAGTCTGGTACGCTAACGTCCGTAGAAACGTGAGAAGAGACCCCAGAGTCGTAGCTCATCCTCGGGGAATCCAATCCACCAAGAGTGCTCTGCTCAATAGGCGGGGGAACCTTAGAGTCATCCCCCACGCTCGCATTCGATGCAATGCTAGAATCGATGTCCATACTAGACCGAGCCCCATTGCTAGGTACCGGACTTGCAGGCGGTGATGAAACTCGGCTTTGGGGAGACTGTGAAGCAAGGTTGGAAGCGTTTGATTTCACCATGGCGCGGGCGAGACGCTCCTGAAGTCTGTCATTTCTGCGCGCAGTTGATGAACTGCGGGAAACAGCTGCAAAGATGTTAGCGACTTCGCCCATCTGTAGTTCATATCAATGAGTTCGTACGAGCAACAGAGGTCTTTTTAGCAGATGCTTCTCCGCCCTGGGCATCAGAAGGCTTGGCTGTTGAACTGTTCTGCGATGCCTCCTCTTCCATCAAGATGTGATCCAACCGAGACTCGACACCCGCCACTGCTTGCTGGAAAAAAGATCCCACTCCCCATTTTTTATTCGCTTGTGGTGGGTTCTGTGACATTGTAAAAGGCTATGGTGTTGGCAGTGCGAACAGATTACTGGTATGCGGCAAAGGCCTCGTGTTTCTTTCGCATGAATTCGGTGGGGGCTGCTCTCGGACGCGGGCTCTTTGCGATCACGATCACCGTGGAGAATGTCTTGAGTCCGTTCGGCGGTCAACTATGCGAACTAGTGAGATACGTCAAAGCGTAGTCGGCAATGCCAACGATCTGGTGAGCGGCCGAAACGAGAGACTGGCGGGACGGACCCCAAATTAAAGTAGGCAGAAGTCTGGGCGCAGATTAGGCTCGCCGATAGGCCAAAGAGCGCAACGTCAATTAGGAATTCAAAATACGACTTGTAGAAAGAAGAATGAGCAAGAAAGAGTGAGAGATGTAGAGATGTAGAGAACAGACACGAGTTCGGACCAGACCAGTTGGGATGGATGTCTTGGCGCAGGCTTCCGTCATCCCCAAGCTCCCCCGTCCATCTGGACACACCTCCAGTTATCAAATACGACGCTCTTTTCCCCGGCTCGAGGTCTCCAAGAACACCTTCATAATGTCGTTGGAGCCACCCACCTACCTCAGCTCCTTGCAGAACAACATTCGAGCTCGGCCAATTCCATGGGAGGGCGCTGTCCGAGCGGGCAACATCACCGATGACCATCTGAAGAAGATCAAGGCGGTGGACAAGGTGCGCAAGGACCAGCGGCGCCAGACAATAGAACAGGATCTCGCTGGATACACAGGTCTGCTGGCTGGGGGTGCACAGGGCAAGAGTGTCTTGGACTCGGCCGCCAGGAGGACCGATATTGTGCAGTATATCCTGGTGCTCGCCTCGGACTTGATTCAAGGTAAGCGCTAAATATGAAGGCACATTTCCAGTGTATTATACTGATTACGGTCTCCTAGACGTGCCCTCTTTGGCCGATTCCCTCATCTCTCATCCAGAACCCTACAAGCCATTCCTCCCGTTCCTGCAGCACTCGACAAATGCCGAAGACCCAATCCCTCTGCTCACATCTACTTTCCTCATTGCTCTTGTGTCGCATAGCCTTGTGGCTACTTCGAAGCCCGCACTCCGGGACAATGAAGCTCTTCCGCAGCTATACACTTATCTCTCTACCTTAACCAAGAACCAAGATAGTGGGCTCCAGGACATTGGTGTCCAAGGATTCTCGGACTTGCTCAGGACAAGTCAAGCTCGGGAGATCTTCTGGAATCAAAGAGAAGAAACGCTAGACCCCTTGATCGACACTCTTCGGTCTGCAGCCGGGGGCAAAGAAAATGCTAGCTCACTGGGAGGTAATAGTCGTATCGAGCCTGGTCTCGCCGGTGGTGTTGGTCTCCAGCTTCTTTACCGAGTGCTTCTAGTTGTATGGCAGCTTGCTTTCGAAGGTCCTCTTGTTGGCGAAGAACTTCAAGAGTAAGTGAATCTGCTTGAATGGACAGTTGACCCTGCTAACCCCGCTTAGAAACTATGAAATTATTCAACTCTACACCCAGCTTCTGCGCCTCTCACCGAAAGAGAAGACGACTCGCCTTCTTCTTGCAACCCTGCTCAACCTTTTCTCAAGCAACCGGACTACCCTGCTACCCGTCGCCGTGTTCGTTCGCCTTCCAGCCCTCCTAACCAACCTGGCCGGCCGTCATTTGACCGACCCCGACCTGCTCGAGGATCTCACAGCTCTGTCTTCCATGCTGGAGGAATACACCAAGACACAAACGACCTTTGATCAATACGCCGCCGAAGTTCAGTCGGGCCATCTGCGCTGGTCGCCTCCACACAAGAACCCAACTTTCTGGAAAGATAACGCCCGCCGCATTGTCGAGGAGTCAAACGGCGCTTTGCCCAAGAAGCTGGCTGAGATTCTTTCTAAGAGCTGGGACAACGATAAGCAGGTGCTGGCTATCGCTTGCAACGACGTTGGTAGTCTCGTTAAAGAGGTTCCGGAACGCCGCACGCAGTTGGAGCGACTGGGCTTGAAGACACGGGTGATGGAACTGATGGCTGATAAAGATGAGACGGTACGTTGGGAGAGTTTGCATGCCGTGGGCGAATGGCTCCGGTATACCTTCGAAGGGTGATCACCCCGAGGTTCTGTTTTATTGTGTTGATGGCTTTCCCGTGATGAACATATACTCCGGTTGGTCTGTACTGTGTATTTCTGCCATAGCGCATACTTGATTTCTCGTTTCTTTGGAATATTCACTAGAATAAGACTCAACATGTCCTAACATGTCCTATCATGTTCCACTTGGGGAATATCAGACTGTAAATCGGTGGATCTTCGATCGACCGCTAGGGAATCCAAGATACAACACAATGCTGATAACAGGCAAAGTTTATTTGCCCCTCGAATTATTTTCTTTTCTTCTTCAATAGACCAATTTATCCCGTTTATTCAAGGCCATTCCCCAGAAATAAGATTTGCCACGCGGGATCGGGGGAATCTCTACATTCCCCGCAGAAATTCTTCGCCGCATCCATCCCACCAGATTACAGCACCCATGTCGAGATCGTTCACAGGTTGCAAGAGATGTAAGGCACGCCGACAAAAATGTGACGAGCAGAGACCAAACTGCGGCCGCTGCCAAACAGCAGGCGAACAATGTCAATATGCGATGCAGCTGCAGTGGGGAGGACGGGCATTCTCGCGATCGCGCTTCGGGGCCTGCGTCGGGACAGGCGGAATGGAAAGACTTGGTATGTGATCTATACTAGGAGGTCCTTGTCTCGGGCACTCACTGATTATATCAGAATATTCACCAGGAGAGTTCATCTACACCACCAAAGCGGCCAAGGCGGCGCAGGCGCGGGCATCAGCCAGCACCGGTTCAGATCTCACTCTGTCGCAACCCGTCGACCCTTTCTCGTCCCTTTCCTCCGATCAAAAGGCCTTGCTACACCATTTCATCAACGATGCTTCCCAGATTACCGCGTGCCACTCCGGCATGCAGCAAGATATATGTCGAATGCTGGTGCCTATGGCCCTGCAGACTCCCTCCTTACTCTACGCCACCACCGCTCTCTCGGCGATCCATATCCAAGCCCTACATAATCAATCGGAGACTGTGAAGACTGCGCCGGATATTGCCCGTTTGATGGCGCTCAGTCTGGAGCATTTCCGAACAGAGTTACAAAATCCTTCGTCGAAGGGCTCCGAGGCGCTGGTGGCGACGGCCCGGACGCTATGTCTGGCTGAGATTCATTCTGGGGCGATCAACCCGAATTCGTGGAGGGCACATATTGATGGGGCGAGGGCGTTGATGAGGGCTTCTGATGCTGCTGGTGAGGACTCGCTTCGGTCTGCGAGCGGGTTCCGCCGGTATCTAGATCGCTGGTACTGGTCGATTGTATCGCTAACGGCTTTGACGGGGAATGGGCCACCGATTGGAGATATGTCGGACTTTGCGTCTTCTGATTTGATGGGCTATGGGCATTCTCCGGATTATCTAGATGACTATTGGGGGTTTACCGTCGACCTTGCTGCTGTCTTCCGGCAGATTGGCGCTGCTGCCTGGCGGAGCCATGAGGTTGAGAAGGCTACTCAGGGTTTCGTTGCAGGGGAGATTGACAGCAGTGTCGAGGATGATGCTGCATCCCTGGAATTCGCAGTCCGGCAACTCATGAATCGTGACTCAAGTTCACAGCCCTCATTTTACCCCGGTGCTGCACAAGGGTTATCGCCGGAGAGTGCACAGCAGCTTCTCCTCTGTAATGAGGCTTTCCAGCATAGTGCACTCATCCAGATTCATCGGCGACTTCGGAAGACACCCACTACATCGCCAGAAGTGCAGCAGTCGGTCCGGCGCATCCTGGAATGTACAGCACAGATCGGGCCGTCGTCAGGTCTCTCGCCTTGGGTTATGTTGACGACGCCGATCTTCATTGCGGGCTGTGAGGCGCGCGGTCAAGATCGGGACACTGTCAGGCAACTGCTATCTTCCTTGCACGATACCATTCGTGTTCCCAATGTTCTTCAGTCGTTGAAGTTCTTGGAGCAGTACTGGGCTGATAAGCTTAATGAAGAGGAGGATTGGAATCAATTCCTTGGTATGATATTCCCATAACCCCACGACTACCTGTGGGTTGTATGCTAACTCTTCATATAGACCGGATGCAGTTTGATTTCATCCCTTATTAAAGGACCAAGTTGGTAAGAGCTTACTTTCATGTTTTGACGTGCGACGATACACACTTTTGATTTTGGGTTGGACATATTTGATCTTACTTCGTTTTCTGCCTTTTCTTGTCCCTTCTTGTTATGGTATAACCTTTTGGAAGCCGAGGGTATTGGCGATTGGACTTTTGGTGTACATATCAAGCCCGGCGTTTGGAAGCTGTGGCTAGTGATACTATTCACGCTATTGTATAAATCTCATTCTATTCATTCGTTTTAATGCAGCGCAAGAGATATGTAGACGTATTGGTAGATAACATGCTCGAAGCTACTTAAAAGGACTTAAAAGGACTGCCTATCAACTAGCTTGGCTATGCTACAATGTAGTGGGTTTCGTGCCCGTGGGACATGGTTAAAATCATGGTATGGTCGTTCCTTATATATACTATCAAGCCATATCAGGACGGAGGGGATATACAGACTACCCAGTGCCCGACACATATTGCACCAGCTGCTGGGAATTTGCGCTTGCGCTCTGCTTCCTATCCCAACTCGCTAACAAAACATTGAGCAGCTCATTAGCAACACCCAACAACAAGAAGATCGCAATAACCTGGCCAAAAGTCCACCCCTTTTCCTCGGGATCTAGATCGTTGCGCTGGATAGTCTGCTCCAACGAAACAATCAAATAAATGCAGAAGCCACTGTAGGCAGCTTTATTCAGCGTAAACCGGAGCAACGCCTGTCCATGCAACCTCTGAGGCGTCTCCTCCTCATCAGTAACCCGATAGTCAGGACGATTAACCTCGACAAACCAATTCCAGCCCCTCTTATGGCCCTCAGTCCGATTCCCACTTCCAGGATTCCGTCTCCGGTGAGCAATAAATCCGCACAAACACGGCAACATACAAGTAAAAACAATAACGTAACTAGCCACAATCGCACCCAGTGTCCCGAGAATGATATACCGGAAGACGGGCGAGGTAGCTTTGATACTAATACCAAAGACAACATAGACAGTATTCACATTGCATTCGGGCTGGTTACCAAAATGCGGCGCTGTAATCCAAACATAGACATTGAAAGCGAGGAAAGCAGCCAGAGCCAAGACCTGGATTGCAGCGAAGAAATAGAGCCGCCATGGACCGAGACCTGCATAGCGGCCTTTGCTGATCAGGTCCATTCCCAGCACGGCTAGGAGGTGGATTACGCATATTGCGTGGAAGAGGGATAAGTCTCCACGGACGGTTTGGTAGATCGCTGTGCAGAGGATTGCAAGGCCTTGCATTCCCAGTGCGGAGGAGACACCGCGTGAGAACTCTTCTTGGTCTTTGCCTGGTGTGAAGACACGGAGCAGGTAGCTTACTATCGAGCCGCCTAGGCAGAGGGCGTAGATAGATATGCGGATCTGTAGGTGAATATGTAAGTTGGTGTTGGACAGCGGCAGGAAGTCTGGTATGGGACTTACTCCGACTCCTGATACATCGGAGTTAGCCTTGATGACACAGCCTGTTGAGTTCATCTTGTCAGAGACAATTGTCGCCGCAAGAGCGTTACGTTGCAAGCAGAATCCGAGCAAGGACGCGAATGGTGGGGAAGATAGCCCTATATCTCAATATCGGGGTCAGTGTCCCATATCATCGGTTCCGCAAACCAGTCTGAAAACCTCGTAAAAGCCTCGTTCTATCTGCATGACAGAAAGGGCCAAGGAAAAAAACAAAGAGGCACCTGGACACGAAAGTGGCTCAGCAAGCTCATTGCGCCACAAATTGCAGCAATCACTCGTCGCGTTCAGAGTCCCCAGTCCGTCATAGGCACAGCAACGGCAGCGGCTGAGCCTACCAAGCATGCTGCTGTGGCTGTTGTAGTCTACGCCGGGCTGCAATTGGGTCGCCCGGGAATTCCTTCCCATGTGGCTTACGGGCTATGCTTACTGCAGGAACCGCTAGGCCTAACTTAGGGCTTACAGGGCACTCGAACCGACGCCAGGAACCTAGTGTCGCCAATCGGGAACGATAATTGGCTGGGAACTGTAGAACTGTATTTTGGAGTGCAGTCATTCGTCTCATTCTTCGTGAATTGGCACTCGATACGGGAAAGGGACTTTTTCAGTCTCCCGCGATGTCCACTTTTGCCCCAGGGTCTTGCAGAGCGAGGCTGTTTTGCTACGTTATCGTTTCTTGCTTGTGGCTTTCTTATAAGATATCCTGTCGCTCGGGGTATTGTATCAGAGCAAATTGGTTTATATTCGCTATTTCACTACACTATACTCTTCAGCCTTGAGTATATATCCAACTCTCTGTTGGTGGTATTTCCGCCATCATGGATACGAATAATGTCGCACATCCAGCTATCAACAGTAAGTACTAACTTATCTTCTTTCGCTTCCTGGGAACGCAAGGCCGAATGCATCAGGCAGCTTAACGTCTCCTTGCAAACCACATACATAGTGATCATGCAATCCTTTCGCTTTTCGTCCTTCTTTTTCTAATCAAAAACTCCTATCTAGTATGGACGTTCTTTGCCCTTGCAGCTCTCGACATTGCAGCCAACGCCGCGGCTGGACCTGCAGCTGTTGCAACCGCTACTCATGTCAACGGTAGTCCCTTGACGGCAAGAGCTATGCAGATCGGTGCGATCGCCGGAGTGACTAAATCTGGAGTGTTGGCCTTTGTCGAATTCCTCGGATATGCCGGCTTGCCGACGCCAGCGTGGATTTTAATGGTTTTGATGGCTAGTAGTTTTGGAATTTGTGTGTTGATTACTGCGGAGGTTAGCAACTTGGTGCTTGGAGAAAGTGAGTACATGTTCACTTATATTTGAACTGTGTGGTACAATTCGCAGGCGTTGAGACTGACTGTATATAGCACCGAGTGCGTTGCTCATTGCGGCTGTCGTCGCTGCTATCCCACTCGCTGGGGAGTGCATTGGTATCTATCACTGTAAGTACTTTATCCTTGGTCGCGTATACAGCATTGGGATCCAGTTTCGCCAGTACTTACTTCTCTTCCAGCGGCTGGAGGGTTATATGGTGGTAAGCCTCAGTCCCAAGTCTTTATTCTGGGCCTTGATGCCTTAGGGGGATATGTGTTTGCTCGAATGTGCCATAATCTTGGTCAGTTAAAGCCCTTTGTATTTGCAATGCTGTAAAACTCTATCTCTATCAGATTGGCTGCTTTTACCCTGATCTATACATGTTTTTACTAACGCTCGATATCAACAACAGGTTATGACGTATGCCCTTACAACGTCGCAGCTGCCGCTGGCGCTGTATATGGTGTTATCACCGGCTTCTTCCATACAATACTTGGCTGTCTTGCTGGGGCCACCTATTACGAAAGTCACAATGGTCATTATACAGTTCGGAATGTGTTTGGGACTGCAGAAGGGTATAACCCCAATTGGCAACAAGATCTACACTAGTGTTTTGGACATGAAGCATGGTTTTGATGGAATGATACCTATTATAATGAATTAATTACTATGAAATGGGGTTTTGAGGGCGGATTCTTCTTGTTATTTTATCGTACGTGCGCTTCAAGCCATATTTAGATCTAGAACAAAGTAAATGTATCGGACAATAACCTACTCACCATTGTACGAGCCCTTAGCACGAAGCGTGTATTTCTAGACCGTTACCTCGGATTTCTCCTGTCCACTCGTTTTATCTAGCTGTTCCAACCTCAGACAATCAGCCACGGTTGAAACATCTAGATGCACCGGCGAGACATAGGCGTGCAGATGATCCAGGGCTCCGCAAACGCCTCTAATCACGGAACAAGCCGGCGGTTGTGGCTGGGAACTCACTATGGATACGTAATCCTTGATTGATCTAAGCCCCTAGGATTCGAGCTATCCAATTCTTAAATGTGTGACATGTTCTGAGGTGAAACATTCTACGGTCTAGACTGCCAAGGAGGTGGAGCCAACGGGGGTACAAAAGCCACTATTTTTGACATGCAGAAGGGTGGATTGGGATAGCTTCTGGTTTGTGTAGGGAAGACAATCAGGTTTAGATGCTGGATTCTTGGCTAGAGCGAGATAGGATGAATGGGAATATATAACTAGGGGCAAATTAAGGGAAACCCAAAAGTACTAACTATTAGATGAGCCAAATGAAAGTTTTAAGGATTAATCAAACAAATCACTTCCTACTTTGTAGAGAAAACCGGTGCTTGCGACTCAATCTGAGGCAGCTAAGGTGGACCCTTATGGAGCAGCCCTATACACTGGCGCTGGGATCAATAATTTTCATGGTGTGACAATAAATCAAGCCACGCCCTAAATTTAGCTACTTTGGCTTCACTGTCGTCAGAGGGTTTTGCAGTATCCTGGTCTTTGAATTTGAGACCAGGGAAAAATCTAGTTACTATGAAGTGCGTAACACAGTGCAATCGACCAAAGGTCCAGACTATGGTGGCCAATCCAAAACCCGACCGGGCATACCTTTATACGTGCACAATTTTCAGGGCGAGACGCACTCAATGCATATTTCTCAGACACCGGTTCTATATTAATTAGCGCTCAAACGGAATCTTCCGAGTCAAGGGTATACATAGGTGTTTGCCTTGAAGCCTCAGAATCTAGAATCTTGTCTTGGAGCAAGGATCACTAGCTGGCCTGTCCAATCAGTCCAGAAGCATGAGAATTGCAGTGCCGGGTTTACCAGTGGGGTCTTCAGAGCCGAGCAGGTTCCTGTATAACATTCAGGTCAGCACATCACAATCTGTCCAGGTGCAATCAGATTGGCTAAAGTTGTATCCGATGTGACAGTAAGAGCTTTAGCGCTTTGCCCGTTGAAGAAACACATGCCGGCCACGCGCTGGCCCGAGCTGGCGAGACGCCGGGTCGATCAGAGGAGATATTGATGTGATTGGTGGCACACACGGCAGGGTTTGAGTAGCGTGCATCAAAGGATTGCGCACGTTCGTTGGCATCTTTGGCCGATTTTCACAAAATAAGGAGATATACACCTAAAGGGGAAAAGGGGCATCTCCACAGAAGATCAAAGTATATACAGTAGAGTTATAGTAGAGAACACCCCTTAATCTACTGGAATATTGAGCTTGTTCGGAGTATCCTCATGTACATGTACTGAATGCTTGTCGTTGACTCTGATGCAGCCTTGCGTATACAAGTAACTTACTGTATATGGAAGTCTATTGTACAAGTAGAGAGAAGTATCTGGAAGTAGCGGATAGGCGGTAAACATAGGCAAAGTAACCTGGGCGGTACCTGCAAGGACCTTCACTACCCCTGAATCGCCAAGCCTTGGACGGGCCAACCTCAAGATCGACTCAAGGGGTTGTTTGTGCCACTCGACACTATTGAAGCCTTTCTATTTTCATTCTCAACGAGGTAATGAGTGTCTTTATTCGGTTATTCCATGCTCAACCATGCTCAGAGCAAGCCTTCGAGTACCTCAACAGCCATGATACACAGTTCAAAGACGTCGATCCTCCAGCGCTATCTCATTGTATTGCCAATGGAATCAATGCAACTATAGACCCACCAACCCCCTGCGCTCCACGCTTACTCGGAGCTACTGAATGGCGTCTGGAACCCACGGGCGGTTTGCGCCAATCGCCCTAAGCCTCTACCTAACTTTCTCCTTTTTCTTCCTTTTGCCTTTGATATCTCCTAATAATCCTTTCCCTTTTTGGCGCCTCTCTATTTTGCTAGCATGAGTGACTGTCGATCGATGGCTATTTTTTGATACGGACCAGGGTGTTTCATGGCGTCTCCTCTTGTTCTGGGCGGCGCTCCGTCTGAGAGCTTTAGTCCCAATCCTTCCCCTACTCAGGTTCGAAGGAAACCTGTCCCGCAGAATGTCGATCTGACCTCCGGACCTGTCCACCCCTCCTCTCCCCTTTCGATCGAGGGAGATAAACCCGTTCTCATTCCCACTGCTCCCGTGGCTAGACCACCATCCCCTTCGTCGGCGGATGGAGACCCGTTTATATCGGTGCAGAAGAACCCGAATAGGTATGCGACCTCGCCGACCCCAGTTCTTGGAAACCCCCGGACCCTCCTTTTCCCTCCGTCTACCTGTCGATCGAACATGACATGGCATCTACATGCAACTCCGCTTCTCCAACTACTTGAAGACTAATCGGGTGCCCCTGTCCCTCAGATATTCCCGACGAGCCCCTCCGAACCCCTTACAAATCGATACCACTGCCTCCCGGCCTGGCTCCACTGCATTCTTGAGATCAGTACTCGAAGACGACGACGACGACGACGACGACGAAGACGGGCCTGACTACTTTGACGAAGAATACGAACACCAGTTCACGAATGGAATCGCGACCCCCTTGCACAGTCGTCTAGATAGCGAACCATTTATCCCAGTCCTCAAATCCCCTCCTCCAACACGACGGGCAACGAGTATGGCATTGCACCTCCCCATGAATCGACCCCCTCTACACATCGACGTGGATCCACGATCAATGTCGATGAGTGCGACGGATCCAAGGAACCCAAAGACACCGGGGAACAAAATCAGTTCATTTTTTGGCTGGAAGGCGGCGAATAATAATAACACAGCGACATCTCCTGGGGCTGAATCATCCAGCACTGAGATCTCCGACTCGGGTCGGTCCACAATGCCTTCCCCTATGCCACCATTAGCAAATGTCCCTATCAAACCTCCTTCCCCCTATGATACCAAGACCAATGGCTACAGCCTCCCGGTGCGGACTCCATCGGTGGGGTCTGGGAGTTTAAAGGAGAATATATTTGTGTCCAAAATGGCGGACCTTGAGAATGAATTACGAGAAATAAGTTCCGAATTGGCGGGGTCTATACGTCGAGAAATGGAGCTGGAGGATCTAGTTGAACGTTTACAGTTAGAAGGGCCAGATTCCAATCGCCGGACCAGTGACTATTTCTCGGATTCCGGGACTAGTTCTGTTCGATATACTTCAGACGCTGGTCGGACGGAAGATATTGAGAAGATACGTCGTGCTGCAGAGCAAGAACGGGCTCAACTCAAGCTAGATCTGTCACAAAAGCTGCAAGAAGAGCGGTCTAAACGGACAGCATCCGAATCGCATGTTCAAATTTTGGAGACTCAAGTTCAACAGGTAAGGTCCTTTGAACCTTTATAAACAGCAACCCCTGACGTTTCAATAGCTTCGACGTGACAGAGTCGATTTGTCTGATATGTCATCTAAAACTAAAGAACTTGAGACCGCTCTGGAAAACACCAAGCGCAAGTTACTTGAGGAGAGGCAATCCAAGGACAACTTTGAAGACTTGCTTACTGCCATGCGAGTCGAGCTTGAACAGTTGCGCAACGACCGAGATGAGCTGCGAGATAACAACAAGCTCGCTGAAGAAATCGAGGCTCTTAAGATCGAAAATGCCTCTCTGGCCCAGCTACAGGGCGGTCGATTCGCTTCGATCGCCGAGGAAGGTGGTTCACCGAGGAACTCAGCATTTGGATTATCACGATCAAACTCCCTTGCTCGCAAGCCTAGCGGCCTCGCCCGTTCAGGCTCCCTTTCTCGATCCAACTCCCTTTCCAACAGCGGAGGTAAATCACCAGAAACACGCGAGTCGTTGGTAGACAAGGTCAACGACATCGAGGTCCAACGCGATTTCCTTCACCGAACATTGCGAAGCCTGCTCGATCGTCAAGCATACCAGGCCCGTGAATACGAGAAGCGGACCCGTATGCTTGAGATGGAGCTTGCTCGGGCCCAGCAATCGGGCCAGCCCCGGAGGCTCGGCTATCAGAGGGAGGTTTATAACCTGCGTGATGAAGTCAACCATCTACGCATGCGCGCTGAAGATGCTATGGATGGCAAGTGGCAGTGCGAGAAGAACCTTGCTGGTCTCAAGATGGACTTGGACCGTGCCGAGCAAGAGACCAGCTCCCTACGCGTCCTTCTCCAGGAGGATACTGCCGTATCTGACGAATCAAACCCCGACAAAGGGGATTTCGCTGAAGTCATGGCGACATCCTCTTCTCTGAAATCTGCCTACCAGCAATTGCAGGCCGATAGGGCAGCGGCCGAGGCGAATGTCGCCAACTCGGAAGAGCTTTCCGCTTCCCTTGCTCGTGCAGAGTCCCTAGCCAACAAGGTTCATTACCAGCTTCAGAACAACACATCTTTGCACGCCCGGTTAGCAGAGGCTATTGACAAGGGTGACAACGATCAGAAGATCTCAGTCAACCGAATCAATGTCCTGCAGAACCGCATGAAGGAACTGGAGGACGTCCTCTTGGTTGCCCAGCAAAACTCCGAAGAGGAGATGGGCAAGCATGAGGAAGAGGTCCGCCTCTTGAGAGAGAGCCAGAATGCCCAGCTCACGCGTATGAAGAACGGAAGCCGTAACCTCGTTGGCCTTTCACCGAAGCCACCGAGTACACCCTTCGACGCCCGCTCACCGCGTCTGGATCACACCTCGAGCGGTGAGGGTGTTCCCTTGACTGATGTTGTCCAGGCTGAGGTCCTCGAACGTCGAGTCAAAGATCTCGAGAAGCTTCTCCGCGATGCGGATATGGAGATGGAGGAAGTGGTTGGACGAATGAACCGCACACAGATTGATGTGGCCCAGCTTCAAACTGACAGGTAAGAATTCCCCTCCCTAGGTACCCGAGTTTTCATTCGACATTTCACTAACACGTCACACAGAGAGGATTCTCTCCGCCAGACCCGCCAACTCCAAGCCGAGATCCAAGCGGAGCGTGACGCCCTGAAGTCGCTCATCAACGCCGTATAGATCTCGCGCATTGCACTTTTCCGTTCTTACTATACCACATCTGCATCTGCATCTATACTCCCATCCACCGTGATCGTGTCGAGTCCCTGGTGCCTTGGAGTTTCACCCGGAGTATGTCCGGGTTCTATTTTGGGGGGGTTTTTTTTCTTCAATATGTGAAGTTTAAGCGCGTGGCATCGTGCTAGCCGTGCCTAGACTCGGCTTTGGCGTTGGTCTATTTATACAGACCGGATTGGCGGTGGACTGTGGTCACGCTTGTATATAAAAACCGTCTTTATCTGGGTAAATATCTAATCGAATGTACAATATAATTGTTATGAAACTTTGGTATAAGCATTTAGATCAGTTGAGATTCAAATAAGAGAAACAATACAAATTGTTAATGTTGAATCCGGGGATTAACCTTCACATGCCATGTTTGTTTGTTTTGCACTGTCGGGTGCCACTGGATTCTTTGGATGTCACTTCTTTGTAACATGTCACTGCTGATCGCATCGGCATATATACCCTCAGCGACTGAATCCAGCATTCTCTCCAGCTGATCCAAGTCCGCAGACCCTTCTTGCGACACAGCCTCGCTCGCGACCGAACGATCTACAACACACAAGCTACGCTCCGTCGGCAACGAACAAAGAGCCCTCGACTCTAAATAAACCGAGCTGAAACGTGACAAGTGAAAGCGATACTCTCACCCCTGTCTCACACTCGCTTTTTCGAGAACACCAACTTTCGGCGATCACAAAGACTCCAAGCAACTAGCCAGCCAGTCAAAGAAACTTGCGCCTGCACCGCATCCAACGAGGGTCCCCTTGTGTCTCTCCATCATATCATATTACCACCTCTCGCCTCGAAAATACCCATCGCCAAATCATCAACACATACACGAGACCTCATCTCTAAGCCCTCAGCCTAAACCTCAAACTCAAGCAACCATGGACTTCCTACCAGGTACATACACCCCCATACCTACCATCCACGTATATTACAACACAAACTAACAAACCAACTACCTAGAAAACCTCCAAACGATTCTCCAAAACCCAACAATAACCTACCTCCAGTCAACAACCCAAGAACACCTAACATCGCGGCTGTCCGACCTCCGCGCAACAGTCCTCCAACCCTACCTAATCGAGCCTCTATCAACCCTGTTGACAAGCTACTCCTCCTCAATGCCAGACCTGCTCTCAATTTGCCTACTTGCCATTATAATCCTCATCTCGCTGAAGATCCTGGACTATGCCTGTCGCGTGATCATGTTTTGGGTTGTGCTGGCGTTCCGGCTTGTCTTTTGGGGATCCCTACTCGGCATGGGGTACTATGTTTATCGTGTTGGCGTTGAGGATGCTGCGAGAGATTTAGGGTGGTTGTTTGGGGTTGTTTCTGGGTTTGTGGGGGATTATGTTGAGAAAAGTCAGGGTAAGGCTGCTGCTTATGTTGGGACGAAGTAGTCTCCTGGCCCTTCTTTGTCGCAAAGTGGGCGTTGCGGCGGATTCTAGTACAGAGGGTTGTGTTTATTGTGCGGGCAGGGATGGTGCTATTTTCCTTTTTTGGTTCTTTGATATGCCGTCGGGGTGTATGGTGAATGCGCTTGGGGTGGAAAATTGAGAGCGTTCTTGCTGATTGTTTCTATTTTTCAGCTTTCTGGGCTGGTCTAGCGGGCGCTGGTTATTCCTTGGAGTTTGGACATGGTACATTTCATGAAATGTTTTTGGTTTCATTATTGCTTCTATTATTCGGGGTATTTTGTCTTGTCCAATTAGAAAGAATCCTCCAGGCCGATGGCCCCAGTCATCCATCATGTTGCCTCGAGCATCTATTATCCCCGACCGGATTGAAGATTCAAAAGCCGCACACCTTGTACAATGGGACTGGGAGTGCATCCAGGTTGTCGTAAATCTTCCGAGTCTGCCAGCTCAGCGATGCGCAGTGCAAGGAGTGTAGAAGTGTTCTTCCTTGAGATAAACCGGTGTAAGCTGCAGAAGAATTGCAGCTGCAGGTGACGTGTCTGCATTTGCGGATGTGATCGGCCGTGAGATGAGCCGTGTCTGACTGTATTCCATATGCAGTAATCAATTATTGAACTCAATCCTCGTAATTGACCTCGACTTCATCCTTAGGCTCTCTTGGCTCCTGAGCCTCGTGATACTGGATGGCATCATCAATATGGCTCAGAACAGCACCCACACTGTCCTCATCCTGGACATCCAACTGCAAGAATGAAACCATGCTGAAGTCGTCAATCAGCTGGGCCACGGCACGGTTCAGCTGCTTGAAGGATCCACCGCTCATCAATGCATCTGTTGCCATGGGGTTGGCACTGGCGGTAAGGTCGTCCTCCTCTTTATCCTGCAGCAATTGCACATCCACATTGGTGAACCGCCTCAACTCCCTGCGTGATACCATATCGCGGACCTGATCCATCTTGCTGAGGATGTTGACGTGGGGAATCTCCAGCATCAACATGGCGGACATGGCACTGAGGGTTCCGGCGAAGAATTTGGCTTTGTCGATTACGAAGGTGCTCTCGAGTAGGTAGGCGGCGCACATGTTGATGTTCAAGGGACCCTGGCGAGAAAGGAATGTTGTGAGGGATGGGAGGAGAGGGATATGTGTGTATAGTTCGATCTGGCCCGGCATATCGAAGATGATCAGGTACTCTTCGCTCAGTGGCTCCAGGGCCTCTGATAGGAATTCCAGGTTCTGGAGCAGGAACTCGAAACAATAGATCAACCCTCCATTAGGGCCCAGACCCATCTCTTCCATCACATCCTCTAATGTGATCAGGTCGCGGATGTCGAGGTCAGGTTCGTAGCTAAAGGTCTCGGCGGCGGGGTCGAGGTTGACATAGAAACAGCTGCGACGAGTGGACTGCAAGTGCTGGATCATAGCATTGCTGAAGGTGGTCTTGCCTGCACCTGCAGGGCCCATAACCAGGACACCGAACTTCGACATGATGTATGGTGGAGCGATATAGAAAGAAAAGCAGTATATCTCTTATCGCGTCGGTAACGAGAAAATTGTATTGCCGTGATCTGCCCGCTTTCACCGCTCCCGGGATCGCGCCATCACGGGCTGATGGGGGACAGAAAGTACGGCGTACATCGGTACATTGGCAGTACCTGGTTGGTCCCCACTTTCAACGCATACTTATTGGTACCAGCCGTGTACTCGCAAAAAGAAAACCCCACCATTTTTTCCCCTCCCCTTCTCTTCCCTTTTCTCCTTTCCCATCCTTCCCTCTCTTTCTCTTCTCTTTCTCTTTCTCTTCATTTTCCCTTTTCACACATTCACAATGGGTTCTCTCGCAAACGGTTCGCAGCCTGGCACTTTCCTTTTCACCTCCGAGTCGGTTGGTGAGGGTCACCCCGATAAGATTGCGTGAGTTTTCCCCTATTCTGACTTTCGCTCTCAATTCCGTGAAACTAATATGTGAACAGTGACCAGGTCTCCGATGCCATTCTCGATGCCTGTCTGGCTGAGGACCCCCTCTCCAAGGTCGCTTGCGAGACCGCTACCAAGACTGGTAGGTTCTGATTATTTCAGGCCAGATATGATCGTCCAAATCTGACATCTCACCTAGGTATGATTATGGTCTTCGGTGAGATTACCACCAAGGCTCGTCTGGACTACCAGAAGATTATCCGTGGCGCTATCAAGGACATCGGTTACGATGCTTCCGAGAAGGGCTTCGACTACAAGACTTGCAACGTCCTCGTCGCCATCGAGCAGCAGTCGCCCGATATTGCCCAGGGTCTGCACTACGAGGAGGCTCTTGAGAAGCTCGGTGCTGGTGACCAGGGTATCATGTTCGGCTATGCCACCGACGAGACCCCTGAGCTCCTGCCCTTGACCATCCTCCTCTCTCACAAGCTCAACGCTGCCATGAAGGCTGCCCGTAACGACGGCTCCATCCCCTGGTTGCTCCCCGATACCAAGACCCAGGTCACCATTGAGTACGCTCACGACAATGGTGCCGTCAAGCCCCTCCGCGTTGACACCGTCGTTGTCTCTGCCCAGCACAGCGACGATGTCTCCACTGAGGAGCTCCGTGCCGTCATCAAGGAGAAGATTGTCCGCAAGGTCATCCCTGCTGAGCTCCTTGACGACCGCACTGTCTACCACATCCAGCCCTCCGGCCGCTTCGTCATCGGTGGTCCTCAGGGTGATGCCGGTCTCACTGGCCGTAAGATCATCGTCGATACCTACGGTGGTTGGGGTGCCCACGGTGGTGGTGCTTTCTCCGGAAAGGACTACTCCAAGGTCGACCGCTCGGCCGCCTACGTTGCGCGCTGGATCGCCAAGTCTCTGGTCAACGCCAAGCTTGCCCGCCGTGCCCTCGTCCAGCTCTCCTACGCCATTGGTGTCGCTGAGCCCCTTTCCATCTTCGTTGAGAGCTACGGTACCTCTTCCAAGACCTCCGACGAGCTGGTCGAGATCATCCGCAACAACTTCGATCTCCGTCCCGGTGTCATCGTGAAGGACCTTGACTTGGCCAAGCCCATCTACGCTCAGACCGCCAAGAACGGCCACTTCACCAACCAGGAGTTCTCCTGGGAGGTCCCCAAGGCTCTCAAGTTCTAAGCGGGCTTTGCTGTGACCGGTGATGCCGGACATATTTTGACGACTTTGATGAGTTTGCTTTGTTTTCAACAACTCGAAGCACGATGAGCATAGAATTAAAAAACCCTACAAAATCCAGAAGTTGGCTTCCGCTTGGGGTCAACTTCCTTGTTTCATTATCTGCATGGTCGCGCAAAAGACGGGCCTTTCGGCGAAGACAAAATTCAACATGATACCACTTTTCATCGGCTGGGAAGGAAGTTTTTGGCGTTTTTCAGGAGCGACAGTCTTCAACAACCTCACAATACCTCAACACCGTCCACGGTGCTTCTCGAGAGTCGGTTGGTCCTGCTTCCACACAGGGCTATACTCTTTCGATGCGATGCAGTCTGCGTAGCGCTCTCTGTGAGAGTGCTCGAGGCTCTTCGTAGGTCCTGGACAAGCTAATCTAAACATTAGCGATAGAATAATCATAACTTCACATCTATCACATTTACCACTGGTTTTGGTTGCACCTTATTTCCTACGTAGCTGTAACACCTTAGATATTAACTTATATTTTCTTTCCCTCAAACCCTACTTACTACCTCTGTACAATTCTGCTCAATTAAAGTCGAGGCGGAGTGCACGTCCTGACGCGTGACGCCCGACCCACTACGCCTTGAGCGCGATCTGACAACACCCTCAATTGCAATCGAATGTCTCGATTGTTTGCATTGCATACACAATTACGCCGTTACACGATGCCACTCTAGACGCGACCATGTCCTCGCGTATAGTACCGAACATCCTGGATCCCCTCACCTCATCCGCGCTGAACAAACTGCACGAACCGACCCCTCCAACACTCAAGCGAAAGAGAAGCGACGATGACGAGATCTACAATGCTGCCGGCCAGCTTGCAACCTCCTCGATTGTCATCAGAGTAAGCAGAGACCCTGACCAACCCAACCCATTCCAATCCAATCCTCGAACCCTTCCTTACCCTTACCCTTGACTTGGTTACTGACAACCCATCCAGGCACACGCAGCGTCACTATCCGACCACCCTCTAATCCTCGAACCAATAACGGTCCTCTCACGCTCCCGCCTCCCACTCTCATGGCTAGACGATACACCCGCCTCCCGCTCAGACGATGAACCCGGCGGCCTCTTCACGGCTGATATTCCCACACTGGAAGTTGATCTGTGCGCCAAAGCTGAACCTACCGTTCTCGCGGTCCGCCTGCTTGCCAATGGGGGATTGTACATTGTCGAGCGCGTAAAGCGGGGTATATACTCGCTTTCTAAACTCGCGCGATGGGTGCATGAGGGTAATATCGTCGTTGCGGCTAAGGGGTGGCATGAATCCGAGGATGCAGATGTCGATATCAAGGATGTCAATGAGTCGACTGCTATGCCGGATGGATATGACTGGTGGCAAGCTGCTCAGATTGACGAGCCGATTACTGATATTGGAGTGGGCGAGAAGCCTACGCTGGATATTGCGCTTGTCTTTGGTCCGTCTGAGGCGGATGCCGGCGTTGCTGAGGCTTCATTTGTGGGTGTTTTTGAGCATCGGAGTCATTCGCTTGCGCCGTCTAGGAGCTTTGATGATGCTGATGGGGATCCGTTCGTGACTGAGCCGAAGGGCTTGGCGGATGGTGGGGATGCTATGGATGTCGATGGGGTTGAGTCTAACGCTGTGGATGTGCAGCAGTCGCCTGAAGTGTTGCTAGATGGGATGAGGGATCATTATTTGCAGGCTCTTTATGTTTCAAAGGTGATTCTCATTCGAGGTGTTTGGGGCTTGGATTGCGTGTAGCTAACAGCTTTTTAGACTTCTGTGGCATACTTTGCTAAGGGTCCTTTGACGCGCTGTCGGAACGCTTTTCAGGCTCGGGATACGGAGCAATCGCATGGATCAGCGGAACTTGTTGAGTTCTATCGTGAGGCCATTCTTGCGGCCAAGAAAATGGATCTCAAGTATAGAGAGGCGGTACCATCAGCAGTTCGTGATGCTGTGCTAGCTGATTCTGACGATGGTGCCAAATCCAAGAAGCGAAAGAGCAAGAAGAAGAAGAAGCTGGGTAAGAATGGTCTATACCCAGAGGAGGAAGGGTTCATCCATCGATGGTGGAAGGACAGACTTACGAACGAGTCCTCAGCCCAGGACTCGCGCGAAGCAGAATCCAAGAAGCAGATATCTGATCTCCGGCTCCGCGAGACACAGCTGCAGATCTTGTTGGTTCTGGAAGTCATGGTACTGGAAATGGGCATTGCCTCGGCGGAGAAGGACAATGCCCACAAGGGAAAGGAACCAGAAGGCGAGAAACAGACGCCGAAGAAACCCAAGGCCAAGAAACCCCAGGATTTGAATGTGCTTCTCGAACTCCATCTCGATCGAATGTGCATTTGGCATGCTGTGAGCATGGAAGAGACATCTGCTGCCGATACAGCAAAGGCTTCCTCGTTCAGCAGCAGCCATATGTCAGGCAAGAAAGTCGAAAGTGATGCAGTGCGTGACTTTTGCACGGAAGTCATCATTCCCTTCTATGCCGCGCGTATCCCCGATAAGTGCAAGCTGATCACCCGCAAATTCGGTGTATCTGGCGGTATCTCTCCGGCCTCTAAGAAAACGCAGTCATCGACCAAAGTGCCTCGGGTGGAACCCGGCACGGAAGTCAAGCGACAGCAGCCAGCACAGAAGCCTCGGCGGACATTGCAGCGTGTGCTTACGGATGAGAAAGCGGCAGCGTCCCATGTCCGACACCCGGGACTTAGTCGCTCTAATACGGCCCCGTCGCAGCACAATCTGAAGCGTGATACAGGGGAGCCTCTGCTGCCTGCTGTTCTGAGTGGCAGTGTCCGGGGTGGCATTCATAAAGCAAAGCGCACGGAGAACCGAGAAGTTGATCTCAACGCCGTGGCGCGGCAGCACGAGACCAAACTCAGAAAGGTTCAAATGCTGGTCGATCAGAAGAAGGAGTTAGACGCTGCTATCCACGCGCTGCGGAAACCCAACAGAGAACTCGTCTCCAAGGACATAGCAGACGATGCAGTCAAGCGGGTCACAACCAGTGGAGGCAGTTCAAGGAAGCCAAAGAACCCTGTGCGCAATCCATTCGGTGAAGGCGTACAGGTCATGGCGACTCCACGGGGCAACCGAAAGAAGGAGGTGGTAGGTCTACCTCCGCTACCTCGTAGTTTAGCCTCGTCGCGATCATTTATTGGTGTGGAGAACTCTCCTCTCGGCGAGTCTCCGCTCATGGTCCCCTCTTCCAGTCGACGGGCGATATCGTTTTCTGGCGCCGATTCCGACCCCTTTAATCCCCATGACGGTCCCAGCGGTCGAAGCCCGCGATCCAGTCAGCCCGATGGAGCTGTCCAGGAAACTCCAACGAGGCCCTCTTCCAAAATCTTCCAGAGTACAAGTGGGCTTGGAGACTCCATGGCTGCCCGTCGACCGTCTTCCTCCACTGGCAAAGGCCTCTTCCGAGTACCCAATCTCCCTGCTCCCCGCTCTACCACCCAATCAATGGTCCCAGGTACGCCTGTCCATTCGCGCCATAAGACAGTTTCCGCATCGACGGAAACGATGTCCTCGTCTCAACAGCTCAGTCAATCTCTCAGCGATGCTCGCTCCTCGGCGATCATGGAAACACCCCCAAAGAAGCGTGCGCTGCAGGAGACACCCACTACACCCTCTATACCATTTCCTACAACCCTCGACGCCATGGCCGTCGAACCTCCTCAAGCGCACTCCCCGCCAGCCGTCATGGGGACGCCAATTAAAGGTGCTGCGGCTGTACCAGTGACACCCGACAAATCGCAGTCGAAGTCGATCTACGAGCAACTTGGCTGGGATGATGAGATGGACTTTTAATATTCACTACATAAGCATATCTGAATGCATAGCGTGGTCATGTGGCATGCATTTTATGTGGAGTTTGCCGATTCTGTTTGATCGTTCTGTTATTTATTTTTGTACACGTTTATTGGTGTTTGGGTTATTACCCCTGGGCTGTGGAGTTCAAGCTTGGGGTTAAAGCACGGTTAAAGCACTGGCATGCATTGATTGAATCTTCATGTTTGGCATTGGTTACATATATCCCCACCGCATTATCTTAGCATCTTTATATGCAATACATTCTTTTATTCGAAGTAGTAAAGCTGACGTCCCCGCTTTAATGTACCAGAAGGGTATGGGTATATAGTAGACCTATTTGTAGAAGCATAAGTTATTAGATGAAAACCACTTGTTGAATCGGCCCTTTAACTGTAACTAATTAAGGCCAAATTAGACGTAAATCTATATATGTGGCTGTCACTAAATATATCCACACACTAACTTCACTAGGGCCCATCTTCCCTATTAGTGCAAGTACTAGATCGATCACAATTCAGAAGCCTTACGCATGGCCCCACCTAAAAGACAAGCTCGTATTCGCTTTCAACTTTTTCGAAACATTACTCCTGAAGCCCAAGATTTCTCTTCTCTTCTCCGGGGATATGTGGTCTACCTCGTCCATTTCCCTACGCCACTCCGACCCCGGGCCATGATCCACGTACGACGCTTCTAGGCCACCTATCATAAAACTGAAACAAACCCCCCGGCCCCAATGCGCGCGGAAAGTCTGCCAACAAGACCGAAGCAATTGACAGTCTCGCGCTCTGCGTGCCATCCAGTCCGGTCATGAGCGAACATGATCATCACCATCACCACCACTCGGTGCCGCATAAAGGCCAGCCACTACTATACATCCCAAATACACTATGGACACGCGCATTTGCGATAACGGTAATCGCCGAAACAGTCCTCACAGTCGCAATTGAAAGGTATGCGCTCGAATCCTTGCACTGCCAATCCCAACCCCAACCCCAACCCGGGACTCTACTGACAACGCCCTATACATGTAGCTGGATCCTCATAAGTCTCCGCGGCCACCTCGAAGATGACGGAAAAAATGACGGAACAATACGCCTCCTGTCCTTCCTAGGCCTATACATCTTCGCACTTCTATACGAACTGGCTCTATCATATGATGCCCTGCGCCGAAAGAATACAATCCAACTGGTCGGGCTCTGTATCTGTAATCTGGGCCTGTTGACCTATGGCTTTTTGCAGATGCATGAGATTAACAGTACCGTTACCACTGCGCTAAATGATAAGACTGTCAGCGACCATCTACTGAAAATATATCGCATTGAGCTTGTGCTTGTTCCCGTTATTTTGGGTGTTGGGACTGTTGCTATGACTTTCTTTACGTGGAAGTTGCGGGCTGAGTTCTCGTGGTCTATTTATAAGAATATCAGCGCGGATTTGCAGATGAAGCGGAGGTATCTTACTTATCAGGTTCGTTGCTAGGGCTGCTTATTTGTATCTTTTTTGGGGGGTTCTAGGAAACTGATCTCTCTAGGTTTATATTGCGCTCTTGAAATTCGATTTCTTCTTTGTGTTTGGAAGTCAACTTCAGATTCTCCTTGTTGTCCTTAAGGCTGAGGACTCGGATTTCATCGTTAATGCTGCCTTGATTCCGGTTACGATAGCGACATTGATTGGGGCTGCTCAGTTCTGCAAGCGCGAGAAAACAAAGTCTCTCATAACTATGATGGTAAGATTTAAATCGAGAGGTCGTATATTTGGTTTTAATCATGGACTAACAATCACTATAGTTCTTCATGCTCGTCATCATGGGATGTTTCGGCCTGACTCTCTATCGAATGCACATTTCCAGTGAAAGCAACCAATTCAGCTCAGTCCGAGTCTCCCTGACACTATTTTCCTCCCTATCATTGCTTTTGATGGGTATGACGCTTGTCAACTCCGTGTTGTGTATCATCAATTTCAACAAAGGATTGAAAAATCACGTTATGACTCCTAAGAAGCGACGGAAAGGTTCAGTCGCATTAGAACTTGAGTCTCAGGAGGCTCCTTCGCGGTTTTTGTTGCATTAGATATACGAGAATGACCCTTGTTACGTTCTTTTGAAATATGCATTTTTTTATCTTGTGGTGTATATATTGGTTCGTGTTATTTTTTATTCTCTTGTTGAAACGAAAATATCTGCATTGGAATAGGATGATCTTGAACTTAGGGCAAACGTCGACGATGTGCCGTACCGGTTGGAACCGGCGAATTTAAGATTTGCCGATATCCCCCGCCACGTTTTCTGCCTTCTTTCTTTTTAGCGCATTCCAAATACTCATCAATATGTGCGCCGATTTTTACATGTCTGCATGCCATAGTCAACGCACTACTCCTAGAGCCCCAGCAAGGCCCAAGAAAAGAGCTGTTGCGTAAGTGTCAGCCAATGCAGCAAGGACGTCCGCTGAAAGTTCTCGAGTTGCCACCGATGCCACGCTCAGAAGATTAAATGCTCCGGAGAAAAGCCATGCTCAAAATGTCGATCTGCGGGCTACGAAGCCCAATGCAGGTATGCGACTCGGGATCGCAAAGTACGAGTGGATGAAAGGTAGCTTCCTCAATCAGTGCGTTTGACGGGGATCAAAACTATTGCTGATGTACCACAGCTACCTGGAGCAACTCTTGAAGGATAGCGAAGAGTTGCATGACCGAAAGCGTCGTTTAAAAGAAACACGCCCGAATAGATCTGAGCAAATCTCAGACTTTCAGCAAAGTCCCGATACAATCGAGGAGAATGCTGGCTCGATGGCACAAACTGACCTCATCGGGGACAAGCCATGGTTCCAATCACACGATGCCTCATTGCTTCCTCTGTACATCAGTGAAGCAACTTGCACCGCCTTTGCCACTCGTCTATGCCAATCCTTAAAGAGAACGAATACACCAACATTGCATCTTCCAAGATCGCGTTATACTGACGAGTCTACAATTACATCTCTCCTTCATGCGGACATACAATGGCCCAGCCTTGTGTGTGCTCAGCTCTTGGTCAAAACCGCACTTGGTCACATCATGTCCACTTTCCATTTTGTTCTGAAAAAGGACACCATGGATATGCTCTATAGCGTTTATCAGAGCCAAGACTTTGAGAATCCAAGTATCAAGTGCAAGTTTTTTGCTCTCTTTGCACTTGGGAAAGTTCATTCGACTCCTTATGGGTCCTCTGATGCGCCATATGTACCGGGATCGGATTATTTTGCGAAGGCATTGAGTCTCATCCAGGTCATTCCCGAAAGACCAAACATGGTTCATATAGAGAGCCTGCTCTTGCTTGTGCGTCTTTCCTAAACGATCCTCTTCTTAACTAACATCTTTCAAGGCATTCTTCTGCCAATTCTTGAATCGTTTTCATTCAGCCTATCTCTTCATTGGAAATGCATTGCGACTAGCGCTCAGCATGGGCTTGAACTATAACGTCCCACAAAGTCAAAATCTACATCCAGTGGCACGAGAGCACCGAATTCGAATTTGGTGGTCTATTTATACATTTGATCGCTTCTGGGGCTCGAAATCTGGGTTCCCTGTTCAAATTCACGATGAGTGGATTCATGTTGATCTTCCCTCCAGTTTGGCCTCTGAAGCATATCCAGACCAATTCGCTGACAGTGCATTCGCAACGTCGACCATTGAACTTGCCAAGATCACCGGCAACACGACAGGAGATATCTACTGCCAAAAGCAATCTGTTGAGAGCTTCTTACATTGTGAACAGAAACTTCTGACTCAGTTGAAACGATTTGTCCAATCCCTACCTGAGCAGATGAGACTCCATTCAGATAAGCCAAACTCCAAAGTTGCGATTCATCTGCATCTTCAATTCAATTTTGTAAGAATCAGGTTTCCAGCTTGGCCTTACTCCTTTTTGAACTTATATGCTGATCTCCTTAGTGCGTGATCTTGGCCATTAGACCAGTCCTCTTGCACGTCTTGACTTTGACCAAGAAAGGCCACTCCAACCAGTCCACCGATACAATTTCACCAGTCCTAGTCACATTGAGTGAGGCATGCATACACTCAGCAAGACACTCTTTCGCTTTATGTGTGGATGAGTGGACGAGAGGATCCTTTGTAATATACGGCTATGCTTTCCCAGCATACCTCTTTTCAGCCGCACTCGTCTTGGTTGTCTCGAGTCTTTTGCCTCTTGGGAGTCCAGGCGATTTGACATCTACCGAAACTGCCTTGGAGATACTCAAGAATCTCAGCTTGTCTGGCAATCTTGCGTCAAGAGACCTTTATGATCACCTTACGCGGGTGCGGCAGTGCCTTGACGACAACTCTGTTTCTCCTGCACTGGCGCTTGATAATTCCGAGAATAATCCCGTCAATGCATTACCGATGGATGAAGGATTGCTTCCAATGCCCCCACGACCAAACCGATGCTCCGGCTATCCTCATGTTTCCTCGGGGTTAGAAGACTTGAATTCTCAACTCTTTGAAACCAACGTACCCTATCTAACTACAGAAATGGCTCTTCATCAGCCCACTATGCTAAATTTTCTGACGCAACCTCATGTGGACTTTGGACTCCTGGATCCGGTGGAGATGTTCAACGATTTCGATTTAGCCTTTTCAAGTTCTTCCAATTGATGTACATATTATGAAGCATTTTCCGATTTATCATCAGGCCGGCTGCATTGAATTTGACCGTGAAAAGTGGGCCATACCGCGGGTAAGCGGCGTCGGCCAACTTGAAGTTAGCCGTATGCCATATCTAGAAAAAGCAGATAAATGAGCAAGCTCTGCAGGTTCACGAAAGAAATATCTCATCTTTAAGACTTCTCCATGGCATCAACATATACCTATTCATTCTTCCGCATCTCCAAAACCGACAATATCGAAGCGTCATCCCAGGAATACCGAGACCTACGCTTAAACGCATTAAAAGCCTCACCGGGCTCATTCGCATCAACATACGAAACTGAATCCCTCTTCACAGAAGCCAACTGGAAAAACCTCATCACTGTCCCCGATCGTGAAGTGTTCATCTGTGTCGCAACACCAGTCCACGACCAATCGCAAACAAAATGGATCGGCCAAGTCACTCTACGAGGACCCATCTCCAAAGCAGACTTCATCTTACCAGAAGAATCAGGCCAACCAGCGCAGAAACCCGACGACGAAGAAGAATGCTGGCAGATGCTTAGCCTATTTACATTACCCGATCATCGTGGCCATGGACTAGGCGCCAAACTTTGTCAGAATGCACTTGATTATCTTCAATCCTATCGAGCTTCTCCGCAGGGAATCCTGGTGCGGCTTATGGTTAAGCCGGAGAATAATGTTACCGTTAATCTGTATAAGCGTCTTGGATTTGATATTGTTGGGAGGGCGACCCTTGTTGAAGCTCTCATTGCGAATGGTGATGAGCATCTTTTGCCGGATGATCGGAGTTCTGCTAAATGGTCGGATCGGACGGGGTTGATTATGATTTTGAGGATGGGTCGTTTATAGGTTGTTTTTGTATGTTTAGAATAGATGCTGTCATTGTTGTATTTGAATAGAGACCGGTTATTAAAGCGTTTCTTGGTTGATTCCTGTTCGCTTGGGCACTCGGTCTGGCTTGCCTGGTAATTGCAATTTGTTAGAGGAATTTAGGTGTCAGGCTACTCTCTGGAAATACAGAAGTTGACATGCCTATGTGTCGAATATCAGGAATACGTTTGAGACAGTATTGGGCCGAGAACAACATCTGATCAAGAAACCAAACGAAGCTCGATCTGGCCAAATAACCCCGGCCGCTTTACACTGCATTGCAGGTCTGTGATCACTGCGCGTGGAACTTGACCGACAAGGATTTACCACGTCGTGCATAAACAGAAACCAGCCCAAAAGAGGGGCCATGGCACAATCCTCATTTTGAAGCATCTGGGCAGCCATGCAGTCTCCTCGAAAAGTAGATAAATGATAGCCCCAATCCCAAAAACAACATATACAGAGGATCTTCAGCCTACACCGCCGTTCCAAAATGACCAGAACTAAATCCAACCTTCTCATTGCTCTCATTTATGAAGACCCGCAGATCTATCGCGATCTCGGCTACCCGGCTTCTCATATCTCCCATCTAGATACCTGTACCCCGGCCGAGGATGTTATCGTCGTTCTCAGCAGGCTCGGACACAGGGTAGTTCCTATCCCCGATGTGCAGACGCTGGCGAGAAAGCTCGGCGCCGGTGAAGGGGCGCAGTGGGATCTAGCGGTGAATATCGCTGCGGGGGTGTATGGAGCTGCAAGGGAAGCGCAGGTGCCTGCTATGCTGGAGGCATTTGCGGTGCCGTTTACGTTTTCGGATACGGCGACTATGGCGCTTTGTTTGGACAAGGGGAAGACAAAGGTGGAGTGAACCATTCTATTTTTCTATGCATGGAGGACATGTATCCGAGGTGAAGCGCAGGAGAGGGACTAAACTATAGGATCCAAGATCGATCTACAATCTGGATGTTAAGCGAAGGTCAGCCCTATACGGAGTACAATGGATACTAACCAAATAATGACAGATGGTCCTCGAGCACTACGGCATCCCGACATCCCCCTTCGCAATCATCAATCTAGACCGACATCCCGACAAACCCATAACATCAAACGTCATCAACTCCCTGACCAAAGGATCCAAACACGCATCGTCGCTCCTGGACCCAGCATCATACCCACTCTTCGCAAAGCCACTAGCAGAAGACACCTCGAAAGGAATCAAGGAGATAAGCGTCATCCATAACGTTAATCAGCTCTGCCAAGCCATCGAAGAACTGCGCTTAAGCACACGCGCGATCCCAGCAATCCTAGTCGAGAAGTTCCTGGCAGGTCGGGAGTTCACAGTGGGGATCCTAGGCACAGGCGATGACGCATGGGTTCTAGGAGTCGATGAGATCGTGTGGAGCGATCAGGTCAACGGGGACTCTGACGTTGTGCAGTTTGCGACTGAGAAATCCAAGACTAGTGAGGACTGGGATGGCATCGCGGATGAGATCCCAGCCAATCGGGCGGATCCGCTGGTCGAGCGGGCATGCACGGTCGCCTTGCGGGCCTGGAGAGCAATAGGCTGTCGTGATGGTGGACGAGTTGATGTTAGGTTCGACGCTTCGGCCGGAGTGGCAAATGTTCTGAAGGTAAGTCACGTCCTACGGAGAGTGTCATGCCATAGGGCAGAAACCCCGATGACATGGATTGCTTGATTGATCGAGAGCGTGTGCTTATGCTGTTTCGTTTTCTTGTTTGCTTATCTTCATTGTCGTTGGAGTGGGCAGACATGACGAAATGTCATATTGACGTCAATTTGGAGAACATCCGATACTGACGTCTTTCTCTGATATAGATCAATCCATTGGCGGGTCTGAAGCCTGATTGGTCTCAACTGCCGATGATTGCTGCGCACAATGGCATGTCATTTGAAACTTTGTTCGAGCATATACTTCGCAGCGCACTGAAGAGGGCTCCAGCGCAATGGAGGATGTGACATTTGGTATGATGAAAGCTGACCCGATCGGCGGGGAACTCGCCACCAGCCCTGACAGCTTTAGCCCATACATAGTTCTTGATCGCCTTCTTTCATATTCCACCAGTGAGGATCAGGGTCCACCAACCCCCCTGTTCTTGCTTTGGGCCTGCGTTAGTTCTCCAGACTATGACCCTGGGGCAACGGATCGTCACGACGGATGTCGCCGTTTTAGGGTGTCATGTGACCGGTTACGCGGCTTGGATGAGTCACGTTCGCCATCCGCCAAACCTGCCCAGTTGGGAAGTCAAGAATAGATATGTGGAGGCAAACGTTGAACATGGAGAAAATAGATGTTACAATGGAATGTTTTATTTTGTAAAGTGGATGTGCCCAGCAAAAAATTATTGGTAAATTAATAAAGACAGTATCTGAAGATAGTTAAGTAGTTATATACAGTGCTCATTTTTATTGATCATCAAAGTCGTCAAGTCGTAATATCGTAGGCCGCAAAAAATGGTTCAGGAAATGTTCGTGACGTCGAGGATGTCGAGGATATAGGTGAAGTTGAGGGAGTGGTATATTAGGGCATCATCAAGGATCAATCGAGTTTAACCCGCAATGGGAGAAACCATGCATGATCCTCCTGTCCAGAGGTGTTTTGATGTTGCCTCAAGACAGTTACGGCCCTTTTCCAAAAAACCATTTTCGGACGAGTGTTCGGGAGACGGTGGTGAGGCTGTTGGAGGAGGAACAACGACAGGCTCAGCGCTGATGGAGACTTGTTGGTTGGTGATTTCAATGTGAGGCTCGTTGGCCGGGGCCCGGATCTTAGGCATAGGTAGTTCGGCGTTTCTCATATCGTCCATTTCATCTTCCTCGTCGGTATCCTCGAAGTCGAATGAGCTGATGCGAGACTTCATATCATTCTCGGTCCACATCACGGAGCCACAGTGCAGGCGGAAGTGAGCCACGCAGCGGCGAAGGTCGGGATCGGGAGCAGTGGCTTCACGGGCAAGCTTCTCCTTGGAGAGATGTGTGAGCTTGTAAGGGAGGGCATTGCGGTTCGCCATAGGGGGCCAACGTTTCTTTTGTGGAATTGGCACGGAGGCAGTCGGCTTTGGTGTCTTGGGTGTTCTTTGTGTGGTACCAGTGTTCATAGTTGATGCTGATGTGTGGATTTAAATAGCAACCATATATGTATGGGGTGTGTTTTTTAATAGTGTGTCAAAGTCAAAAAGGTTTTAAGAACGATGAACAGAGAACGGTTTAGAGATATTAAGAGATTCAAAAAGAAAGAAATCGAAGGGGGTCAAGGGAGTACCAAGTCTTATACGTGCAGATCGTGCAATGGGGAACCTGGTCCAAGCGCTCTGCCGTGTCACCAGATCACGAAACCGGTTCTAGGCCTGTGTTGTGTCAGGCCCAGATTCCTTTTTTTCCGCCAACCCTTGGCCTCGTTGGTTTCTTGGTATGATTCATTACAAACTTAACATAGTGGCTTAACTTACCCCATATTTTGGTTCCAACTGTAATTATTCCGTTAAGAAAATGATTCTCAACCCTAGGGAAACCCTATGGAAGGCCTGTGGAAAGCGTGTGAAAATTCTCTACACTGCGCGGTGTGCGTAGCGGCTATTCGGACCCTCTGAGTGGGGAGGCCCAGTTTTCTGATCAGTTGATGCTTCGAAAATTTTTCGGTGGGGACCTTTCTGCGGAGCTTATCTTGCTCTATTCGTGAGGATCCCTAGCGAAAAAAATAGAAACGTTGCACGGGGAAACTCACGATCCCCACGGATTACCTTCCCAGGAAATCCGAACCCCCTCATCGCTTCGCCCCCCGTGGCAACGTTTTCGGCTTCACGATGCTAACGGTGCTTGCAGTTACCAGTCTCGTCTGGTGATGTTTTTCTTTTCCTTGAAGCAAATCAAACAGAAATAGAACTGAGATTCCCTTCAAGAACTACCCTGATCTCCCACCCTTCTCTCTAACCATCGCATCTATAGTGGATTTTGGCCAGGATGACTCAGCAAACCCTAACTTCGCGCATTCAACCCTTTGACAACCCTAAATTCCACTGCATTCCCCGACCATCCTCTTCCCACGGCTGATGTGGTGAATGTGTATATGCGTGTACACCGACTCCTCCGCCTAGCATTCCACACATTGGCGTCCCACTCATATTTCCCCCCTCCCTCTTGACGATCTTTTGAGCGGCAGGTGTCCATTCGCCGAAGACGGTTCTGGTCCCTAGTCGCCTGGTTATAATATCCGCCGCCCGTGCGACCGTGGCTAAGCTCCAGACCCCCTCCCTAAACCTACCCTGGCCTTCCGTGGGGCCCGACCAAACAAATCAAGTAGTGGCGCTTTAATATGGAGTGCACTTGTTAATAACTTGGCGCTCAAAATACTGTAATATGGCAATAGCGAAAATTGTGTTTGCCAATGGCTCCGGCTTTAATATTTTCCCGCCCCATATCCCAAAAATTACTTAAGGGGGGACTGACGGTACTGTACAAATACATGTACATGTACACTTCACAATGGACGTTACTCCGTAAGCCCAGACTCAGAAAAGCAAGCCAAAGCAAGCCAGAGAGGCATTGTTGCAGATCAAGACGCGACACCGTTGGCAACGAATGAGACAATAATCAAAATATGGCCAAATCCGCTGCATTAATGAACCCCACTGTTTCCAGTGCGTTGGTCAAGGCTATTGCAGCCACCTAAGCCAAAGAACCCAGTCTAGAATTTCCTTCAGAGGGCTGGACAATGGAAAGCAGGTTCTCTCGCACACTAGCACCCGTGGCTGGGCCCACTACAGCTTCTAGCTCGAACTAGTTCTCTCACATGTTGCGAGCTAACAAACGTTTATTAATGAGGCGTTGAATGTTTCAGATGTTGATTTGCTCGAGTAGTGCTGCAGGCTATATCTACTTTGTCTGGTCGGTTTAATGCATCCGCCGTCTTACTTTGTGATGGATACCCTCTAACTTAGCGGCGGACGCCCGACATCTTCTCCGAGGCTTGAATGTACAAGGATGTTGCCCGTGCGGTACCGCGGTTTCTGTTGGAACCACGAGCGATCGTCAAAAAAGTTGATAGTCTTATCTAGATTTGTGCAGGCTGAATACGACGCGGTTCATCCGCTGATCCAACTTGATCTCGTTGTTTCACCGGCCTTTGGGGTCTGCAAAATGGTCACATGGCACGGGGCTTGAAGTTCACCCTTGGAACAATTAAACATGTATTCGATCTTCTCACGAACTAGATCAAGAACGCAGCTAAAGTGACTAGTTGGTGAAATTTGCTCTTTGGGGATCGTGTCAACAAGCATTCCGCTGCGATAATTTCTTCCTACCGCAAAAGGGGGAAATATTTTTCCAGTCTACAATACTGCCACCTAATTTAAACAAGGTCTTTCCCATTTTGATAGAGCCTGACAATTTCATTGTCATCGATGTAGCATCCCGATGGCGTAGTTTCGCCCTACCGTGGTTCGGACTCGGCCCGGCCGTCCCGCTGAGATCTTTGCACTGAGTGTCACCTGGGCACATTCGGCCGCATTTGTTATGAAAGAAAATAAGACTAAGTGGGGCTTTGAGAATATACCATGATTTCTAGGGCTAATTAATGATCGTACAATATTCAAGTTACTCAGCCCGCGGGATACCTGTGTAGCTTTTCGGGGGGTATAGTGGTCTCTACCTCCGCCTTCATTTTAAGGACGGGTTAAGAGTGTCTCAAATATTGTAAGAAATCTTGAGAGAAACTACAAAATGCAAAATGTATCATTGGAAATGGCCTTGTTGAGCACACTCCCCTTGTGTGCACATAACCAGATAACCGCTCAGCTCTCTTAGATCTACACCTTGTCTTCCCATCCGTCTTGAAGGCACAGACCTACTTTCAAGCGTTTGGTCCATGGAGACCTAAAATATGTTGTCAAATTCTTACTCAATCCTTGATCAGATGACTACGCGGTCCAATGTTGTAGTACCTCGATGTCTTCTCCATGTGATAGTTGCCTGTCTCAAGCCATATTGTTGTCTACGATTCATTCTCGTAACAAACTACAAAGACGATTCGATCCAATAGAAACAGACTTTAAATCTCTTGGAACTCCGCTAGTCCTATCTCATCCCCTTCGATTCGTCAAGTCCAGCGGCAGCAACTGCATGGTATCAGATGATTTTCCCCAACTCCGCAGAGGTTGAAGGGCTTTGCACCCTGCCGATCTTATTCGATCTCTGTCTAGGTCATGGGCTTTTCACCTCATGCGCGATGCATCTCGCCTACCGGCCCCTGCTGCGGCCTGAAGTATTCCTGACTCACGCTAATGCCTAAACCCAGCCGGGATTTGGGTGTGACTATCATTGCCGTGTCAGGGTTTCCTTTCCGAGAATCGGACATACAGCTGCAGCTAAGGCATTTTCTGGGCTTACTGGGACCTTTGCGCCATACAGTGAATGTCAGACGACATGGGTTCGGTGGGCGCCGTTGCCGTTGTTCCGAGATCTCGTATTTGTGGGGTTATGACTTAGTATCAGGCAAATTATACAACCAATCTCTTTAGTTCATTCTCTGGTAATCTTTGTCACACAATGAGTGTTAAATGTGCCACTCAGTAGACAACTTGGTTCACCTGGTTTCGTGGAAAGCCCAGGTCTGTATCTCATAGTATACAGAATGACCCATAGGCACTATTTATCTCCAGCGGGTTGTCTTTCAATAAAACACAAATCACAACGTAGACTGTCGGTCATTGAACCTCTTCCAGGTCATGCCAAAGGTCTGTGAACTGTGATAGATCAAAAGCTAGGAGACAACCAATTCAGATGTGAATCTGTACAACACGTAGCCCCGACGCGCAACGCTCCGAGTCATCTCAGGTATACCCAATATGGAAAAAGGCAAATCACAACTCCCTGCTTTCTATCTTGTTTGTGACGCGTGATGACAACGCCTACATGCTTTAGTGTTTAGCGCCTGCTTGTCTTTCCCCGCGAGTCATAGCTTACCACTAGTCCCTGAACTCCCATGAGCAGATATAAGACTGTCTAAGATAGGTCAGGATCTGTGCACCCCGTTCCATCGGAGGCTGCCGCTTTTCTAAGGCTTGGCTTGTCAAAGAAGTGGGGTTGGCTGGTCTCCGGGGTAGTCGCTTTTGTCCAAACTCCCGGTCAGAACCATATTTGATGGTTATTCCACTAGTAGAGATGTGCCGGGAAGCGCTTGGTGTCGCTGTAGCATCAAGAGAGAAACTTCTTGAACTTTGACTTGGATATATCTTTAGAAGTCAAACAGGCTGGGACTGCTATTGGACTGTCATCTTTGGCATTTGCAATGATTTTGGCGCTGACGAATTATCGTTTTCAGCAGCTTGATTTTCTTTTGTCAATAAAATGGCCCCGCATGTGTCGAACATAGTTCCCAGGGAATGAAGGGATACAGTAGATGTGGGGGTCTTGTATACATCATGAACGGGGCTTTTACCTGGCTAGGAGGTGGCGGCATCGTGGGAGTCATATGTTCCCTAAGAATTTCATACACTCCATATTTGTAATTTTTAGTCTATATGGTGGACGTTTATAGCGGTTGTTCTCAGATATACATATTGTTCAGTACCCTGCCAGGGTCCAAGTCTACGAGAGAGTAGATTTGCGTGGCATAAAACAGCACAAACACCCTTATATTAGTGTTACTCAATCATATTCGAGGTGGTAATCACGACTGCATGTTGCCTCCAGCGCTGTAGACCGAATTGGACATACGATTAAAATACAAACATCGATTCTGCAAGGTCTAACTTGAGTGCCCATGATCAAGAGATCCAGTCTTTCTCCAAATTGGAGTTGCAGAGTCACCTTGTGCTCTGTGAGCGCGGCACCATTGCTGTCATCTGTGTTACTGGGAGAAAAGCCGGCGCCGAGCGTGGAAAACGGCAGCACTCTAAGGCCGGCCATTGTGAAACCCGGACCAGTGTGTATATTATTTGGTCTATTTCCAATTTAGACCCCGTACATTCACATACTTATGGATGTAGTCCGTCCATGTCACGGCGGGCGTTGTTGTGCAACCTAGCTACATCTTGCTCTACCTCGTACAGCCGTCGCGGATGGTGCGGTCCCCGAGTATAGCAATAATTAATTCCGAATTCGGTGATAGTGTCGACCAGTCAATACCGTTGTATAGATGGAACTTGGAGCTTATGCTGATTGGGTCAGTTCAAGAGACTCTGTTTCTCGCACGGGCCGTTGATCGACTCCCTAGTTTCCGCTCAAGTGACCTTTTCATCCGTCAATAGCCTCTCTCGTTGGTCATCTGCTAGTTGTTGGACGAATCATAGGTTTGTGCTTGGCTTGAATAGTTCCTGATCTGGAAAGGCACTGATCCCGCGACACAAGGCTTTCGTGCATATTGCGAACATGACCATTCCACCCCGATAGTGTCTATTCCATGGGGCTTATAGAGCCATCCTCCTTCAATATGACCATGACTTGTTCCTCATTTTCCTGAAACTATGGAATAATGAATGTACTGTATAATATCTAAATGAAACATGGCAGCCTCGGGCCAAATAAAGCATGTCCACGCCTATCTTCATCCATGAAGCGCTAGTTCTAAATGGTCGTAGCTCCAAGGTTCTGCTAAGATGACAAGGTGCAGCCTGGGCTCAGTCCCCTCGGCCCCTTCCTTACTCTTATTTACGGTCCCTCGTTGCCTCGTCCGGAGGAATATCGCCCGAATTCTTGGATGTCGGCACAAAAGCAGGAAATACCTTTAGGGCTTGAATAGCCAGGACGACTCGAATAGTCAAGTGGCTTCTTTTATTTTGTCCTCATTATTCAGAATCTCCGGTGTTCAATCCGATATCATCCGACCGCGCATATCTCTGGTGCTCTACTCCGGATTGGACCTTCCGCACCTGCATGCTGCATTAGCTGACGCCCAGAAGCATGCATATCTCCTGGTATTATATTCATCTCTCTCCGCTTCTATAGGGTCATCTACATTTATGAGCTCGATCCGCGTTTCTCTTTACTCGCCTTTCCTACTCCTTTCATAAACCCATCGGCCTGGCATTTTTGAGACACTTCGAGTTACACCGTCCCAGAATCCAGACTAAATCGACGCGATCTTAGCCCTATCAAAGGCCTATTACAGTGTCTAGACTTTGCCCTTGCTGTGATGAGATGGTCTCTAGAGTTAAAATAGGAAGGCCAGACCATTTAGACGCTGTTTGAGGGTTTCTTTAGCTTAATATACGCACATAGTCCGCTCTTCTCCAACGATCAGCATGGAAGTATCAAAATCCGAATATAAAAATACACGGACAATACCAATACCTCAGGTTGGTTGATCTCGTGATTGGCCCTAAAGTGACTTGGGAATTTGAAATTAAAGCCTTGTGCTCTTGTGCTACCGTTGCACCTTTTTATTATTATTCTGTTCTGTTTCTCTCGTTGCCCCCTCCTGCATGCACCTCTCCTTTGTTGCCCAGAAGACGCAGGGTCCTCCGTGTTGCTCAACCCATATCGAGGACTCGATCACTGTGCCACCTCGGAACATCGTCCTGCTTGGATCCCGGAGTCAAAAGAACAGAAACGCATTCTGAGGCTTAGGCTGCAGTCGGGTTCCACCGTGAATTATCTCACTTGTACTGGCCCTGTTCGTACCCCAGCGCCGTATCCGCGCCTAGCAGATCACAAAAAGATTCTTGTTCCCTCCGGCTCCATATCTCATTGAAGTGTGGACCATATCCGATCCTATTGCCCGGGGCACCAAAGTACCAATCTCCTCCAACATCAAGAATCCGGGTCTTGGGTGTTTATATTTTGCTTGATTCGGCATCCAGATACTTGCTTTTAGTGCTTCCCACGAGCACGGGGCATCTTCGTGCAGAAATAGGTCATTTTCTGATTCGGTGCCACATTTGCTTCTCGCAGGAGACAGTAAGTCTCATATTTCTGCTTCCCGAGGCCAATCACAAGACAGCCACACTCCTTTTTTCCCCTTGCAACTTGAGTTCTCCCCGATAAACCCAAGCAAGAGCAAAGTGCAAGTCAGATCAACGCAGATCAGTATAAGTTATCTTGCCGTTGATCCCTGATATATCAGGCCACCGACCTTCACCGCCTCGAGTCCTCCCCCTCTCAAGTTCATCCGAACCTACCCAGCCCCAAGCTACTTGGACTTGACCTATCCGCTGATCTCAGGCCAAAAGTCCTCTCTTGCGCCACTCCCTCTTCAGGGCCTCTTTTGCGCGTTTATCCCGACGCGCCTCTTTGCGGCGGGCGCCTTGAACGATGTATGACACGCCTCACTCCTTATCTACAATGAATGGTCTTGGAGATCCTGTCGATGGCTCGGGGACTATCGATCCTGCGAACTTGAGCAACTCTGGTATGTTCCACCTTCTATTGATGCTACCTGTCCTTGCGCCTTTGTTATTTCTTCGATTCACCTCGCAAATCGTTTCGCGTCCGCGGCCTGTTCTTGACCTCTGATGAATCGCATCGGCCCTCTGACCTTTTTTCTTTGTATCACTCCCCCGTCGCTGCTTTCAAACTGATACCCCTACTAGTATCTGTTGTCCAGCCAGCCCAATCCTATCTAAATACAAGTCCCCGTGGTGTCAAGCGTAGTCGCACTCCAGAACACAGCGGGAATGGACATGCGGAAGGAGAACTGGATGATGGTATGTGCGCGGCGGGGGAGACGTTATCAATACGCTCCATTCATACTTCTTTTTAATCCTAGCAATGCTTTGCATATCTGCCCTCTCACAGCGTCTGGATTCTTCTATGAGTTGTACTAACTTATCTCTCTTTAGATGAACAAAGTCGTCGCAAGCGCGGTCGTCCCCCAAAGACTCCTCGCGCAGGCTCCAGTGAACAACCTGTCGCGAACACACCCACTCAAACACCCCAAATGCAATCTCGCCCACTGCCGCAGGCAAACGCCGGGTCGCCGCCTCTTGCATCACCTCCGGAAAATAAGACTACCCCATCAAAGTCGCAGGTTAAAGCGCTACCCACCGTGAGGGATCATACGTCCGACCAACTGAATCCAGAAGGCGATGAGTACATTCCAAAAGAGTTTGATGAGGCAGGAGAGACAAAGGCAGACCCTATGGGATACCCACTTGGTGGCCGCGAATACAAATGCCGGACATTCCGCGTTCCCCTCCGCGGTAACAAACTGTTCATGCTTGCAACCGAATGCGCGAGGGTACTGAACTATCGAGATTCATATCTTTTGTTCAACAAAAACCGGTCCTTGCATAAGATCATCGCATCCCAGATTGAGAAGGACGACCTCATCCAGCAAGATATTCTCCCATATTCTTATCGGTCCCGTCAAATCGCCATCGTTTCCGCCAGATCCATGTTCCGACAGTTTGGGAGCCGGGTGATCGTAAATGGCCGTCGGGTTCGGGATGATTATTGGGAGAGCAAGGCTAGGAAACAGGGTTTCACAGAGGATGACCTGGCGGGCGAGAAGCGTCCTGGTGCGGCCAAGACTCGCGATGGCTCGACCACAGAGCCTGCAACCAACCTGTTACCGGCACTTCCCCACAACGATGTTGTTTACAGCAGTACTATCGAACCGCTACCTCCTGGACTTTCTCTTGATACTAGTGACGCTTCTGCTTCCCTGGCGTCACTCCCGATGATTCAGATGGCAACAACAGATGACCCGCGGCTGCGAGATTACAATGTCATGCCTCGTTCCCGCCAGGAAATGACGGGACAACCTTACCATGACCGCACGCAAACCAGTTCGGCAGCAGAGCTCCTCAATCAGGCTTCACATACCGCCGATTTTAACAAGATGCTAAGCTCGCAGCGCACCTTCCGTCAGAAAGGTCTGGATGAATTTTACTCTAGGCCCCGTGAAGCTCCTGAAACAGAGCCTCAGTCCAGTACCGCTCTTGACTCGGGTTTGTCTGTGTCACAGCCAGTTCAAGTATCCCATATCCCCACTGGTGGGATGGCAAACCCTTCTCATACCCAGCACGTGATGGCTCAACAGCCTTCCATGCAGGCTTCGATGCACCAAAACGCTATGATGGGTGGACAACCAGGCTACCCGCAGACTCACCAAGCCGTTGGACAATCTCCCCTCAGAGTTCCTCCGGGTATGCAACCTGGCATGATGCACCAACGATCCAACCCGTCCATGGCTTCCGGTATGGCTCAGCCTCCTCCTTATGGGTATCCATCTCAGCAGCAGCAAATGTGGGGACAGCCACCACCCCAACCGCAGCCATCTCCGTTGCCCTCTTCCGGTCATCAGGGTGTCGGCATGTCTCAGTATGGTCAACAAATGGCCGGGGTTCCTCAGCAAACACCATCTCCTCTTCATACGCAGCAGCAGCACCACCAGTCTCCCCGGAACCAGCAGCGTCAATCAATACCGCAAATGCCACAGTCATTCCCTCAAATGCAGCACGCACAACAGGCTCCGCCGCAGGGTATGCAAGGCATGGGCTATCCTGGTGGCACACCAGCCGGTTATCCAGGCATGCAACGACCTATGTACCCTTCAAATCAGGCTCCGGGTGGCCAGCCCTTTATGGCTGGAAATCCTCAGCAGGCGGGTCTTGCAATGGGCATGGGAGGCGCCGGTATGCCCGGATGGGCTGGACCTGGTGGGCCGATGCAACAAGCCGGACAGCCTCAGTCAGGCCAGTCTGGGAGCCCACTTGGCGGCGGATGGGGTTACTAGATTGCAGTCAGCATTGTCTAAATTGGTGTTTTTTCCCTTGGCTTTTTTTACAGCATCATCTGAGACGCTATCTCCTTGCTATGCTTTCATCATCTGCTTTTCTCTTTTGTGTCTGACTTACTCCCCTTTTTCTGATGTTCCAGTGTTCCTCTGCATTCTTCACTGCATGCTGTGGTGTGAAGGATCTTCGGTTAATGTTAATCTGGGCCAATATTCCTATACCCTTTGTTGACTTGTACGTGATCAAGGCACCTACCTGGTTGTTGTCTTTTTCCGGTGTGTCTTTACCGGCGTTGTTTTTCTATCTGATTTCTATCAATTCGGCGTTGATACTACTATCTGGACAGAGTGTTACAAGATTACGAGTTTGTATGTTTCAATTTCTACCCTATACATGGTCGATAGAAATGTGTGTGTACGGCGGTCGAAATCCGGGTCTAGTTTCTTTGTCCTTGTACCTTGGCCGAGACGTCTGATAACTCTCGGCCGTTCGGAGGAGTCAGTGTTCAGTGTTCACTTGCATCTCCACTATTTATTGGTTTCTTATCATTATCTTACTATCTGCTACTTTCTTGTTTGTGCATTACAGTCTTGTTTAAGACTCGTGGTTTTCTTTCCTTTCGTTGTTGTTTTATCTTTGGTTATTTGTTCTATCTTGCATTACCTCTGCATGGTGTATCACTTCCTATCCCTCTGGTGTCCACTTCTGCTGTCTATTGTTACTTCTCGCAGTTTAAATCGGCATCCGAGATGCTTTCTCTTCTTATCTTTCTGTACTTCTCCCTTGCCTGCGTTGCACTAGTTTCAGATTAATGGTGATTGGTACATACCCCACCTACTCTACTCCCTTGTTATCTGGCTCCGCTCTTGGTTGATGTGGTAGATGGTTGGCGTTATTTCGCAGATGACAATAGTCTTTCTTGCCTACTACAATCGTTGACATTCAAACGCTAATCAACTTCTTCGATTTTGAGCATTATGACGCTACTTATCTTTCTACTCGAATTTAGGATGGGTTGTAAGAAGAGAGAGAAGAAATTAGCATTCCTATCTCTTCGATTAATGTAAATTGATGGTGTGTGTGGTTTAGTGTCGTGGTTAGTAGTGGACGGGTGCAAAATCAAAAGCAAACAGAAAAAAAAAGCGTCCCCGGGAAGGCTCGAACTTCCAACCTCCTGATTAACAGTCAGACGCGCTAACCAATTGCGCCACGGAGACTTGCTTGTTGAGATACCTAGTCTGCTTCTGCTATATCAGCCAGAAAGTTTTGATGCTAAATTACTAGTAACGAACGATAAGTTAGTGGGAACTTACATTGCTTATAGGTCAAGCTTACCTTTCTGAAGAGATGATACTAGGCTCTAGGTGATACTTCAATGGTTTTTTAGAAAAAAAGAAAAAAAAGAAAAAAAAGAAAAAACTGGTTGTTTGTTCTTAGAGATGATACAAATGTAGATATATATCACCGCAGACATTGATGATACTACAACCATGGGCCTATATTATTGGAGACTAGGCAGCCCAGTCCGCACAAAGTAAAAACTGACGGACACAACAAGATGCTAGCTATAGTTGGTTGTCGCACCTCGACGCCTGAAGTATCTACCATATGACAAGCTGTTCACAGAACAATGTAGCAGACCATCCCAGGAAAATTACACCCTAGTACATAACTAAGTCTCAGTATACGATACTAGATATTCTTTAGATGGCCAAATAGTCTGTTCTAATACTGACATGCAAAGTTTTATCATACTTACTTGACACCCAATCCTCATACTCCAACCGAAGCAGACCCCCACGCCATTGACGGAAGAACAAACCAAGGCCAACACCAACGCAAGCACCCAAGCTTCCAAGTAAGACACAATGAACCTCAAATTAATACCCAGAGGACCCCGGCTGCCTAGGTATCATATAAAAGACAAGAGCCTGATCACCAGCGAAGATCTGAGCTATGCACACCTAGCGACATATAAAGGGCACACAAAGAATAACTAAATGACCTTAGCAGGAGACTACAAATGCGATAGACTGCCTTACCAAGTGCACTCGGTGAATACTATGTTACTCCCCCATGGTCTTGCGTAGAGCAAGAGCGTCTGACATGGCTAGACCGAACATAACACCGCGGAGTATAAGTTGGTAATCTCCAGGAATTGATGCCCACCGCCGCCCCCCACGCCTCCCCTTCTCTTCCTCCCTAGGAGTGTCAAACCGAGCTTGAGATAATAGGACCGTAATCATTAAATTGGCACCCTTCAGTACTCCCTTTCCCCTCGCTTACTTACTTAGCCCCTCAATTAAACCGAACTGCATATGGATAAATAGAATAAATATATGAAGCAATCAATGTCACATCCCCTAGAGATCTTGATGACTCTGCCACAGCCAACGTAGTATACACCCACTCAAGTGTGCTATAAATGCATATATGAGCACCCGCCACGGGATGTTAGAGCAGCTACACCGTGGAAGTTCTCCTAGATCAAGCAAGGGTCTCGTTGCAAGTGAGGTAAATTGATCGCCCCTCACACTTAGAGCATATATATTACAAGGGTAAAACAACCGACCTAAACCCCAAGGCCATGTAATCATATTCCATATCTTCCAGGAAAAACCCGATTGTATTCACTACTCCAATATACAATCCCACAGAAGGGATAACCTAGCCGCTTTATCTAAATCACTCAACAAGATGAACAGCAGGTGTGCAAGCTTTCCACAGACACATGACACATATACTTTAGTGTATAACAGGACACTTTGACCAACGGTGTCATAATTGTAAATTATGTAAGTTCGGTTGAACGTATTCAAGCCGGCATTCAAAGCACAGAAAATGCTACGATGCTAAAGGAGATTGGAGTTTACCACCCCCAACTTACCCAATTTTGAGTAACAAAATATTTCTTTTTCTTTTTTAAAAATAAATTACAATGACCCCCCTCCAAAAAGGCTTCATTGATTCAATGAATGAATGATTGAACAAAAACAAAAAACGAACGTCCCCGGGAAGGCTCGAACTTCCAACCTCCTGATTAACAGTCAGACGCGCTAACCAATTGCGCCACGGAGACGTGCTTGTTGAAGAGCTGCCAATTTTTGTGATTAATGAACCAGAAAGACAAGCGCCACGGCTGGTAAGGTCTAGTTACGCACTTAGAACTATACCTATCCAGGTTTCGGCCCATTTTACATAGACATTAATTCGCTGGGTTATATGATCTGTCTCTACCCTGTATCAGGGTTTTTGTACCTGTGTAGCAGTTTCGGGCGCAGAAAATCTCTTCCGGAGCTGCATTCTCGCCTTTGTGAGTTAAGTTTAAGTTACTAGTCAATGAACTGCTATATATGCACATAGAAACTGGCGATCGCACTGAGCTTTGTAACGGCATTTCAACGACTCGAAATACTTCCAGGTTGCGGTGAGTATACAATTCTCATGTATTTGCGCCCGTGGCTTTCTACGTCACAAGGCAAGACCCTTCTACAGCATTGAGGGAAAAACGAGGATTCTGTGACCCTTCTTAAGGAGGCATGAAATTAGACGTCCAAGGAAAGAGCATCTCTCTATAAAGTTATACAAGGGTCTTGTCCGCTGCTAAGGACTCGTTTATCAGGGACCAGTAAAAGTTATAAATCAAGCTGCACGCAAAACGAGCCCGTGGGACCCGGTTATGCACCTTCTTCTGTCCAACACCTTTCCTGTAGGAGGCTATCAGCAAGTACGTTGGTGAATGTGCGATAAATAAGACATACTGGCATGCTTCAGGTTGCGAACGCGTCTGCTCCTCAAGTTCAGTGTCACTCGAAGGGATTTCTTTTTGAAGGACAGAGAGACAGAGAGTGTCGAGTCAATAGTTGAGCTGTTGGATTCAACGAGTCAATGGATCGAAGTTGAAGCTGGAGAATCAGAGGTAGTTAACGTAGGCCATGGCTAACTAAGATCTAGTCAGCTCGACTAATTCTCCAGATAATCAACCAAAACAAGGGAGGTACCCAATGCAACCAGGATCAGAGCCAGGAAAGAGGAGAGCACAATATCTTGGACCCAGTCGCTCGTGAGAATTTAGCGCCCAGCATGAGCATATGGGAAAGTTTATATGCTATATGGATATAGCCCAGGAGCTATAGGTATATAGAAGATGTAGAAATGATGCACTTTCAGGGAAATGTAATATAGTAGGAGGTTTTGGTTCACTAGTGGAAGGAAGCTGAAGATCACAGCCTTAAATAAGAGGCAGTGTCTATCCAGTGTTTGCCTACGAATGTCGATTACTATCACTATATTAGACCACTCTGACCATTGAATAAAAACTGGAGACCTTCTTGTACCACATTATCAAAGAACCACTGTGTACTATTCTCTCATGAATCTGTTAAGTTCAATGAAACTAGGAAGGAGAGCGAAAAGCTGTGAATTATCTAGTTATAGCTAATATCTAGTTTCGCAGTCGTCGAGGAAAAAAGATCCAAAGTAGGCAACGAAGTAATTAAAGGCCTGAAATAATCTCAAAATCTGTATAAATTAGCTTAAATAAAGCCTCATACAATTATTAAACTTCTTATACCCTCTTAATGTGCTAAATGATCATGTCCCACATAAATAGTCCACAACAAAGCGATTGTTCGAGCCGAGAAGGGTCTCCACTCGTAACGCACAAAATCGCTTGTTTCGCCACAAGCAAGTCTCCGTGGCGCAATTGGTTAGCGCGTCTGACTGTTAATCAGGAGGTTGGAAGTTCGAGCCTTCCCGGGGACGCTTCTTTTTTTGTTTTTGGAGTTTATATCCAGATCTTAGCCACTGTGGACCACAGCGGGCGTTTTGTTAGTTTTTGAATGATAATTGTGGCATAGGGGACAAGTAAGTTTTCACCTACCTTTTTGGTTCGAACTAGACTAGATGTATAGGTTGCCGATAGACTTAACGTGATATATGATTGATTTACTATAAACGACCAATAGAGAGGAGAAGAATTGGTTTCAATTAAACTCGTAGAGGATAGCTTATTCGACATAAAGTTTAAAGTGCTTCGATTCGTACTTAGCAAGTAAGCCATTCTACTCTACTAGCTCTACTAGTTTGGATGGTATGTATGCGCCTCAATTATGAAAGTTGACTCTATTTAGGTCCTTAGTCGTATATTATATGCCTCTACTTTTGACACGATGGTAAAAGTCGCCAGCAAGTATCAGACATCCACCCTAGAGCCCCTCTGTGTCGAGACAACTACCACTGCTTTTAGCCGCGCCACGTAGAATCAACTGCACTTCATACACATGTCAATGTCCTCTGGATACGGTCTTAGCCGGTCAACCTTTCTAGCATCTAGCAAGATAATCTCTTATACAAATGAGCAAAACGAGCAAAATAGATCTTAGTAAATACTAACCCTAATCGTTCCCTATCTTCTATACCATATCATGCCAAACAAAAACCACCACACCCAAACCTAAGCCCCAGTAACTAGCGGAGTAGTAACAGGAACAGCACTAGAAGGACAAACACAAGCAGTAACCGACGAAACCGGCGGCTCAGTACAATGCGGACTAACAGTCCACGACGGCGAGGAAGTAACACTCCCAATCTCACCCTTCCCAGACTTCACAGCCTTAACAAGAACAGGAATGACAGCTCCAGTATTCAACCTGAACGTGCGATGCCCGACAACCCTCAGAATAGAAGAAATCTCACCCGAATGCGACGTAACCGAAACAAACGCCCCCTCATGCTGAACCTTCCCGCCCTTACCAAAGAAAACCTCATTCAGGGCAGTAGCACTCCTAACATCCTCCGCATCACTCGTCTCCCCTTCAACACCATTCCAGAACGGATCGTTCTCCACGAACCCGTCTTCAAGCCGCCAAGCCGGGAATAGGGACTTGATATAGCTGGCGTTGCGGCGGTGGTCGCAGGTGTGGATGCTTATTCCTTCGCGGAAGAGTTCTTTGACTGTGGGCTTGAAAGGGGTGGCGCCGTGTGGTAGGGCTAGGTTTGTGAAGGTGTAGTTTGCTGTTTGGAGGGCGCGTGTTAGTGGGGAGACGTAGTATGCGTCGGGTGTGTGGATGTTTTGGGATTTGATTTGGGATGCCCAGAAATCGTGCGCTTTTTGGGCTTGCTGTATGCCGTTTTCTGTTAGGCTTGCGTCGGCCCAGGTTGCTGTGCTGTTGCCGTTTAGTTCGGCCCAGTAGCACTGTTATGCATTAGCTTATTGATATCCGTGGGAACAGTATATACTATCCAAAGACCAATAAATCCTGGAAGGATATATAAACCGAAAGAAAGAATGTATAAAACTCACATTCCAAGCCGGAGTTCCATAATAAGTCTCGGCAGCATTATGCCAACCCTCACCATGCCTCCCCAAAAAGAGAACCTTATACTCAACATTCTTAGCGGACTCCTCATTAAGCTTAACAACCTGGTGATGGAACCGCTCCCACTGGGTCAAGGAAGCCTGATTCTTGAGCTTCTGATCGGCAGGGTATGACCGATTAATCAAGCCGAAGTTCTCCGCTGTCTATGACGAATGCGATATCAGTAACAACACCCTGGGTATTTCAAAGAGCAAAGCCCTCCTAGAACATTTGACAGTGGTAAGCTCACATAATCGAATGTAGAAGCATCAGTGGAATCCTCATCTTGAAGGAAATAACCCGTTACAGCACTATACTCGACAGTTGAAGCGTGGGCAACAGCTAGGCCCACAAGGGCTGAGCCGAAAGTGGAGAGTTTCATCTCGGGGAGCAGACCGGAGTACACGGGGATTGCCTGCCAATTCAGTGTAGAGTGGTATAATATATTTTCTTTTGGGTTCAGGATCGGCGGATTGTTGTTCTTTATACTCGAGTCCCACGTGGCCGTGAAGAAAGTCGAACTTGGGTGTGGCGCATTCCCCGACGCGGATATCCTATGGTGCAGAACACGTGCGTCCGTTTCTCGCCGTTTTTCGTTGCTGCGTTAACAGTTAGTACTGTAGTTAAGTTAGTGTATGTCAACAGTTAATACACCAGCTGCTCTTCACATGTCTCTAAACTAAACGCGACTCCACCAATCGCGGCAACGCACTAACCGTGTGCTGGTTGATCGTCATTTCGTTTAATCCCGGAGATTTGGCGGGTAAATCACCCCTTTTTTTTCGTCTTTATGTGTTCTTGGCGGTTGGAGATATGAAATGAGTAGTATAGATACGTGACAGTTATGTGTGACGGTATGTATCGAAAGGCGAAATAAATAACCAAGTGCTGCCATATGCAAATCCAAATCCAAGGCCCACCAATTCTGGGCCGAACAAATCCTGAAAAATAAACGAAAAGAAGTCTCGAGCGTGAGCTCGGCGGAAATTAAAAGGTCGTATCAGACACCAAAAAAGTAAGTATAATCCCAGGCCAATAAACAACATGCAAGGAATGCTCCAAATATGTAAAAAATTCCGGTGGTACCACCCCAAATAAAGAAACACGAACAGAGAAGAGTATATAGGAGACGTAAAGTGACAGTGCTACTCCGTAGAGTGTTGGAAAGAGAAAGAGGGGTTGGGGAGGATAAACAAGCGGTGATTTTATGCGTAGTGAACTCGTCCTGGACCAAACACCAGTCGCACATTTCTCATACATCCATCAGAGGTCAATAGTCTCTCAGGATGGGTAGTTACTTGGCGTCGTGTTGTTTGCAAACGTGTAGGCCTTGGGCTTTTGCATCGGCAAATGGCCATTGTAGTGGCCATCATGCTCCGGGTATTCGTGCATCATAAAGTCGGCCCGCTTCTCGGCGAGCTCGCCCGAGGTGGGCATGTCGGCGTCGATCGAGTAGATCAAGGGTGGGGAGCCAGAGACTGGCTCCATGCCGAACTGCCCAGTGTGATCGGTGGTCGCGTCGTAGCCCATGGGCGAGACAGTGCTTGAATGGGGAACTTGGAGACCGGCCGAGAACTCGGGCGAGGAGATGGAAGCGGTGTCGGCCCAACTGCGGGCTGTCATGGGAACCGGCTCACCGCAGGCGACATATTCAGGAAAGGAGGAGACATGGGCCGGGGCCGACATCGGCGGAGCCACGTTTTGGTAGGGGAAGGGAGAGTAGATGTCCAGCGGCGTGGTGGGAGGGGAGGCAATGTTCACTTGCATGGGTTGAGAGGTAGGGAAGAACTGAGTGGTGGAGCGAGCTGACATGCAGTAATTGCTGTCCGTCGGAGAGGCAGGCATGAAGTGCTGGAGATCTTGCGGAGTCAAGGGAGTCGGGGGAGCCAGGGTCGTAGTCGAGACTGAGGGACGTAGCATTTTCTCGGCCTTTTTGAGGGACCCAGACTCGGCAAAGGTAAAGTTAAGAGGGGATCGCTGGGCAGCAGAAGCCTTGCGCACACCGGCGTACCGCGAGTTGAGACTCTGAGTCGACTTGGAATGTCTCATGGAGTTGCCGGCACCGGAGCTAGGGATGCGGGAATTAGGCGAGAGCGCGGACATGGAAGTCGAGTTGGCGAGACCACGAGTACCGGAAGTGCCAATAGCAGCAGGACGGGGGCGCTTGCGTCGAGCAGCGATATCCAACTCCTTGCCCGGTTCCTTCCATCCTCCCTCGACCCGATTGACAGACTCAGGCAGCCCGGATTGACCAGTGCAGATTCCGATGCCCTCCAGGGAAGTGGTCAGCGCATTAGACGACTCTCGGCGAGATACTGAGATATCTGGGGCTTGCATGGACATCGGGTACTGCATGTTGCCGTAGACAAGGTTGGGATCAGATCCATCCCTGTCTTCGGACCACTCTTCCGTATGAGGGGGCAGGTGACTTGAGTATGCGTCCACATTATGTTGCACGGCATGGGAAGACCCTGGCATCTCGGCCAACGGTTGGGGAGCAGAATACGAGGTCTGCTCTGCCGAGGTGTATCCGATATTTTGATTATGCTCGCCTGACTCCCACACTGGTTCTTCCTTGATATCAGACCAGCCCGAAAAGGAAGAATTGATGTTGGAGAGACCATTGTCATGGGGGGTAGCAGACTTGGGCGGTGGCATTGAGCCTGGAGACACAGGCTCTTCCTCGGGGGTAGGCTCGTTCTTGGCCCGAGGGTTGATCCGGCGACCAAACCGATCCCTGGCGGCACAGGCGGCGTTCAGCGCCCGCTGCAAGGACGCGAAGGTTGCCTCTCGCGCCGACTCGCTCTTTGTCTTGTGGTGCTTGGAGCGGCTGGCTGTGGAATCTGTCTTGGCATGGCCCGATGAGGGCGTTGGCTTGGGGGTAGCAGATTTGTCCTCCTCCTGGGCGATGGATCCTTTGCGAGACTCGGACAACTGGTCCAAGGTCTCTGATTTCCGGCGGGCAGCCTCCTCGGCCTCGGCCTTGGCCTTTGTCATTTTTTCGAATTCCTCCTGGCGTTTCTGTTGCTTGGCCTTTGCGCGACGATTTTGGAACCAGTTCTGCAGACGACGTTAGTTTTCCGATCACAGTCCACAGGGTCCTTAGTACGTACCGCAACGCGAGGCAGGCTCAGATTTGTCTGAGCCGCCAGTTGACGCTTGACGTTGCTGCTTGGCTTGGGGTGAGCCTGAAATTGGGCCTCGAGAGTCTCGACTTGTTCCTTGGTCAACCGTGGCCGCGACAGGTTCTCCGTGTATTCGTCGTAGTCCATAATTGGTTGGTGGTAGTAATCCATCATCTCCATTGGCGGGTGAGGGTACATGTAGCCGTCAATAGGGTGCATCATCGGGGGAGGCACCATCGAGGGGTCATATGCCATGTGTTGGTCCATCGGGATACCCTGGTGGCCCTGGTAGTTCCATGAGGGGTGGATATAACTCATGGTGATGAGGTAATTAAGAAAGGATCGAAAGAAAGTGTAGAAGGTCGCGCACGAGAAAGTGGCAGCTTCGAGGTAAGAGGTCTATATCATGAAGTGGAAGGTCGGAATGCGACGTGGGAAAGAACCCTGTACAGGTAAAGGAGTGGCAGTAGGTCGAATCACACGAAAAAGAAAAGAGAGACTGTGATAGAACCCGGTGTTAAGGAGAGACTTGGGTCGGTAACAAAAAGAGAGTGTGAACGAAAAAGCAAAGAAGTGAAAAAGAAAGTGAGAGGAAAAGGAAGATGGAGAGAGCTGGGGGGATCTGGTAAGGGGCGGTACAGTGACGTCTGATCACGAGGTTTAATTGGGCGATGAGCGGGTATCGTCCGGTAACGGGTGGTAAGAAGAAAGGTCTGTGTGCGAGATACAGGAGGATGCGATGTTATAATAAGAATACATATACTCTGCTCCGTGATTATTTCTAGAATGACAAAAGGGAATTTAGTTGAATTTTAATTGAATAAAATAAAAAGAAAGAAAGAAAAGAAAAGAATAGAGATCCGAATTCTCAGATCTGGGATCGACCCCAATTAGGAAAGATACGGACCCGTATTGGCGGAGTAGGGGGTGGCGGCTTGTACAGAGTCACATTTGACAGCCAAGCCAAGCCCCAACTACATGAGTACCATACTGTAACAACTTACTCCCTACTTACAGTATAAGTTAATCAACTGTTCACTTACTCTACAATGTCCACATGGGCATACTACTGTGTAAACAAGTGATCCAAGGTTGAAAAGTGCGGAGACTCGGGAACGAATCCGCGTTCCACGGAACCAAGCGAGATTCACCTATCAGACATTGGCGTTATATCTGCAGGGTCGTAATCCGTGTAAGTTCCTGCATTAGTGTATTTGGCTGGATATATTCATCTCAGGTATACTATGTTGCTTAGAATAACTCAGGGCTATGTGAGGGCTCGGCTAAGTGGCTAATCCCACTTCCCCGGCACACACAGACTTACATTGGGCATTCTTCTTCCGGTCTACTGGGTCAGCCGATCTACTAAGCTTGGACTATCCTTATGTACAATGATGTCTTGTCACACTATTGATTTCTGAAGCACACTTGTGTCAAGCTATCTGTTTCCCCGTGTCTGAACATTTCCCCCCTTTCCGCTAGCACGAATCGAACCTAGTGAGGACGCATGGCAGTCAGCCAAGACCGCTAAACATCAATAGTCGACAGATCCTGTCGATCACTTCAAGGATCTGCCGAGCTTTTTTAATTTATTTTTCAGCCCTCTCATTCTTACTCGGATTCAGGCTCTATTATCCGGTCTCTGTGATTTCCCGGGAACCTGGTTGGCCCCTGTTCAGCGCTAAACGTCTTAGAATTAGAGGCTCCATGCAAGCACGTCACGAGGGGTTTGAACTTTTTCCCCCTTAATGCACTAAAAGGAGATCACTGCACTGGTTCCGGGCACCCGGACATACATGTACAGCAGTGGAGTGGACATGGACCTGCCCCTTCGTTACTCCGTACAGTGTAGAGGTGGTGGTACTGTATATACTGTCTCCGTATTTTGTACATCCACTCTGCTCGGCAGAGTATATGAAAAACCAGTACCATGGAACATGAAGGCTTTACCGCAAGCTCCTCAGAACTATTGACAGCAAAACGTTCAAGATAGGCAACGAAGTCAAAACTATGGAGTCGGGAGGTCCTCGAATGATCTCACCGTCAACGGTGATAGGATATCACAAAGCCCAACTCGTACTTCGGCACGTTAGTTAGATAGAGAACCATACAATAACGACGCGGTTCAGCGGACCAAACCCACATGAATATCCCCCCTACCCCTCCCCATCCAAGTGATCGACCTCCTTTTCTGCTCCGGACGATGATCGGGCCCGAACAGCTGCCAACGCTCCATCCAAGGCTGATCAGCCAATCCAGATCGGGTTGATTGACAGTGGAGGTGCCAGGATGAACGCCCATCCATCTTCCTCGCTGAAGAAAAACTCAAGTCCGCCTTTGTGACTGGCTCCACGTCGATCATGGCACAAAACGTGGCCCTCAGCTCGGCACAAACTTTGTTGTCACGAATGGCGTGCTCTCACGCTCCGCAGAGTCAAGTGCCGTGTGTGACGGCGATAATCACTGTTCCGATTCAAGCTTCAGGTGCAGCACGGCGCCTATCAGGCCTGATCGTCACTTTCCGAGAACGAGCCTCGTCGGAATAGAGCGTCAATGCTGGCTTGGCATCTTACTTGTCATCCCCGCTCCAACTCATACATGTCTCAAGAATCATGGTCATGGTCAACACCAGGTCGGAGCAACGGGGTGTGGACCATTTTGATATTCGCCTGACGGAGGATCCCTGATATCCTCGTGCACGTTACTTGTACATTCACGTACATGTAACAATGGGTAGCACAGATCTAAGGGGATCTGCCACCCCTGGGTAGATCATGCAGTTCGCACGGATCCCTCGACTCCATCCGACTATTGGATCTGAGGTGAACCGTTGCGCTGGGAATCTCAAATCCTGCCCGGAGAGTAAAAAGGAGAAAAAGAAAAGAAATTCCCGAGTTACCACTACCCCATCTGTACTAGTCGATCGACGGTGTGACAGCACATCCCCCTCTGTCTCAGACCAAATGATCGACTTACAAATCGATCTCCATGCACAATTTCCTGTTGCCTGTGCTCCGTAAAGTGGTTTCGGAGTATTTTGGTGGCTGAGCTGGCTGGGCTGGACAAAGAGACTCGTAGTGTAAAGCTCTTTATGACATATCAACTCAGCCCCCCACCCCCTTGTGGCGCACCTGAGTGGCGGTGTCCAAATTATCCCTTGTATTGTCACGGAGTCTCGAGCCTCGAGCCCGTTCAGGTGCATCTCGATGCTGCAGCCCAAATCGAAAGTGGGAAGACCCATTCGTGTTGCATATGTGACGAGATTGCAGTCCAGTTCATCACACTTCTCCAGCAGTTCGCAGTTCGTGCGCGAAAACCGTTCCCAGATTGGAGACGACTTTTTGGAACTGTGACAATGTAAGTTTGACTCTGCACTCTCCCACCCGTGCGCAGCCTGCACCCCCTTGCATACTGTACCTCTCTCTCTCTTTCACCGGGCCTGTCCATTGGTACAAAGCAGAAATGTTCTCGTCCCGAGCTTCCTCTGCCGGGGAAGAGGTGTTCGATCCGCGAAACACAAACACAAAAAAAAACTCAAGGTCCACCAATAAAAAGACAATCCTGTCAACGCACGTCGGGAACAAACCTCACCGGCACTACTTATCCTCGTGAGCTCGAGCGTTTCGTTTCGTTCGGTGTCGTCTTGTCTCGGCTTCTCAGTAACATGTAACTTAATCTACATCTACATGCATCTACAATCCAACCGACCTAACCCCAACCTCTTACTTAAACCACCTCATCCCCGTGGCGACAATTTCCGAGTCTACAGTTACAGCCCAATTCAAGATCCGCCTAAGGCTCAAGTGTGCATGAACTGTCGTTTGTAGCCTTATTAAGTTGATAGGCTCTCAGATAGCACACCTACATACACCTACATTGTACATGCAGTCCAGCCGTGCCCACTGGTCCCGATCAAATCCGGCTTTCGTGTTATTCACCCGTCCCTACCTGCAAGGATGCTTTTAGCTGCAGTTGAATCCTGTACCCTGTACGTCTACTTATACGGTACTAGATAAGTTACTGGATACTGTATAACGTTACTGTAGAAGTAGAGATACAGTAGAAGAGCCCCGGCCTGTCACCCATGCCGTACCTATGCACCTACTCAAGCTTCGCTGTCAATCAACTTTCCTTTCTGGTAGCTAGTAGCTGACAGCTCTCTGCATGCATGGCTGTCACATAACAAGCTCTGGTATAACCTTATCAGTGTGCTGTATCCAAGTATCCTACAGCTATAGCTACAGCTATCCAGCTCCCATTTGGACTGAAGGACTGAAGGACTGGCAGGTGGCCAGTTCCTTTATCTATTATTTCTCGCGTGGTTTTGCTCATCGTACAGTGTAGTATGTAGACTACTGTATAAACCCAGCAAGGCGACGCCGGTTTGCTCTTTGCTTGCTCATGCTGCTTGCTACTTCCTGCTTGCTCTGCACAGTTTCGGGGATCTCCTTTGGAGAATCTGCACATGGCGTATATGCCACATACTGTACGCGTCCCGTTCCGTCCTGTCCTATCCTGTCCTGTCTGCAGTTCTGTACATGTACGCTGCACCTTGTTGCACCTTACATACCCTCATCACACATATATATACCCAGGTAAGCCACCGGAAAACTTTGTGTCCTGTTTCAGGATATGGCGCTTGAGAGTCGGGAACCATCCAGCCCTGTCTAGAAGGGTCCGGGCCAATCGGCGTCGGGGTTAGCTATATCATTCCCCGAGACAATGCAGATTTCGGGCTCTAGAGCTGGGCTTTGTTTTGTTGTTCCTACGCCACCACACGTATGTACGTTGCAGCCGGAGCTGAGGGATCCTGGTTCTGGCTGCTTAATACGAACGAGGGGTGATCATGCTCACTGTATGCTTGATCTGGATGTTAGGTCTACCCTTTGGAAACGGGGTGTCAAGAAAGTATATGTACATGTATGCGCAAAACTACGATCATCACTTCTGAGAAATGGAAATGTACCCTGTAAAAAACACGGTATGTAGTGCACGTTTATCTAGATCAAAGACCTGTTCTATGTTGTGTAACCCAACTCCGAAAAGCCCGTTGAGACGCGGCCTGCACACCCCCTGTCCCCATGCAGCCCACGCCAACCACCAACCTCAACCTCGAAAACCCAAAGTCAATCATACATCCCAATGCAAGGCAAAGCCTAAGCCTATTGCAAGGCATCCCGGATTTCAATCTTGACCTTCCCACCCTCAACACTAACAACAGAAAGACTCCTCAAATCCTGCACAATCCAATCCGCACCAGCCTCCTTCAACTTCTCCAGCGAATGCGTAGTACTTAACGCAATAACCTTATACCCAGCCGCCTTACCAGCCTTAATCCCAGACGGCGCATCCTCAAGCACAACAATAGACTTGGACTCTTCGAGCCCGAGCTTCTTCGCGCCGAGGAGGTAGCAGCGGGGGTCGGGTTTGCCTAGTGGCACGTCTTCGGCGACTACCAGCATCTTCGGGTGTGTGAGGCCGAGAACTTCCAGCCAGCCGTCGATCAGGGCGCGCGTGCCGGATGTTACTACACCCCAGCGCGCATTGGTGGTTTCCAGAGCTGAGAGGAGGTCGCGGCCGCCTGGGATTTCGACGGCGTCTGAGCCGTATTTCTTGGGGATTTGACCTTCGACGTGGTTTACGTCTGGGGTGGTGTTAGTTTTCTTCGCAGCGGGGTATGTAGACGTTGACCAGGTGTAGGTGTAGGTGTAAATTTGGTGTAGGCGTAGACTCACAATCCCAGTTGGCCTTGGTTTGGTCATATAGTGCCATAGTGTCAATGCTGCGGCGGCCATGAGAGGTCGCCAGGATAGTCTTGGGGTCGACACCTAGCTCGGTGCCGATTCTGAAAGGAAGAGGTGTTAGATGGTGGTCTCGAGTGTGTATGGGGTTCGTTTGTCACTAACTCGTGCCAATGCTTCACAATTGCTGTTCAGGACAGATGGTTAGCATTCGCTTCAATTGCTTCGGAGGGCTTAGAATAGGGATTGCGTACCATCTGTGGAATCGATAATCGTGCCGTCAAAGTCAGAGAGGACTCCATCGAATTCGTGGACCTGCGCAGGCGCAGAGAAGGATCCTCTTGCTGATGACATGGCGGGGACGGGTGATGCGGGGAGTGTACAGTAGATATGCACGAAAGATGGAATGAAGATGGAATCAAGAGGGAGAAATTTCCGCCCCCCGGGAATTGATTCAAGGGCGTCTTAATCTGTCAACGACCTCGCCACTGATATGTCAAGAACAGTTCATTGGCAACGTGTCGTATGTTTCTTGTCCGCTGCCTCCGGCTTCTTCCCCAATTCGGCAATCGACCCGCACGCTGAGTCATAACTATACTCGGAGATCGGCCCAGCAGATAATCCGCTTATCGGCTGTGGAAATCTTGGCGCTCAACTTTTTCTATTCCCCGTAGCAGACGGACTTTGAGGGTTTGCTGTGCACTTTTTTGCGATATACAAAGACGTGCATTAAAAATGGTCAAACTCGGTGAGATACACTTGTTGCTACTTGCTCATGGAGTTTTGAACAAATACTAATGGCATACAGGCAAGCATTCCAAGCGGACGCCCGTCCGCCTCAGGCACAAGATTGAGAAGGCCTCGGTTGCGAAGGCGAAGAAGCAGAGAAAGCTCGCGAAGAAGGTATCATCACGCAAAATCATCTACTGCTTAATTGACAACATCTGACTCTCTTCTTTGTAGAACCCAGAATGGCGGTCTAAGATCAAGAAGGACCCCGGCATTCCTAATCTCTTCCCCCACAAGGACAAGCTCCTCCATGAAATAGAAGAGCGGAAGCGCATGAAGGCAGAGGAGCAACAGCGTATTCGTGAGGAGGCACGCGCTCGCAAGGCAGAAGGCCTCCCCGCACAGGACAACCATGGTGTCGAAATCAACGAGGACGATATGCTGGATGAGGATATGGACGGCGATGGCAACGACTCAAACCCTATGGCTGCCCTTCTCGCCTCGGCACGGGCTCGCGCCGCGGAATATGATGAGAATGAGAGCGACGATGAGGATATGGATGAGGATGAGGACGACGACGATGAGATGGACGAGGATGATGAGGAGGGCGGCGCCGTGATCGACGATGCCCCACCTCTGGTCACAGCAAAGTCATTCTCCAAGGAGAGCTCACGGCGTCAATTCGACAAGGTCTTCAAGCAGGTTACTGACAACGCTGATGTCGTGTTGTACGTGCTTGATGCCCGTGACCCCGAGGGAACCCGCTCCAAGGACGTCGAGCGCGAGATTATGGCCGCCGACGGTGGCTCCAAGCGCTTGATCCTCATCTTGAACAAGATCGACCTGGTCCCTCCCCCAGTTCTCAAGGCCTGGTTGATCCACCTGCGCCGTTACTTCCCCACTCTCCCTCTCAAGGCTACCAGCGGCTCTGGCACCGCACACAGCTTCGACCACAAGCAGTTGACCGTTAAGGGCACCTCTGATACGCTCTTCCGCGCCCTCAAGTCATACGCCGGCAGCAAGCAGCTGAAGCGCTCCATCTCCGTCGGTGTCATTGGATACCCCAACGTCGGCAAGTCCTCCGTGATTAATGCCCTCACTGCACGCCTGAACAAGGGCTCAAGCAATGCTTGCCCTACCGGCGCCGAGGCCGGCGTGACCACCAACCTCCGTGAGGTCAAGCTGGACAACAAGCTGAAGCTGATCGACTCCCCCGGAATCGTTTTCCCCACCGCCAGCGACAAGACCAGCAAGAAGAGCAAGAAGGTCGAAGAGCAGGCTCGCCTCATCCTCCTCAACGCCATCCCTCCTAAGCAGATCGAGGACCCCATCCCCGCGGTCAACCTCCTGATGAGGCGTCTATCCAGCTCAGAGAACCTCATCCAGAAGATGCTCGACCTGTACGGCATCAACGCTCTCCTCCCCAGCAACGGCGATAAGACCACCGACTTCCTAGTCCAGGTGGCCCGCAAGCGCGGCCGTCTTGGAAAGGGCGGTATCCCCAACATCGAGAGCGCCGCCATGACTGTCATCAACGACTGGAGAGATGGTCGCATCCAGGGCTGGGCTAACGCGCCCGCGCTGTCCGTCGTCGCCTCGACGGATGCCCCGGCCGCTGCTGCTGCGGAGCCCGGTGCGGACACTGCCCAGGTCGTCACGGAGTGGGCCAAGGAGTTCAAGATCGAGGGCCTTTGGGGCAACGGCGAGGGTGAGGATGAGGAGATGGCCGAGTAAGGGCTATAATCCCCTGCTCGTGTTACGAAGTCATTATCTCATTTGATTATATCTTTCTGGATACCAAAAAGTGGGCGTTTATGTCGGCATTCCATCGTTCCCTAGATTTGACTTGAAAATATTAGGTGCAAAAACACCAGTAAAATGAATTGTCCAGAACCCAACTAAACGTAGTAAATATGAATCCTCGTAGAATATATACACCCAGTGCGAGGACGCAAGTGTAGTCGGAAGTATAAAACTGCCAAGCCTCCACACTCGCGCATCCCGAATAATCCAACGCGTTCGCGCGCCCCCTTGTAACCCTCGAACATCAAAGCCCACCAACCTCAAACTCAACGAACAACCTACAAGAACCAAAAGCCCCCAATCCCAAGTCAATATAAGCGAGGGGCACGACTAATCAACCCCCCGATCCCTCGCGATCACCTCACCACACCTCACCAAACCCGCAACGCCAAACCACCACCAAAATGCCACCACGCAAATCAACCTCCTCACTAACCCCAGCCGACCCAGATGACTCCCTCCTCCAGTCACCCCAGGCACCACAAACAGATAAACCAGATAAACCCGTTTTCGCGACGGAACAGCAGTTGAAGGCGCGGGCTGAGGCTGGCGTCAGCGTTGAGGTAAGCCGTTCCTGAGCTGGAGTATACATTGCCTGTGGCATATTTATGCGGTTGGGTATGGTATGGCATGGCTAACATGATATATTGCTTGTGTCTTATAGGATTATCTCCTCCCACGCTCATTGACAATCCGCCTCGCAAAGGCCGTCCTCCCGCCGAATACAACTATCCAGAAGGATGCCGTGCTAGCTATGCAAAAGGCGGCGACGGTTTTTGTCTCGTATTTGTCTTCACAGTATGATCTCCATCTCTTCTCTTTTATTTCCTTTCCTCTACTCTCGATATACCCTACCCTATCCTATTCTCTCTTTATTGAGAGCATCTTCTCCATTCCAACACATGCTACGCTCTGTATGATATACAGAGGAGTCAAGAACATACATATCCTCCAGACATACCACAAAGACACGACCAACTAACAACAAATATCCAGCGCCAACGATGCAACCCTCAAACGAACAATCGCCCCAGCAGACGTCTTCAACGCCCTCTCCGAGCTAGAACTCGATTCCTTCCGCGGCCGTCTCGAGCAAGAATTAGAAGCGTATACCGATATCAAAGCCGGGAAGCGCAAGCCTAAGAAGCCCGAGAATGGCGTTGTAGCTGATACCGAGGCTGGTGTTTCTGCTGTTGCTACTGGGGATGGAGATGGGGATGTGGAGATGGTTGATAACCCCGCTAAGAGGGTGAAGCGCGATGGGGAGGATGGAGATGGCCCTGGAACTGGCACTGGTGCTGGTGTCGGGGCTGGAGCTAGTGTTGGGGCAGATAATGATGGGGATGAGACGCAGGAAGAAGAGGTCGAAGACGAAGATGAAGAGGAGGAAGAGGAAGAGGATGAGGAAGAGGAAGAAGGGGATGGAGATGCGCGTCCCAGACCTGAGGATGATCTTGAGGTCGTTGAGGATTTGGATCGCGAGCCTGGGGCTAGGAGGGGGCCTTTTGATCCTGATGCTGAGGAGACGGACGAGGAGGATGATGGGCCTGGTAGTCAGTTGCGGGATGATCTTGGGCTTGGTTGAACTGGTTTCAATGTTCTGGATGGCGATTATGTGCATCCAACAAAATTGGGTCAGAGTTGCTGGGAAAAGAAACAAATATTATTGTTGTACTATATACATAATGATCAATGGATTTCATGTCCCGAGCTTATATATTTGGATATTGACGAATATGCTGCAGTTCATAGACAATATGTTTGCGTATTATGTGCAATTGGTAGACCGGACAACTACTGCGTAGAAGAGAAGCTTACATCAAAGACCAGTACTGCACCTACTACAAGGAACAACCATACAAGCTATGTCCAGGGAAACCGAGGAGATGTATTAAATGATACAATACCAGCACGGTATTGGAAACTGCTCAAGCGATGGATCCTAACCAAACAATCCACATATGAACCCCCAAGCAAAATCAAATCCACACGAGGAAAGAAAACTAATAGGAAGAAGAGACGAGGAAGAAGAAGAAGACGAAGAAGAATAGAATAGTAACAGAATGAATAAACCCCCGCATCATATGCCGGAAAAAAACTAGCCTCAAGAAACGCCTAAGCCAGCCGATGCAGAAAAGAAGCCCTTGTCTATCAATGGTATCTTTCAAAAAAGGACAGCAAACATCATCCCAGAGGGGAAACGCAGGGGATGCAAGTAAGAATACAGTCCAGAAGGAGAAGGGAAAACAAAAGGCGGAAGAAATGGTAAGGGGTATACCAAGTACCGAAAGCCGAAGAAGAGAAAGTTAACCAATGAGTTCCAGAAGATGAAGAAAGCAAGAAAGAAGAGAAGAAGGAAGCCGGTACACCATAACCATGCAACATGTCATGACATGCGGTCGATAGAAAATCAAAGAGATCATGAGAGGGTTGAGAACATTTAGGAAGATGCCACGGGCTGAGGACGAGACTCGAAGTCGAGTTTGATGTCTGCTTTGCCGGATTGTCTGGTGACCTTGAAGAGAGGTCCGTTGTTCTTTGGCGCGCCGGCTGGGACGGGGCACATCGCTTTGCCTGTGGTCTTGGTATCGGTCGTGCCAGCCGCGATGGAGTTCTTCGTGACGCGGGGGTTGAACATGGTGATAGTAGCGTTGGGTTTGGCCGGGGCCTTGCCTCCCTTCTTTGGCGCGGCAGCTGCCTTGGCCCGAGATTTGGGAGCAGCTTTCTGGGCAGCCTTGGGTGCGCTCTTCGCTGCAGTCTTTGATGCGGCCTTGGCTGGAGCTGCCTTTGTGGATTTGAGAAGTTCCTTGATACTGCGACCCTTGCTGGCTGGATTTGTGACCTTCTTGGTGGCCTTTGTGGCGGGTCTCTTCGCAGGTTTCTCGTCCTGACTGGATGAAGGTGTGATAAGACCAGAGTCGGTACGGGGTCGTTTTTTCGGCGTGACGACAACTGCAAAGGATTCCATAGTGGGAGCACGAAGAGAGCTCTGGAGCTGGGGGATCGGCTCCGGGGAGGATTCGTATGCGCACTCGCTGATATCCTCCGAGGTCCATGATTTCAGGTTCGCCTGGCGTGCCACTTCATCACAAGAGCCCTGGACGATCAAGTCAAAGCAGTCATCGAACTCCTTCCCGCTCGGCGGTTCGTTGTTGATAAACATTGTCACGCCGTCCTTGCGACTCCGAATTGTCGCGCACAAGCTCTTGACAAGGCGGCGAACTCCGGGGATCTTTAAGCTAGTACCAGCAACGATGAGAACACGAGGGCGGGATTTGATATCGGAGTTCATGACCGACGTGATAGCCTCTTCGTCGGGGTTGTGCTCGTTGTAGAGAACGATCCGAGGGCGCATACGTCCAATTCCGTGGCTCCGCTGACCGGTAGCGAGGCGAGCTTGATCGTGACCCTCGCATTCTTTGCAAGCGGGCGGGTCTGCTTCTGTGAACATATCGCCATTGAAGTCGCAGAGGAAGCGACACTTCTGGCAGACCATCTTCTCAATACTGCCGTGCAATTGAATCGTCACCGGCCAGCCACCCTTGACATCAAGCGGGACTTCGGTGGCCAATGGTCCCATGGAGGTTTCAATGCCATCGATGTTCTGGGTGTACAGTCGTTTCAGGCGAGACTCAGTACCTAGACGGGCGAGCATCTCGTGGAAGGCGGTGGGTTTAGTCTTGGCAGCTTCCTCGGACAGCGACCGGACCATTTCGTGGAAGGGTAGGGTCAATGCGTCATCCTGGTAGACAGCAGCATCGAAGAGAAGCTTGCCAGAAGCCTTTAGGTTATGCTTCTTCTGTAGAGATTTAAAGAGACCATCTGTGGAACGGAAGTCTGGAACTATATATCTATAGGTTAGGCGCAGCTCATGTGGCAGAATATCTGCAGAAACTTACTACCGGCGGCGGTGGAAATGCCGGCACCAGCGATGACGACAATATCCTTCTGGTGGCGAAGGGTCTGGACGAGCAAATAGTGCTGGTCATTTTGTTCATAGAGGCATTTAGAGAGATCGAGATATTGGGTGGTCCGTTCTTTCGGTAGGGGGTTGCGTCTCCTCTTTGCGGGACGGGCTTGGCGTGCAGAACTCTCAGCGCCAGATTCAGCTTGGGATGATGGGGTCGGGTAGCGTTCCGCAGGTTCTGGTGAGCATGCCCGAGATGACGGGAGAGAGCTCAAGTCCGAGCATTCGGAGACCTCATCAAAGTCGTAACCCATGATGAAGGTGGAGAGGAGTGATGTGGTCACGTAACAAGGAGCGTCAAAAGGATGTCACCCCCCCAGGAGAAATAGTCGGGGAGAAAAACCGAATGGATAGCTCCGGGTTATGTTAGAGACCAAAGAAAAGGACGAGTGGATGAATCATGGGTAAGGAATAAATATGTGGAAAGGGAGAAAAAAAGAAAAGAGGGATATGTGCAGGAGTAGAGGTGTGTAGAAAGGGACGATGAGGTCAGGGTTGGAGGAGAGCGTTAAAATGAAACGATAAGAGGGAAAAAATGACCTGGCCCGCTCCTCACACGTTTGTTTTGACCCGAAGCGAGCTTAGATTCCCCGTGAAGGAATGTGGTTGTGTGGTAGAGACGGGGGGAACGGTTAGGAATTGCGATCTGCGGACTCTGTCGAGGGATGGAATCAAACAGATATCGACAATTGCTCACACACGAACCTGTGGATCCTGGACTTCACACTCGCAGCATCTGAGTGTTTTGCTGTCTTCGATATTGAACCGTTGAAGTTGTGGTGATTCGCTGGAATTGATAGCGGGTCACCTGATATTGCCTGATTGGCCCGATCGCGTTGGCAGGGCTACGCGCTGACTCAGCACTCCGGGTTGACTCCTGCCAGGACGTGACGGCATCTCTAGTTCAGATCTATAGAGAACATTGGACCTCTAGCTGATCTATCCTGTGTTTGGTGGCATCGTCGATTGTGAAGTTTCTTGCAAAGGGGCAAAGGCTGTGTTCTGGACCCTGACCGCCTCCCAGCCAAATAATAAAGCCCATTTGATATTCAATGCGCTGGGGAACTCTATAGAGCTATGCTGGGTAGACTATATTGATCACCTGATTGAAAAGTCTTGAACATAGTCCGACAGAAATTATGCCCTTGATGATGGATACGGGCATCAATGTGGACGATCTCTTTGGCGAGTCCAACTCCCTGGAATTGGGCTTGCCAGCCGCCTCTCCTACCAAAGGACTCGCACAATGCCTGGATGAGATGCGCCTATTAGGCTGTTGCCAGTGAGTTGAATATTCCAAAGGTATGTGACGGTAGCTAACAACCGGATAGCAAGATTGCATGGTCCCGGATGGGTTGCATTGCGTCGATCTCTCAGGACGGACTCAGGGTCAATATCCGCCATCTCCAGTGCAGTTCTTCAGATGGAAAATGGGAACTAGGCAAAGAAACACCCCTCACTACAGTACTAGAGACCCACCATGGGAACCAACTGGCTCATTTATCATGGAATGAAACCGGGTCAGAACTGGCCGTTGTGGACTGCTCTGGTCGCATATCCATCTATTCTATCTCAATTGCTTTGAACAGCCTCTCAATTCTGCGCCAAGCGTCTTTCGAATCAGGTGATGATGGCAGCCAGGTCGTTGGTTTGATGTGGTTGAATTCCCAACGTTTTGTATGTCGTGTTCTGCATCCCAATCTCCCAGGGAACGAATTCTGACACCACGATATAGATACATGCATTTCACCAAGCGGCGAAGGTGAATGGGAGATGGGCCTACACTCCTTTCCGCAGACGCCCAATTGGGCCCTTCCATCCAGCCAACAAAGGCGCCTTGATCTGTGTGACCAGAGCCGGCCAGATCAAGCTCATATATCAGAACCCTAATAGCACATGGGCCGAGCTTCCTGCCGAATTGAAAAACACAGGGTACTCGGACAGGCTATTAACACATGCCTCCATGGTCGCCACACAAGGTAGCTTATCCCGCCGGAGATTTATATCGCAGTACTGACATCGATGCAGCTGGGATCCTTCTCGCCACGTACTCCGCGTGCCAGAAGATGTGTCTGTACAGAGTACATATTACCTGGAATCCACCGCAGTGGGAACCCACTCAGGGGAAACAGCAGCCTCCACCCGTTCCCAGTTTCCGCTTGATCCACTGCAAGGTGGATATGCCAGGCAATATACTGGATGTGAACCGCGGCCCAGAGCATGCGGATCAGTCTATCCCATTCATGAACTCTGTGTACTCATTGACACGGCTGGAGATCATGCCAGGACAGGTTGATAGTCCCCAAGGATCCACTGCCAATCCGTGGATTCTTGCTGTTTTCTCGAAACCTCTCCATGCCATACCGGATTATCAAGAGCAGCAAGGTCCGCCAACTGTGATGCTCAGGTGGCATTTGGAATCTGCACCACAGACACTTCATCCCAAGTTTGATGAGGTGACATCGAAGAAGAGCAATGCCCAGGCGAAGGTATGTAGACAGAGATTCTTGTCTGTTGTATTGAGACTGATTTATGCCTAGCCCAAATTGGAGTTACGCCGGCTGGATGATATCCATTGTGATAAATACGTTGTCTCGGTCGATTTGATTGAACATGGGACAGTCTTAGCCGTCACCCACGATGACAATTCAATAACATGCTATGACACGAGGACGATGGCAATGTTTAATGGGATAGATGACTCGAACACTGTAACCTGTCTGGCCCAGGCGGGATTTCAGTATCCAATAGAAACATCTGGTATGTTGAGACTTGATTCATCCTACTTTCCATTGCGCGAATTGACATCATTAGGTCTCAACATCGCTTTCTCGCCGAACTCTTGCGTTGCCGTTACGCTGGATAGTGACGGACAGATGCAACTGAGAGTAATGGGGCATTCATTCGGATCAACCGATGGACTCTATGACGAAAGTATGTGCTGCCCAGAACCTGTAAGATCGACAGGACTGACCGAAACGCCTAGCCAAATTCTCCGCCGCCGTTGCTGCTTTGACGGTGGCATTCTGCCGTGGCTGTGGAAGTGAATGCAACACAGACGACGTTCTCATGGTTGCTCTCCGGCAGCTGACACCAGGTAAGTGCATGGTTTTGCCACGATTTAGATCACCGAACTCCGCTGACACCCCCGAAGAGGCTCAAACCACATTCATCAGCGAGGTGTATCGTGCACTGCCGGTCAATTGCAACTTCACTGCTGATCAAGAGAAACTTATGAGCCACCCGTACATCCCTCGTTGTCTCAGTTTGCAGGCTGCGCTGGGCTATAAAGGAAGACTCAAGCGCCGCAGCCTTGCGTCCTCCGTGCCCTGGGCTATTCTTCAACTGCGACACTCCTCGGTTCTATTTGCTTATTTCTTCCAGTATAACAAAGGTGTACAGCCCGAGACACATGATCCAGGTAAGCCAGACCATCGTTTCAACACCAGTAATCAACTGCTAACAGCAAAAAGATGTTCTACGATTGGTCTTGGGTAACGCAAAATGGACATTGGATTTCTCCCACTGGCTCCTAAACGAAGTCTTCGACATGGCAGATGATTTCGAAAGCGTCTTCAACGACCAAGAAGCATTCACCCAGAAATGTACGCCCAACCCACCCCCCAACAAATCCCCCAAACAATAATCTAACCAAACCACCCCAGTGAAAACAACCATCTCCCTTCCCCTCCTAATCCTCCTCTCAAGCATGTCAAGAGCCTTCCTCCGCTTCATCTGCCGCGGCCTCCGAGGTGTGCAGGCAGGCTTCGCAAGCGCAAACCCAGCCTCCCTCTTCGGCGACAGCCGAATCTACTACACAGAAATATGCCAAGCCCTCGAAACCTCCCCAGTCCGGATAGACGTCTACGAAAAATTCCTTGCGGGAGTGGACTCGGCCGTGAAACACGCCTACCAGGGCGCAGGCTTCGGCGACGCTGAAAGACCAGGTTCAGAAAAAGAACTGCTCGTCAACGCGCGCATCCCACCGGTCCTAATATCCGCCGTGGCAACGCTGCTGCGGCAGACGGTGCCGGCGCTGAAAACGGAGATTAATCGCATGGCGATTTATCTGGGTGATTATTCTTGGTTGGGCTTTGGGAATGATTCTCGCACCGCGCTCTATCGGAAACAGCGTGATGTTGATATTTTGAAGAAGTGTCCTTTGAGGCCGCCTCTCTTGCTGGGCCGTGAGGGTCGGATTGCGCCGCTTAAAAAGAGGAGGTGTGCAAGGTGTTGTGAGGTTTCTGGGGATACGAGTTTGCCTAGGTCTATGCTTTCTTTTAAAATGACTGCTAAGTTGGGGTTGTTGAGGTCCTGTCTTTGTGGGGGGATGTGGATTCTTGAGGTTGATTCTGGGGATGTTGGGGGTGGGAATGGGAGTGGGAATGGAGCCTAGAGTTAGTCTTTTGTTACAAGAAGGTCAATGTTTGATAGATGAAAGCAATTTTGGTGTGATGTATCTCGCAAATAGAGAGCATACGAGGTTGAAACATAAAGGGTCTGGAGTAGGGACTGGGGATGAACCGAGTTCTGTTGGGTGAAAATGGACAACCAGATTGGCGTTTTATATGGACAACATGCATAAGGCAATATATATCCTTGACCTGATAGGGCTTGTCCTCGACATACGAATATGTAGACGATGTATGTAGGAGCATATCCCTGAGTACGGAATACGGAAAACTTGACCACACAAAGTTCCTTAACAAAGCAAGAAAATGTCTAAGTCATGTCATGTCAAGAGTCGATTTGCATCCTATTTAGATACATAATCAAATTCCATTTTTTGGATGTAAAAAAAAGAGAAAACCGACCCCTCCACAAGCTCTCGGGTCCACACTGTCACGTCCTGCTTGTGTCCAAGGCCAGCAACGTCTTCCCACAAAACTCCATATCCGAACAAGTTCTGCGTTTAAGCCTGCAGAATATGAATCAGTATTGTGTTCGGTCCGTATGGCGGCGATGTCCTTGGGAAAAAAATTGACAGAACAGAATAAGATGCAACATCCAATCACTATTCCACCAATTCATGACCAAGGACTGATCGAGATGATCATACCTTAACAGCGTACTTCCGCTGGGGGAAGTGGGTGGCGCGCTTCTGCTGACGCACGGTGGTGCGGGTAGCCTCGTGCTTGGTGAGACGGCGGCGGATCTCACGGGTGAGCTTGGGGCGGAGGTCGAGGGGAAGGTACTTCTTGTTCTTGTAGAACAGACGCAGCTGGGCGCGCTGGTTGGCGTTGATGACGGTGAGGACACGAGCGATCGACTTGCGAACCTCGCCGCTAAAAAAAAGAAAAAATTCCAGTCAGCACCTGTTCAGATGACTTTTGATAAACCCGGTCTCGATCCATTGCAATCGCGGTATCCATCTCTTCCTCATCGATCCCATTGGTGATTTGATGGTGTAGTCCTCTTGTTTCGTTGTCCCGATCGGGATTCGATTGTTTCCATCCCGCAAATCTCCAAATCCATTCGCACAAAAAGAAAGCCGGGGGGTGTCGGATACGCACATCTTCTGGGTCTTCGTGGAAGCGCCGCTGGAGATCTTCTGAACGCGGAGCTGGTTGAGCTCCAGCTTCAACTCCTCGAGCTGCTTGGCGAGCTCATCCTTGTTCTTGCCCCAGAGCTGACCGGCCTTGACCTTGGACGACTATAAAAAAAGAGAGGTTCATCAGCATGCATTCAGAGGTTCTGCCTGGCAGCACGTACCATAGTGGCGGCGATTTGTGTGGGTTGTCGACGTTGAGAATTGAAGATGTCCGAGGGTCAAATTGCGACTGGTTGTGGGACTAGGGCTAAGCGAATTCTGCGACACTAAGCGGGCACGTGATGTGTGTGGCACTTTGTGCCTGAATAATGCCTGATAGTGGTGCCTAGAGTATGAGGCGTCGATATACTATATCCGGTTAGACGATTCTACCCCGTCATGGCCAACTTACGTAGTGGTAGCACCTCGGCCCTTGCACCGGTTGGTTTGGAGAATAATTCTGAACGGTTTTGAACCCCTGTCAATTCCTCTCCTCTATCGCATCTCTTCTGTACCGGCCATGACATCCTCTACTGGCTCTGGGTGGACACAGCTCCGGCAACAAGCCCGGTCGCTCGAGACTCAGGTACCAACATATTCAGGAACCTCGCTATAGAATGTGACTGACGCCACCAATAGACCGAGAACCTCTTCCACACCTACTCACAATTCGCTTCTATCACCAAGCCCCCACAGACACCCACCGAGGAAGAGCTGCGCCTCGAATCGCAGTTGAAAGACCTCCTCGAAAGAGTAAGCCAACAGCGAGCAGTAAGGCTACCAAAAAAAGAACCGCGACAGCTAACTATTCTCCGCACAGCGTGAATCTCTCATTGCCCAACTATCCCGACTCCTCGACTCAGAAGCCACCCTCACATCCTCCGCCCTGAAACAGAACAATGTCTCCCGCCATCGCGAAGTGCTCCAAGACCACCGCCGCGAGCTCCAACGGCTAACCTCCGCCATCGCCGAATCTCGCGACCGCGCAAACCTCCTCTCAAATGTCCGCTCAGACATTGATTCCTACCGCGCATCCAACCCCGCCGCCGCCGAGGCCGAGTACATGCTCGAGGAGCGGGGGCGAGTTGAGAACAGCCACAACATGATGGACGGAGTGTTGAGCCAGGCGTATGCCATCAACGAGAACTTCGGAGTCCAGCGTGAGACCATTGCCAACATCAACCGGCGTATTGTCGGTGCTGCCAGTAACGTCCCCGGCATGAACTATCTCATTGGCAAGATTGGAAACAAGAAGAGGCGAGATGCTATCATCCTTGGATGCTTTATCGGATTCTGCTTCTTGATGTTGCTGTTCTTCCGGTGATATATTGAATCATTATTGCGGGGGTACGCTGTCCCATCTTATTGTTCTCGTGTCGATTGCTGCTATCCAGCGAGTGGACTTTTGTTACCAAGGCGTTCAGGTTTGGGCATTTCAGTATCCCTCTTGACGGGGGATACGATGAAGATTCTTGCACGTCTAAATGGCGGCTGTTTGTTATGCTCTATATTATACACATTCTCTATTGTATGTACAAATTTAACTGAGAGGGGAATCACATCATATACAAGTTTCCGGTCCGCTACTGGTACACTCACCACAGGCTCATCTCAAATCTTACGAGTCGAGCCCGCCCTTTCAGAAAGAGCCTTCTTCTCCTCAATAAGTTTCCGCACACCAGCATTGAGCCCCTCCAACTCCTCCGCATCCGCCGGCCCACTCCCCGCCCAGCGAATCCGACACTCTTCATCAACGAGATAAACATACCCAACCTTAGAGTTCATCATACCAACAGTCTCCTTAAGCGCCTGGTCAAAGCCCTTCTGCACCAAGAAATACCGGGAATGCTGCTCCTTCGGCAACTTCTGCCGCATGCGCCACATGAATGTCTTAACCAACCATGCCTTCATGCGGTTCTCTTCGAGGTTAATATCAATCCTCTGCACATGTTTCCCGCCACTAGCAAGTGCCTCCACAAGGCCCGGGTTCTGCTGCGGGCCTGTGAATGTCGCGACCTGGCCCTCGGCCCAGACGCTGGAAAACAGGTTCACAACGGAGATGCTGCCGCGCAGCTGGGTGGTTGTGTTTTGAGCGTCCTTGGGTGTTGCGAGGGTTATGCCGTGCATGTTCGGGAAGTAAAGTGATCTGTCGGCTTTGAAGAGTCGTGGGTTTGAGATGAAGGTCTTGCCTTCGTGGTGGCGGAGGTTGGACCATTCGCGAAAGTAGGGTTTGGCGACTTGTTTTGTCCTGTGCGTTGCGGTTGTTTGTTAGTTTTGCGTTCGCAGTCCATGGGCTGATTGCCAGTGGGAGAAAGGGTAGGGTAGGTTTCGTACAATTCCTTGCGCCGCTTGATGTGCCGGTCATAGTTGGTGAAGTCGTCGCGACGCTGGGCCATGGAGCGCGTGTCAACTCCTGTGTTTTGGCCCTCTAATGGTGGCGTGGGACTTCCAATGGGTCGATCCAGTCTCGGGGGAGCGAAGTCTGCGTCGCCGGGCTGAGGGCCATCCTTTTGGTTTTGTTGGAATTCGATGGAGCTGGTCAGGCGCTGCCTTGCCAGAGATTGAGTCTCAGTCTTTGTATTCCGCTTCACGACGGTTGGGGCAGCTGCTTTGCTGGGCTCCTCGGCTGTACTAGCATAGTAGCGCGGGGAGAAGGGTTTGGCTCGGAGCTGGGCGACTCTCGCTGGGTTGCGGAATTGGCAGCTTAGACAGCGGCCGGTCTGTAGAAGCGGGAGGTCCGCGATCAGGGTAGTTGGGAGGGCGGATTTCCACATGTTGATTGGGCCCGGCCAATGGGTCGAAAACGATGGACTGTGAGTAGGTTTTGTTCTCCAACTTTCTTACAACAATATCTCCGTCTCCGAAATTCACGGTCACGTGTTCCAATATTACCCGTTTGGGTAAGGCAGTCATTCAGTGTGCTGTTCTGCGTGTATTTGCATTTGGGTTGGATGGACGCGAGAATAATAGAATCTCATAGACAAAGAAAATATGACATGAGAGCGACAAGTGCAGACTTCCAGAATATGTTGCGATATGTTGCCTATAGTAGCTGAGTCTATACTTCTGGAGACATTAGCGCAAAATTATGTGCTCCCCGAGGTCGTCAGAGTGACAACAGCATTATCCGAGACCCAAAATCATCCCAGCTCCAAAAGCCTCAAAACAGGCAGCAGAGACGCCTCGCAGTCGATGATGAAAATTCGAGGTAGCAACAGATCCCGTGACCTGGCGCCGCTTTCGCGCCAGTCAATCGCGTCCACTTGTAACCATTCGCAACCTTGTCTGCCTGTAGACTTGTGTCACTGTGATTGTATCATGAAGTCTATTTGGTCTAACCTCCCGATTCTCGATTGGACACCGGACTAAGATGTCGGGCACTCATAGCAAGGAGGACTTCTTTGTCTCTCTGGAGCAACTCGATGACTCGGATGACCAGGACGAGGAATACAATGAATGGGAGCGTCTATTGTATTGGGCCAAATATAAGGCACCTGACAAGGTCGCGCCTGCTCCAGTTGCAGAACGAATCTCGCTTTCTCGGGCACACTCAGACCCGCAACCTTCTTCTCGTACTCATCAGTATAAAACGAGCACATTGCCAGATGACCCGAAGCCTGCTCCTCTGATCCGTCATAAGACGACTGGAGCTATGCCTACCACCAAGAGTGGTGGTCCTCCCCAGAAGAAGAGAAGAACCAACAGCGCGAAGATCGTACCGGAGGGCCAGAAAATCTTCAAAGACTTGGTCTTTTGTGAGTATTTCATGTATTCCCTCAGCTAGCTCTCACTAACCTATTGAGCTTAGTTTTCTTCCCCAACAACGATGTCTCCCCATTTCGACGGCTCCGGATACAACGAGCCCAAGAATACGGGGCCCAATGGAGTCGAGCATGGGCAAAGACCGTCACGCATGTGATCGTTGACAAAGACTTACTTTTGAACGATCTTCTGGGTTATATCAAGCTTGAGACCTTGCCAGTCAGTCCACTTGTCAGATACTCTGGTTTCAATGCTAATTGACTCGCAGGCGAGCGTGGTTCTGGTGAACGAGTCCTACCCTTCGGACTGCATCCAATTTCGGTCGGTATTGAACCCTTCACAGCTCCGTTTCAGGGTCCAGGAAGCCCCGAAACCCACCGAAGAGGAGAAGAATGGAAAGAAACAGGAGCAGCTACCCTTAGTGGTGGAGTCGATCTCGCACAATGACCTGCCGTTGAAGCTCTCACGACGGGAGCAAGCCCTGTGTCCGGAGTCTTCCCAGCCTTCAGTCGAGGAAGATTTATCAGCAGCGACAACTGAGCCTGCGGAAGAATTCGCTAGCGAAGAGGGGGATAGCAGAATCATCCGAGAGCGGGATGCCTTGGATGATATGATTGACCAGGCCAAGGCAACAAGTCATCTGGTAAACCATGTCATCCCTTAACTGGAAGCTCAAGCAACTGATCTTTATACCTAGCCCTTGGACCCGCTAGAGTCGCCGGACCATACTGCCACAACATCCGATGATGGAATCTCCGGCGCCTCAGAATTAGGCTCGGAAACACTGCCGCAGAAAGCGCTTCAGCAAAAGGGCAAAGCTGATTGGACAAAGAACTTCTCGTGCATGCAGAAGTATGATCCAGACGGGAAGCTGGACAATCCAAATAGCCGAACTATAGAAGTCCTTCAACAGATGCTGGACTACTATACCCAAACGGCAGACCATTGGCGGGTACTCGGCTATCGCAAGGCAATCATTGCGTTGCGAAAGCAGCGAAAAAAGATTTCTACAAAAGTACAGGCGCGGGCCCTCCCTGGCATTGGGGAGCGAATAGCCGACAAGATCGAAGAGATCGTCTTGACCAACCGTCTTCGTCGTTTGGAACATACAAATGATACCCCAGAAGACCGACTCATCCAAGAATTCCTCGGCGTCTATGGCGCCGGTCTCATTCAGGCCTCCAAATGGGTGGCGCAGGGCTATAAATCTTTAGCTGATTTGCTAGAAAAGGCCCCTTTGAGCAAGCAGCAACGCATCGGGGTAGAGCGTTACAATGACTTTGCACAGCGCATCCCTCGCAAGGAGGTGGAAGCCCATGGCGCGATTGTACGAAAGGCGGTGCAAATCGAAGACAGGGATATGCAGGTGATCATCTCAGGCTCTTACCGCCGCGGGGCAGCAACCTGCGGGGACATCGACTGCCTGATAACCAAGCCTGGTGCCACGTTGGACCAAATCCGCTCGATCATGCTTGGGCTTGTGGTTCCCAAATTGTTCCGCAGTGGGTTTCTGCGGGCCAGCCTTACCCTTTCGTCGCATCAGGACGGGTCCAAATGGCACGGTGCATCAACTATACCTGGCAGCAACTTGTGGCGTCGGATCGATCTGCTGTTTGTCCCTGATGCCGAGATAGGGGCGGCCTTGCTGTACTTCACAGGCAATGACATCTTCAACCGGAGCATGAGATTGTTGGCACGGAAGAAGGGCATGTGCTTGAACCAGAAGGGGCTCTTTACTAACGTTCTTAGAACACAGCAGGTCAAGCTTAACGCGGGTCGATTGGTTGAGGCTCGAAACGAGCGCCGGATTTTTGTTGCGCTGGGTGTACCCTGGCGGCCTCCCGAGCACCGGATCTGTTGAGACTTGCTAGCAACTGGCCTATTGGAACAGGAAATCACTTATTAATTAGCAGGTAGCCTATTTCAGTCTAATACCAACACGGCCATTATATCTTCAGTGACCAGGGTTATTCACATCCATAAATCAGTTGGTTGATCAGTAGATGGCCACTCATCGATGGACAATGGTGAAATATATATGCGCACCAATGACGATACCACCTGAGATTTCACTCAATTTCGCTCAGATTCAACATGTAGATATAGTCCGATGCAAAGCAATCTATCTCAAAAGCTGATCTCATACTATCCAATACGAAAAATCAAGGAAAAGAAATAAAATAGCTGCATAGATGTACATAGAGTTTTTCGCATAACTTACATTCTGGAGAGACAGGTGTAGCAGTCACAGTGGCACAAGTGACTAAGACTTCCTCGCCTTCTTCCCCAACTTCATCACTTCCCATCAACATCAACATCAAACTTGAGACTTCTCATAGTTCCAAGATTTGATACTCCTTGATCTTCATCACCGCCTTTCCGTGACCGCCCTGCAGCATCACCGCCTTTCGTGCGGTGAAGCCTCCATCGCGTGTCCCTCCCCTTGCGATTGCCAGACCGCCCTCTACTGCCCAGGTTTTGCCCGCACATCTTCGTTTGAATCATCTGGATTTTGTTATTGTTAGTCTCGAGTCTCCTCTTTGAGGCTTTGAGGCTACTTGTATTTCGAGGTTCACGGGGCCTCCCAGTCCCCAGTGACGGTGCACGTGTTTTTTTTTTGCTCAATCCTCTTGCCACCCCTCTGTCTTCTGTTCAGTCCACACACCCCAACTTGGTGGGATCCGGAGCTCTGTTACGACAAGATATTGACTACAGCTAATCGGTTGTTTACGATTGCTGATTATCTGATTGACACGTGAATCCCTCCATAAAACACGTCCACAACGCCTTGCAAAATGGGTCGCAAACCCAACCAACTCATCCTCGAGTTCTTCCACCGGGGTCCCAAGCTGGAAGACGCGAGCAATCGCTACCAACACACATGCAAAGCCTGCGGGGAGATCTTCCCCAAGGGTCGCATTGACAGCCTCACCAACCATCTGGTGAAAAAATGCCAGGCCATCCCTCTCCGCGACCGCCAACGCGTGTTGTTGCGACTCCACGAACTCCCCGACCTCACCGACGTCGACTCGAACAAGGATTCGCCATCTGGAAGCAAAGGAAAGTCGGGTGAAGGCGGATTCCCCAACCGACCTAATTTCGATGGTCTCAATGTGCTTGCGGAAGCGTCGCGACAAGTCGGCGCCTCGGATGTCTCCAAGCGTGGCCCCGGATACACCCAGTCTGTGACCGCTGGAGGAAAAACAGTCATTGTCGACCCCGCGCTGGAGGCAGAGGGCTTCCAGGGACAATCGCAAGGATCTGACAGCAAGATCGAAGGCACCGGAAATGCTGAAGGTTTGTTTCCGCCGCCGTGCATCGTCGCGCACCACAGTTTGCTAACATTTCTCAGGAACTCCTCAATCGTCCAACGCTCCTAGTATCCCTGCCCTTCCGAGCCACACCCCTGGCGAACACCCCGCATCCATGTCCCCGCCCCTGGGTGACGCCTCCATGTCGCCTGAGTCGACCTCCAATGCGCGACAGTCGCAACTGTCGATGATCGCGGCTTCTGCCAACGAGATGGTTCCTCAAGGACTGTCAATTGATGGTGATAACATTAGCTCTGATGGACTGAAGCTTGGCCAGTGGGGTGGACAGCTGTCAACACACGAGCAGCTTCTTTTCGACAGCTTGCATGAGCATGACCCATCTTTGACCGCTGCGACTCAGCGCGCTGCGTCTTATCCCCGCCCCATTGCTATGAACCCGAATACCCAGGCGAAGGGATTTGTGAACGAGTTTGGCAACTCGACTAAGCCCATGAAGCCCAAGGTGCGCGGCCGATTCACAGCCGAGCGACGTCGTGAGGTTCAGGATGTGCGGAAGAAGGGCGCTTGTCTTCGGTGCCGAATGCTGAAGAAACCTGTAAGAATTTGCGAATCCGTGGGATGGTGGAAAAATGACTGACGTTGATAGTGTTCTGGCGATACCCCTTGCACCACTTGCGCTAGCGTGGAGAGTGCACGCTTGTGGAAGCATCCGTGCTTGCGCACTCGCCTTTCCGACGAGTTCGAACTTTACAATGCCAGTAAGTTGTTAGTGCTTTCGTCTTGCAAATAGGAAACTGACAAGGACTTCAGACTTGAACTCAACACTTGCCTACCATGACACCAACAGCATCAAGAACCAGGTCAAGTTCGAGCATTATTCGGGCCGCATCGAGGTTACTCACTTTGAGGAGAGCAACTCCTTCATGACTTTCAGTGGATTGCAAGGTCACCGCGCTTCGGTGTCTGCTCTCGATCCCCAGCTGCAAGGCCTTGGTGATGATCAGTTCTCTAGCCCCGCTCAAGAAGTGTACCTCCTGGATGCCGACGCAGATGATATTCCCAGCAAGCTTGAGCTGTATATCAAGAAGAACGCACACCTTTTCTATGAGCGAGAGACCTCCTCTTTCATGAAGCCTACCCTGATGCTCGCTGCCGAGATTAACCAGCAGAAGAAGGTAAGTTACTTGACATTTGATGTGTAGACTTTTGCTGACATGGAACAGGACATCCTTCTGGAGCGTGTGCTGGAGCTTTGGGTTGCTACACACATCCTTGTTGACACCGAACTTACCTGGAAGACTTACTACAACCCCACCCTCCCTCCGAACTCATTGCACTCTCTTTCCCAGCCTTCGGACGAGGGTCGTCTGCCTATCGAGGAAGTCTCGGACCCCGAGTCCTACGGCCTTCTCTGCAGCCAGCTGCGTTCCGCCATGGAGAAGCGTGCCATGGCCTTGAGCAAGTTTGTCATCAACGATCTCGAGCGTCGCCTTCTTCAGCGCCAGAAGTGCGGATGGTTCGATACCTTCATTACTGCTATCATTCTTCTGAACTGTGTGGAGCGCACCTGCTGGCTATTCCGCTCATGGGACAACGAGAACTTCTCGGGCCGCGTAAGTTGCTACCATTACATCCCATTGCGTCCCTTACTAACACACTTTCCAGTGGCCTCTGGACAAGCGTCCTCCATACTACTTCAACCAGTCCGACCGCTTCTCCGACATCCTGGAGATGCTTCTGCGCATGCGCCACATTCCTCCCAAGGCCACTTTTCGTCCCGACAACGGCATCCTGAAGGCCGTGGACGGTAGCGACGAGCACGCCGTCCGCTGGTTTGACATGATTCAAATTACTCGTAAGTCAACACCTGATCTCATATACGCAACATTCCTTGCTGACTTTACTTCACAGCATACTACATCGAAGAGCGCAAGAACGCCGTCTTCGACCCATCTGACTCACGCTCCCTGGATTGCCACCACAGTGCCAACCTCCTCGAGCCCAACAACGCCACCTGATCCCTCAAAAAAAATCAACAAATCAACTGTTTTGAGTCACACTATTTGCAAACAGGGCCACATGCTGGCGAATATCACCATTACGATATGAAAGCGGCAGCAAAACACGCATGCAACGAATATGTTCGAGTACTTCCCCGTTTCCAATGGACGCGGGCACCTTGTCTGATTTGCTTAACGGAGTTGAATTATCTTAGTAGGGGTAGAAATGGTTTCAAGCGAAGAAATGATCAAGGAGGATATCTTCTGTTATTGTTAATGGTTCCCGGTTTTTTCCCCCTTTTTTCGCGGGTGTTTGTAGGTGTTGGAGGTTGCGGTGCCGGATTTTGTTATTTGTAGCTGAGGCTTTTTATCACTTTAGGATTTGTATCGATTAAAAATGCTTATTTTATTTATTTGATGCCCTTGAATTTGTAGACTGTGAACAGTCGGCGACACTAATAATGTTCTACTCGGTATAAGTTAGTAGACAAGAAATAAATAAGTATACTTCCTTTCTCGTACAAGAAAGAACCACACAACCGACCCTGCTCCAAAACACCCATATCGCCCCAGCGCAACATAATCATAACTTCCACTACCTCGCCATTTCGACCCCTTGTCCGACCGTCTGGGTAAAACAAGACCAACCCCATCCGCCTCGTATAGGGAATCCCAACAACCTCCGGCTTCCCAAGTCCCTACCAAAGTCCATACCATAGAATCCAAGACCGGCCCAACTGGTAATAGTCAAATCCCTCGATCCAAAAAGCTCCCAGCGAACAAACGCTGATCTATAAATCGTCCATGGAATCAACGAGCTGGTGTACTTCAGCAACATGCCGAGAATCAACACGAGCAGGCGACCGCGATTGAGAGAATGCCCTTGCATAGATCAGCGAGCAATTGGTGTGAATCCGAATCCCGCTCGTGAGATACGCTCAGGTCCTTGCCCTGCATACTCGACAGAGCGTACGAGACTATGTTTCTAAAGTATGGGTTACTCTCAGCTGAGAATTCCTTGTTGATGCGTCGCCGACCATTAGCCGCTGTAACTAGTTGACTGCATTTTATTTTGAGGGCTGGATCGCGGTGCGTGTGCGCATGGGTGACTGCAGTTCCGGACAAGTGCGCAGACTAGAGTATTTGTCGTTGGAGTTGTGGACATGCAGCCTCCGAGGCGGTGTTTGATAGTATCGATATGCGCTGCGGAAATGGCGAAGACTTTGAACGTGCATATGGGAAACTCTGACGGGAGCGTTGGGGGTGTTCTGGGTTATTCAGGGTGTGAAGCGAAGGGATCCTTGAGCGATTAAGTAGATGCCGTGTGCAAATCAGAGGTGAGTGCATCTGTGAGTCGATTGATCCTACCTAGGGAACTCAGGACAGGTCACCGAACGAAGAAAATCCAGTGTTTGCGACGTTGGGTCCATAGTCTCACGACCTCCGAGAGACCAGTTGCGTCGTCGACGTTGTGGTGCATGCAGACGGGTGTCCGTCTCCGAATTGGAAGATGCTTATAGAGAAAATGTGGGCTCCTTTTTCTATCGGGTTGTATTCGACCATGTCGGTGATTGGACGGAGATTTGGATGGAGGATGGAGGCATACCGTTGGCTGAGAGATCCATGTATGGCTTGTCTATGATGCCTTTGTCGATTAAAGTGGGTGTGATGTTTGCGTTCCAACGCATTTCGAGAGATGTCTTGTTGTTTTCTAGGGTAGTTGGAAATACTCGGCCTGATATCCATGGAATCTGAGTTGCCAGCTTTACCAGGCCTTGTTGGAGGGTGTTTCGGAGTGATGTAGTTGATTCAGTAGTTCGGCATGTCAAAATCGCCGCTATATAGACCTTTGGCATGATCAGGTCCAACGGCGTTAGCCGCTCGACAATCGAGATATTGGACATTGTTTGAATGTGTGTATCTGCTAGAAGGGAAGATATTGAGAATATATAATGACAATATTAGGATTGTTTGCTTTTAAGGGAGCATATTTTATGCCCTACCTCCAGAAGCCTTCAAAACTGCCTGCCACTCAATTTCGTCCGGCTCATCTGCGTATATCAAATCGCTGACATCGAAAAATTCCCGCTCCTGCTCTTTAGTGCTTGCATAGATCGTTCGGATCTGACAAGGAGAGATTAGCACCGAGGATAAAGAGCAGCAATAGAATGTTATCTTGCCTTGGTAGATGTTTCTCTAGGAACCCAGGTAATGAACACGATACTGGATCTGGTTTACACGCCAGTGGGCGAGCATCAAAATAACATACACTAAAGTATACCGTTTGCCTTCTAGACCGAGGTCATATGCAGCCTCTCTCGATGAACATGTTTGACATGAGTTCTGGAGGCGCTATGCTATGATAGAGGAATGGATGTGACGGCTCTAACCATGTAAAGAAAAGAGAACGCTAGTTATGTATGCACTCACGACACCTGATTACTTCAACGCGTTGAATTGCGATCGATGGGAAGGTATATCAATACTAGCACGAATGATAAAATGTACAAACGAAGACAAAAAAAAAAAAAAAGGGAGAAAGAAATAAAGCCAGTCTATCAAACCCCAAGTCCCAAAAGCAATCTCAAGGCGTACTTTGAATCATATTATCCGGCTGCAAACCCTGCACCGAAACCTGCTGCATCTGCTCCAAGACAACAGCGTAAAACTTCCCCTCTTCAGAAGTATCGTGATAAGGCCCCGCAGAAAGAACAGCCCTGTAAAACATCAGTACACTAAGACCAACTACCGAATAGTCAAGGTGGAATGAAAAAGAAAAACAGGCAAAGCAAACATACCATCCCTTATACTTCGGCTGATTAAAAATATCCGTGAAAACCCTCAAGATTCGCAACGGCAATTCCAAAATCGACGGCAACTCGGGCCCATCCCCGCAGATAGGCAAGCCCAGCTTGTTGACGGGCAGGTAGACCGTCTCGGCTGTGTTTTGCGGGTTGCGCGTCTCCTGGAAGATGAGAAGGCGGCGTGAGGTGGGCTGCGCCAGGGGTTGGGATGGGGGCATGTTTGGTGCTGCTTCTGCGCCTGTGTCTGGGGCGGCTTTTTGAGTGTAGAGGGATTTTAGGAGGGTTTTGCGAAGGTCAGGGGTTGGCCTTCTTTTTCTTGGAGATGAGTTCAGTTTGGCTGTGGTTTCTTTTATTTTTTTGGTGGTGTTTTGTTTTGCTGTTGCGGGGTGGGGACTTGGGAGACTCCAGAGAGATGGTTTTTTCTTTCTTTTTTGCTAAGAACATTCAATATCACATTTTATATGTTTTTATCGTGTTTACTGGACTTACTATGTATTATTCGCGTGGTAAGAGTGGACAAACTTGTGGTTTGGGATCTGCAGGCGCGGGGCAGAAAGGGGGAAGAAGATGGAGGGACAAAACACGAGACAGAAGTAGATACAAGTAGAGATGAATAGAGTAGAAGTTGGGTAGAAGTAAGATATTAAGTCTTGCTAACTATGACAGGGATAACTAAGACATATCTATTGTTTATGTTTGGTAAACAATGGCTTAATGACCTCCAAGGTTAGTTCTACAGGAATGCAAAGCATATACTCCCCCGTATCAACAATAAATTATATTATTCGGCCTCTGATAGGTACATTAGCGTGAATGCATATAAAGACAAGAAAAGAGGGAAAAAAAAAACATAGTAAACCTCAAAAACACTGGGTATCACAATGATTCAAACAAAGAAATACTAAACAACTGCAAAAAGAAAGTGAATCTCGCCCGCGATAAATCGTGGTATCATTCGCAATGCAGAGATGGAATAATGAATGAAAACAGACAAAGAGATTAAGCATTAAGCATCGAGCTCTCCCTCCAACACTCTCCGCGCCGCATCCAGCCGGCGCCGTAATACACGCGCGGCCTTCTGATCCGGCTCCGGAGAGGTCGTGATGGCCTGCAGATCCATGCAGACCTTGCCGAGACTGGCGAAGAGCGTTTCCAGCATCTGCGTGTCATCGTCGTTGATACCACCGGCGACGGGTGTGCTGGATGCCGCGCGCACAGTCGAGACGAGGGACGAGACGAGCGAGGTTGGGGTTGCGGAACCGGCGGTGGATGATGACCGGCCGCTCTGTTTCTGCGGTGAGAAGTTCTCATCGACGGGGGTGAGAGTGGTGTTGCCGTTGGCATCTCGGGATCCGCGGGGCGTTTCTGATCGGTCGGGCTCTTGTGCTTCTTGGATAGGACTGGGGCCGTGGTGAGAATGAGAGTGAGTGTGGACATGTCCGTGTCGTAGTTCTGTCCAGGGATTAGTCTCGATGTCTCCATTAGAGGGTTGTGGGAACGGACCGTGATTGAATCGTCGGTCCCAATACATCACGCTGTCAACGTCGTCTTCCTCGTCTGGGTGCCCTTCGGTTGCGGTTGCGAAGGTTGCCACCGTTGAGTCCGACATGGCGCTGTTTGTGCGCGAGTGTTTTGCGGTATATGTTGGGCGGGTTGTCTCAACGGAGCCATTCGAGCTGGTACTCGAACGGCGGAGTGGTCGCGCGAAATTGCCTAGCGCACTGTGCAGGATGAAATGCTCATAGTCGAAAGCATCCTCGCGCATCTCATGAGGCGTCGTGTCCGTATGGATGGGCCCCTCCAGGTCATCGTCAAGCGGTTCACGGAGAATCTCATCCAGAGCTTCACGGTCAATGTCATCGTCATAGTCGCCCTCTTCAGCATCTTCATACATGCTTTCGGTGACAGATTGGTTGTCATCGTATTCAGGCCCATTGTTTTGCCAGTTGCCGGCATCTTTAGATGTACTCTCTACAGCATGCTCCACGGGACTATCCCCAGAAGCACGCCGATCGTTCGGCAAACCACCGTTCGAAACACGCCGGGCATATTCAGAGCTCGTATCACGTCTGGCATCGGAGCCACGGCTGCTACGGCCATCTTTGAGCTCCAGCGCATTGGCATACCAGTGATCAGCGGCCGTCAGAGGACTCGGAGTACGCAAACTTTGCAGACTGCGCCTGCGAAGATTATCCTCCTGAGTCTTCACCTTCAGTGAAGAGATCTTGATATGCAGACCCTTCATCTGATACTGAAGATCACGCACTTGCAACTGCGACTGCGCACGACTAGGTGGCCCATACGAGCTGTAGACAGGACTGAACCTCTCCGGACTAGATTTCGATCCCTCATCGGAGACTCCCAAGCCCTGCGGTGAACCCGCCGAGCTGTGTCCCTCAGAAATAGGTGACGGCGTTGCCTCCGACTCGTCTGGCTGCTCTTGGATTTGCACAGGAGGCCTGATAGAAGATATGGACGCCCGGTGCGTGAGATACGCCCTCGTAGGCTCGTATTGGAACGACCGATCATCCGTATGAAGATTGGACGAAGTGCTCGCGCCCATGGCACTAACCGAGCGCGAGAGTCCCTTCTTATCATCCGACATACTCGACTCGGACGGGATATTCGTCTCAGAATGAACCCTCGAGTGTCGATTACTCGAGGAATCCTGCGACGAAATGAGCGACTGCCGGCGCAGCGAAGAGTTCTTGGGATCGGTGCGGGAGATCGATCGATACAGTCCGCCCACGGGGTGGTGCATGCCCATCGGCTGGATGTTTCCCAACGCAGAGGGCGAGGGCGAGGGCGTCATGCGCGTAGTCGAGCGAGCGCGGGTCAGATTGCCTTCCATAAGCTATAAGACGAAACATATTAGCATTCTCCTCGGGTGTGAGACCAATCGCAAGCGCAAGAAGTCTACATACATTCAAGCGTTTCTTCGCATTCTCCAGAATCCTCTCCGCCTCACTACTCAGTATTGCCGACGAAAACTCCTCCCCGGGCCCTTTCCCTTCCGCAGCAGCAGACGCAACCGAGTTGCTTGCCGCCAGAGAAGGACTGGCGCCCACCAGACTCGCCTGCGCTTTCACGACCTCAGCCTGAGCGGCCGCCTCATCACGATCGATGTGCGGCGACCTAGCCTCCGAAGCGCGCCTGCTCCCCGCGCTCACCGTCGAGCTGGAACTCGACTCGGCCTCGTACTGGCTAGATGGGGAACTCGACTCATGTGCGCCCCCAGACTCGTCGAAATTATCCGACCTCGAAGGGGACAATTCCTCGCCGATATCCGACAGCCGACGACTGACATTCACATCCTCGTGTGTCCAGGCCGAGCGGGAAAAGTTTTTCTTCTGTCGAGAGCCGACGGCCATGGGGGCATTGGGGTCGTAGTTGCGGGAGTTGAGATGCGACAGGTAGGCGATTTGCGGTGGAGATGGCGTTTGGGATTCGCGTTCGCCCCCGTACGGTAGGATCATGTCCGGGTCGGGCAGCGTGAGTGAGGGCATCGGCTCTCTTTCTCTCAGGCCCTGGGGCCTGGTGAATTCGCAAATTAGAGGTGGAAATGGAGGGAAAGAAGAAGTGCAGACGATCGAAGCCAAGCGAACCAAGTCACCCTGAGCTCCCCCTAGGCTTGGTCTAGCGCCCTGATCATTTCCTCTTTTGGAGTTGAGGTTTTTGAAGATATTCGCACACTTCTATTGCCATTGCCATTAGGCTTCCACTATTATTTACAGTTGTCAATAGTGCTGTGTCACTCTGTGACAGGTCATCCATGCTTTTTCTATACTTGTACATCGAGGCCACCCATATGTTTCATAGTCATCACAATGTCAATTTCCCTTTTTGATTGGGATTGTCTCACGCCAATGACCCTTCGAGTATAGCCCGCCAAGCCTAGACGTTTAATTAGTTAGAGTCGAGGGATGATCACGACGACGCATCTACTGTAGTATGTAAGGACTGCGCAAGCATATCACTTAAGCTATTTATTACTATCTACACGTTACCGACATTCTACAGCTTCATCTCTGTACATGCAAGTTTTCCTTGAAAAGTAAACAAAGCAAACGCCGGACGAACCCCTGAGATCGGCGATCCATGGATGAAAAGTCCACAGTGGAGAATTTAATTTCAGTTTCGGACTTAAAATTGGGCGAATGTAAGTACTTGTATACGGCTCTCTGAAACGTTTCCGGCTTTGCAAGGTCGCGTAGGCCTAGGCCGAGTAATGCTAGTAGATTCATAGACCAATTGATATAGATCCTGTCCATACCACCTCTTTGTAGGCGACGTTAGACTTGGATTTTAAGGTTTTTAGCGTCGACGACTATTCTAGCTGCATATACTCAGTGCATACTAGACACCTCTAGACTCACAAGTCATTCTTGGTACCATCGCTATTTCCTCGAAGCTCAACCACAGTCCTTTCTCTCAGCTGGGAATGCAAAGTCCGAATTCTAGTTGACATGCGCATGAATAGATAACCTAATACGGTTGGGGAAAAAGAATCCACCAAATTGGAGTAAGAAATGGTTACGCAGTAATGTCTCAGATAAGAGAGCTCAAGGTGCGTCTGTCGCGTTGGTAAGATAATGTCATTGCTTGTCGACAAAGTTCAGTCTGGGTCAGAATTCTTGTATTGAGGTAATGATTGAGCGCAGGCATTTGGATTTGACGTGCCCGCTCTTCTCCGAGGACATCTTGAGGTGTTGAGCTGAAAATATCTTTCAAGGATTGGAATGTTATCCGGTGCTTTTGCCCTTCCACTATTCAAACCATTTCGTTGAGTCAAGTGCTTTGCATATTCGTCCACGCGGTCATCGTCCACCCCAGCTATTCGATCATTACTATAAACCCTGACGACGGTGTCCTAGAGTAAGAGATTCACTTACTACAGTCACTAAAGACTGCCCATAGTGCAAGCATTCGGGTCTTCTGCTGATGATGGGCTGGGGGTATTGCCTTTCGGGTCCGGGGGTCTTGGACTTGGTTGGTATTGGACTTATGTTACTGTATTAAGGACTCAGTCACTACGGTGGAGATATGGAAGACTAACGAGAGGGACATAGACCTAACCCCAGCATACTAATGAATAACTAGGCTGTTTGCTATTGAAGCAGAACACCAATGGCAGAGATATCATCAAAAATATGCTTTTTTGTAGACGTAAATTACACAGGCTATAATATGGAATCACAATCAAATCTTCTCAAGCAGCAGCTTAGCACCGCTGCTAGTAGGACTGGGCTTCTTCTTCCCATCCTTATCCTCCTTCCCAGACGCCGAGGCCTGCTCCAGCGCCTTCTTGTTCTTCTTCAAAGTCTTAAGGAGCTCAGCCTTCTTCTCGAAGTCGTCCGACTCAGCCAGAGCGACAATAACGAAGGGGTTGGCACCCGTCGCCCAGTCCATTACTTCCTCCTTGATCTGGTCGTACAGGAGACCGTGGAAGTTCAGTGCGGGCTCGACTTTCTCTACGGACTTGGTGGCTGGGTTGAAGCGGCCACCTTGGACGAGCGACTTGAGAAGACGACCGGCGTGGGCCGTATCCCGGGCTTCGGTGTGCGACTTGGCGGCGGCGGCGACGGCCTCGAGAGCGGCGGTCTTGTCACCGTCGGCTTCGAAGAGGACTTCAGATAGGAATTGGCAGCCGAAGGTTGTCTCTAGGAGAGTCTCTGCGCGGGCGGCGATGAACTCGAGGAGGGTAGGCGAGGCGGCCTTGATGAGTTCCTCGCGGCGGACGGCGGGGTCCTTCTTGGAGGTTTCTTTGCGGACTTCGCGGACTTCCTCGAGGACCTTTTGGGTGACTTCTGGTAGGAGCCACTTAACGCGGTCGCCGGCGAAGGGGTAGAGGACGGGGATACGGGCTGTCAGGTCGTTGACCTGGAAGCAGAGTTCCTCGTTGCGGGCCTCGGCTCCCTCATTTTGGTTCAGGAGCTCGGGGAAGAATGACTTGGCACTGAGTTTTGTGTCGTCAATGACCTCGTACGCGGCCAGGATCACCTGGTGGCCGTTCAGGTCGCCGGCCATGACCTTGACGGTGTCACGGTAGAATCGGAGAAGGAGCTTGCGGTCCTTGGCGTTGGCGTATGCGAAGGTCAGGCACATCACGCGCGAGCCGGAGGTGGTGAATGCCAAGTTCTTGACCAGGTCACCCTCTTCGTCGCTCTTGAGGAGTTCGATGAATTCGTTGGCTTCGTTGCTGCCAGGCTTTGTGCTGAGGAAGTATTGCAACATGGCGTCGTGGAGCATGGTGAAACCGGTGCTCTTCTTCTGCACCAGGTGGTTGATGAGCTCGCGCAGGTAGTTCATAATGGGTCCACGCTTCTCGGGGTTGGCTTCGAGGATCTTGGGCAGATCGGAAGTGGTGTCGTTCTCATCCTGGAAAATCACAAACTCAGGTCCGTACCACTCGCGGAGGAGTCTGTCCTTCTGTGCCTTGGTAGCAACTGTGCGGTAGATATCATCGAGAATCCATGAACCTTCGGGGTGACGGATAAGACGCTTAACGTGGCCGTAGAGCTCTGGGATGATCAAATCGCGGGTCTCGTTGTCGCCGTGGACAATCAACTTTCCGACCAAGAACTTGGCGTATCGGCTCTGAGCCAGTTCCTTGTAGCTGCCCTTCAACTCATGCGCAATCTGCTTGCGCTGCTCAAGGTTTCCGTACTTGAGAGCGGTCTGAATGACACGAACGGAGTCGTGCTTGAACACGAAGTCGCGGACGCGGTTGGTGATGATCTCGAAAAGCTCCTTGATAAGCTTCTTTCTCTGCTCCAGCGGCACGTGGGACTTGCGACGCAACTGCTCCCACAACTTCATGGAGCGGGCGATGGTATCGGCGTTGGGCTTGGCGGCCTTGCGCTCCTGCTGGAGCGCTTTTTGCTTGGCGTGGGATTCGCGAGAGGCATTGCCTGAAGAGAAGAGCGATTAGCCATAGTACCGTGGAAAAGATAGGACGACGACTTACTGTTGGGGTTCTTTTGAGGCGCATCTTTCTGCTCTCCCTCCTTGTCGGAGTTGGAGGGCTTCTCTTCCTCCTCATCGCTCACATCATCCATCTCAACATCCTTCTCGGAGATAGCATCAAGGGCGTCGAGGTCTTCGTCGGAAACGTCGTCGATGTCGAAGTCGTCCTCAGACTCGGACTCCTCCTTCTGGACCTTCTTCGAGGGCTTCTTCTTGTCGCTCTTGCTGGACTTGGACTCCTTCTTTGGGTCCTTCTTGGATCCGGAGCTGGACTTCTTCACGGGCGCAGTGGACTTGGACTTCGATGCGGAGACTTCCTTGGTCTTGCTCCGCTTGCCATTGCGCTCCTCGCTGCCGTCGACGGCACGCTTCACTCCAGCCATTATGAAAGATGATTTCAGTAGGCTTATAGTGTCTCCGAGTGAAATAAAAAGGAATGGGGTCTTTCGAGCGGAGACTGCTCGATGTGCTGGTGGATAATTTTTTTTGGAGGCGGAGGAAGTTTTTTTGCCGGATGTTTGCAGAGTTTGCACTGATAAGGTTGATAGCATCGTTCAATAACTTCACGTTGAGATGTTTAACTTAAGTTAACTTATAGTAACCTTTTCATGTAGAGTATCTCTATTAATCTCAGTTCTATGCTCTGACATGATCTTGAAAAGGATACTGTCGAACATGTGTCCAAGTCGCAACTCGAAAAAGCAGATAAAACAGATGTACAAAATGCGAATGAGTAACACGAGTCTTCCAGACTCTCCCAGGACAAGGCCGACGCTATTGACGTTGGCCAAGGCCTATATAAACCATCCAAACGAGTGTGGCTTCACTCGACCAAACCCAGAACGCCGTGGGGGATCTATTTAGATAGATCACAACGCATAAAACAGAAATCATCACTCATCACCGCTCATTTGGCCTCTTCAGCTACAGAGATGGCTGCGGGAGCCTTCATAGAGCCTAGCTCAGAACCGCCACCACTCTGGCCGCGCTTCCTGCCGGGAATGTGAAACCCGAAGGTTGATGTCCCAGACTTGTTGCCCGTGGATTGTTGAGCATCACCCGAGTCGCCAAATCTGGCGAGAAATCCTTTCTTCTTGGGCTTCGCTTCGTCATTCAAACCAACGTCCTCGAAGGCTTCTTCCTCCATGGTGTCGGACTTGGTGAAGCTGTTGGAAGGCGCACCCGATGACGAGTTTAATCGAGAGAAGCGAGAATCAAGCGATGTCCGAGAAGGCCCGGCGTCGGAGTGGTTGATGGGGGAGCGGGCAGAGATGTCCTAAAGGTTCAGCATTTGCGATGACATTCCCATTTGCGGGGACATACAAATGATCGGCGATAGGAGTCGAAGGACTCGCGGGATATAGAGAATGGCTCATTCTGGTCCACTAGGTCTCGATGGTTGGACGATTTGGTGGATCCAGGGTATCGACGCCAGAAACTCGGTCTCTCGGGGGGAGAAGGCTGTTGCAGTTAGAGATCGTCCCCACGCATGAGGGGATCAGCCCATACTGGAAGATACACGCCGCTGTCATTGACCACTGCAGAGATAATTATAAGTATTAGATTTGTCTGATTGCATCTCTGCGACAACAGTCGAGGGGGCCATACCACTCAATTTATACTCGGTGGGTTCCCCATCCTGGCTGTTGCGGATCGGTATCGGCGCGGGGGGATTCGGAGAGAGATAGTTCTCATCTAAGCCAGCATGTACACTGGGCTGAGACTTCCGACCGAGTAAATTGCGAAATGGAGGCATCTTGGCGAGGGAGAGAAAGTCGAAGTCGACAAAGTCTGGAGATGGAGAGGATTAAACCCCAGAGTCCCAGAACAGAAAAGTTCGACGTCATCCAAGGAATGGGGCGACCATTTCTTGGCAAATTGGAACTGCAACAGCCAATTACTTCACTTTCCGAGTAAATGTATCCTTTGCATTGCCCTGATCCAGTTCCTGGCCTTATAGTCTAATTGGTGCTACTTTCTATGCTATACTGTCCTTGTATTTGCAGCCATGGCTACTATCCGAGGGTTCCGAGGTATAGATCGACATACAACAGGGTCGTAAAAGTGCATACAGTGCTATGAAGCATGAAAGCCTCGCGAGTGTACCGTTTCATGCATTGTCTTCGCGCTACTTTGGCCTCTATTTGTTCACCTATTTTCGAGTACCTCAGGTTAATCACGTAGATTGTATAAAGGTCGGGGTGTGAAAGCACTTCTGGTATGACTGACTGTAGTTCACTTTGCCCTAAGTTATACATCTACTCGTTTCCTTGGATTCCACCCGACTTTACAACCTTCATATATGACATATATCACACGACAAAATCTAATATCAGCTCTCTTCTTCTCTGTCATCCTCGCAAAGAAAGCCCAAGCATCAAGTTCGCATCTCAAAACTTACTATTTCATCAGAAATCACACCAACTTCATCAAACCAAATGCTAGACTTTTGTCAAAAGTAAGTACGATGGAATCGGCTACCACCGTTCTGTCGAAGTGGTTCTCTAAATAAAATTCCAGACCTGAACCTATACATCGCCACTCAACATCAACTCCATCATGTCACACCTGCAACAGGAGTCAGACGCTGGACACGAGCTGCCAGTATATGAACATCCGCCAGTATACGATGAGTTGTCTGCATCCGAAGAGGTATCAGCCCCCGAAGAGCTATCAGCCGGGGAAGAGCTGTCAATATTTGAAGAGCTGTCGGTATCTGAAGAGCTGCCAGTATCTGAAGACTCGCCAGTAACCCAAGAGCTGCCGCTATCCGAAGAGGCAGTATCAAACCCGCCCCCTGTTTGGTTGCTAAGATTGCTGTATCTTGGCTGTATGTTGGCCGTGATCGGTGTTTGCCTTATTATTTTCGCGGCCATCATGGCCGTGCTTCCTATTATTATGGAAGCTCTCAAAAATCTTTTCTCCGAGACAAATACCTGCAATGGCTATACCACTACTGAATGGTATCGTTCTGGTTATGCCGCTGGTTATACAGATGCTCTCGCCAGTGCTTCAAACACCAAGAATGCCACCATTGAGAGCCGTGATCTAATCGACATTCTAACCATAGTCGACATCCCAAGCCTCTCCACGAAGGACGTCATTTCCGAAGAAAGAAACACGGCCGAGAACGAGCTTCACACCCAGGAACAGAGAGAAGAGTCTCCCGCGCTAACTACCCTGGAAATTCCAGATATTCCATCCAAAGACAGCATTCTTGAGGAAGGCAACAGGACCGAGAAGGAACTCCAACTCGAGGGACTTGAAGACATAACAACGCGAGAAAAGAAAGAGGAGGGTCTCCCACCGCCATATGCAAGAGTCTGTGAAATAAACACAGAATGTCCTCCGGGATATAGATGCCTCGAGGCGTCATGTGTACGTGGCTGCGACATTACCGAGGACTGTCGGGACAGATATCAGTGCAAATACGGCCGATATGGATACCGGTGCTTTGAGAAGACAGGTCGGCACCGTGAATGTATGGAGCATGGGCATTTCTGTCGTCGGCATTTACAGTGCTGTACTGGGTACTGTGGAAGAAGGTCTAAGGGGGGAGATTTCCTTTGTTCGCCAAAGCCTGAGGGGATGGATGGACATGCTGAAGGGGTGGACGAGTAGTGGTTCACGTGTGACATTGCTGTGTATGAATATTGGGAAAGAGTGAGAGTTATGAGGAGAGCCATATGTTTTACCTTTGCTTAGTATGCATACTATTGCCTTTTGTCATAATTGTGATCTAGTTTTGTATGGATCCATGAATATTGTTGCTGCAACATGATATGTTGTGCTATATGCTTCAGCGCCTCTTCCCTAGGTCCACTTGATACGCATTACACATACTCCTACAACACACTCCTCTCCTTCCTATTAACCCTCCCAGCCTGGAAACATTCCGGCAACCCCGTCGCCTCCCACCCCTTCCCCGACATCAACATCACCAACCCCGGAGCACAAGTGAAAATAGTCGCCATCCCTAACCAGATTAGCCCCAATACCAAAACAACAATCCAATCGACTTACCATGTCCATTAAACCCAGCACAAATCCACTGCCCCTCCAATCCCCCAACAGGCCCAACCAAAGGCGCATTATCAGGCGTGATCCCCTGGATCCCCGTCCAAGCGTAATCAAAGCCCTCCCCAAGCCTCAGCGGATCCCCCACAGGCCCAGAAGCCAGATTCTCAAATTCAAGCTGACTATTCTTGACCAGTGTGCTGTTAAAACACCTATCATCGAATGTAACCAGCGCCTTCCACTTCTCCGTCTCTGAATCCGATCCATCTCTCGTCCCTGTACCACCGAAGTTAATCGTCCCGTCACGCAGCGGATTCACAGAAAAGAAATGATTCGCGCTATATCGAAGTGCCATTGTCTTTTTTAGCGTCTCTGCACCGGATAGTGATGGACATGGAATGAACGAGTTAACTTGTGAGCGACGTGGTGTGATGAAATTTGCTAAATTGGGTAGGAGGAATGAGGCGTATGCATTCGTGCAGTGGACGACTGTCTCGGCTGCGACTGTGCCGCGCGGTGTATGAATATCCCATCTTGCGCTTGCACTTGCATTCGCACTGGTCGCTTCGCTCGTTGCATGTTTCGTGACCTTTGTGGCGGGACAATGTGTCCAAAGCCTGCCGCCCTTCGCGATGAAATCAGTCAAGATCCATTGGACTAGCTTGGCTGGGTTGTTGGATGCTGCTGGCCACTCGTATGCGCTGATAGCGTTGGGGACACGGGTTTTGGCTTTTGCTTCGTCGCCTTCGTGCACTTGGACTTCTGAGACATCGCCGCCAGCAGCCTTGTACGCTAATAATGCTTTGGCAGTGTAGTCTGCAGCTTCCTGGGTAAGGCAGGTCTCGAACGTTGTTGTATCGGTGAAGTCCGAGTTGATGCTATGTTCTGTGACGAACTTGCGGATGCTTTTCAGCACGATCTGCTCATTTTCGAGGATCTTTTTGGCTTGTTCTGGGCCATGCAAGGAGGAGTAGTGGAGGAAGCCTCGGAATGCATCTGCCACGGTGTGAGATTATCTTTGAAGTTTCACAGTCTCACAGAGAAGATATGGAAAACACCATGGCAGTTACTAACCTGGCCGAATATGTCCAGCATTTCTTCCACTGGCGCCGGAAACAGCTTCTCGAGCCTCGAGGATTAGAATGTCTTCGCCCTTAACACCGTCCTCGATGAGCTTCCAAGATGTTAAGGCTCCTGAAATTCCAGAGCCGATTATAACGTATTTGGCAGAAGTTGGAACATCTTCTTGACGATTGGCATTCAGGTGAGTGAATGAACGTGTTCCCCGGTGCCAGAGCGAGAGGCATGCAGATGAGAATGGTAATGACGGCTCCATTGTGCGTATCAAATGAGACCGCAGCGTTCAAGCAAAAGCTTGAGATTTGTTGATGCTCGATAAAAAGTTGCCCGGCCTTTTCACACTTAATCGTTGACAGGGGTGGTAATCCGCGATTTAAAAAACCCCGAGCAATGTCAGGGTCGCTGAGTACGTGGCTGAGTATGTGGTCAATTCCTCCAACAAGTTTTAAAGGGAGATAACGTGGTTTAAATCAAGCTACCCGCGCCGAAAGCTTCGAGACTTACCGAGCCCGACATGCGATTTGTATGTTGATTGGGGCGGTGTATTCCGCCAGCCCTCCACTTCGAGGGGTAGATATGGTTGTTGCATATGAACTATGTAGATAACGCCATTATAGTGTGGATTATTCTCGGCGAGAATTTTGTCTTCTAGCAACCTGCTCCCTTTAGAAATGCAGATAAGTGGGATGGTTCTCATGTTTTCTCCTTTTGTGCACCATTGAGTATAAAGTCTGCCCAGTCCCGGAGGGTTTGAACTCTTGCTGGTTGACACTTTTGAGGTGCTTCCAACAGTCCTGGATACTGTGTATCGACGTGTATTGCAGGATTATCATGCGGAGATATTCATTGTTCATGAAATATAACCATTTCTCGTCTTTCGGACGACCTATATTGAGGCCAATCCTTCAGCAGTGGTACCGTTCTGCAAATTCGCCGATGCGATGAGCTTGGCAACAAGGACATACGGTATCTAAATGACACTTCGGATATTTCTTAAGTCACACTGGGCATCCCTGACAGCCCCAATGTGAGTGGAGCCGGGGGCCGGGGGCCGCTCAAGGGTCCGATCACTTTGTGTGGATAAATTTGTCAAGTTATATCAACAATAAACCATTGATTGGCGAGAGACTAAATACTAAAAGCCACAGAAAATTATGACGCTGATAGGTATGAATAGGCAAAGGAACTTGGCCAATATACGAAGGCAAACAACCTGCACAATGTACAGGCAGCCCGAAGACACGGTGATGTTTATGATGCGCGCAATCTCGATTCAAATGTCAGTCCTCGTGACCCTGAAGATTATTTCTTTGAATAATTTCGACGACATCTATTATGTAGGATCGAATTGTGAACCGAGCTTGAGCGTATATGCTAGAATAAAGGTGGATACGTCCCCAGCAAAACACTGGTTTCAAGAGGCTTAGCCGCTGGCCCCCAGTTTGGCCCCATTCATCTCAACTTATCAGAATCCTCATTGGCAAACGAAATTACAGGTCAATGATTAGTGCAGTCTCGTGCGACCACGACCTCGCCCAAAATCTTTCCCCTCAGATTTCTTCTTCCTTCGGCCCCGTACCTCCATATCGCGAAATCCTTTGACAGGTGACCCATCGCAATGACCACAGACAGCGTCCAGGGATATGCGCTTCGCCGAAACAATACCTGCGGTAATAGCGAAGTGACCTGCACTGAGAATGCGACATGGGATAATTGGCAGGCCTGCTGCCCCCAAAATTCATTTTGTTTCGACTCGAAGGCCAGCCAAGCCAACTTTATATGCTGTGAAAATCAATTCAACTGCACTGCAATGATTGCGACCGCCCCCACGTGTGCAGATAAGAGCTGGAATCTGTTCAATTCGACCGGGTATTTCTGTTGCGAGGAAGGTGAAGTCGCGTTTAATGTCGACAACACTGTTTGGGTTGGGTGTGCGGATCCCGGCTTTGCTGGCGGCAGTGAATACATATCACTGGAGACTAGTTCGGTTGGTTAGTTGCTATACCCACCGAGGTGACTGATCAGCTGCTAAATATGCTTTATAGGTACCCCTGTCGCATCCTCGACTGCAACCTCCTCGCCCTCCTCAACTTCTTCAACATCCTCAACATCCTCAACAACACCATCATCGGATACCGGTTCTAGCAACCCCGATAACTCATCGCATACAAACACAGGAGCTATCGCTGGTGGCGTGGTCGGCGGTGTCGTTGGCGTCGCCGCAATTGCTGCTCTCCTCTTCTTTTTACTTCGGTCTCGAAAGCGACAACAGTCCCAGCAACAGACGCAGTATCAGAATCCACCGCCCGCATTCTCAGAGAGCGTTCAACCTGGAAAGGGCGTGCAAGCCAGAGAGCTAGACGGCCAGGCACGACTGGCAGAGCTGAATGCAGGCGATACTGCATTTCACCAGCGTCATGAGCTACCGGCATATCGTTGAGCTTTTTTTCATCTCATGCGCCTTGCGAGAAAACTTTTGTCATATTATAATGCCTTCCATCTAATCCTCTTCTGGCACACTTATGATTGCACTTTCGAGAAGGCTGAATAAACCGTTAGTCCCGATTTATAGATCTTGATGTCATTAAAACTTGAAAGAAGATCGTCTGTTCTAAAATGAAGCAGTAGTTAGGAAGAACGAGAGAGAGGGATAACTTATATTTGACTGACATAGCCGTCTATCCAAGCTCCACCAGTGATGAGGATTTATACCTTAAACCATCATTGAATTGCGATGGAAAAGGACCTCGGGTAAAATACAGATCTAACATGATTTTCGGATCTACAGTGTACTTAGATTGGCGTTCTTTGATTACAATATGACGTGATTCGATGTCGCTTAGTGGATAACGTTACTGTATGGGTGTACCTCATTTGATAATCAACACTATAACGTTAGCGTATCTTCAATCCATTGCTTGAACTAGATATTCCAGTCTATGCGGTCACATGGCCATAAGCACTAAATCCTCCGGGGCGCAACTCCTGTTCATACCCCTGTCTGAGCCAAAGCAATTACCAAGCACGACTGGTAGATTTCAAATCGGAGATATGACATTATTAAGATACTTACAAATGCCTTCCAGCTAATAGTGGCCCTTATTTAAAGGGTGTGCCCCATTTCCATTGAAAGAATGAGAGCTAATAGCTTTGCTTACTGCCTCATTTGCGAGTTTTCATAATGGAATCCACGATCGTCCTTGTCACTGGTGCCAATCGCCGAATTGGAAAAGGGATACTGGAGCTATATCTCAAGAAGCCCAACCACACTGTTATCGCTGCGCTTCGGGACCCAAGCCATTCGTCTTCCAAGGCTTTAGCCGACCTTCCCAAGGCAGAGGGCACATCTCTGCTAACGATCAAGATCGATGCAACATCCCTGACCCACTTTCCTGCTGCCGTGGAAGAGCTGGCCAGCAAAGGGATTGACCATATTGATATCATTGTTGCCAATGCTGGCATTGCCATCTCGTGGCCTACGGTATCAGAGGTGAAGATTGAGGATATTCAGAAGCATGTCGAAGTCAATATTTACGGCTTTGTGTCACTTTACCAAGCTTTCAGAGCTCTTCTGAAGGGGTCCAAGCACCCTAAATGGGTGACTATTGGTTCGAGTTCTGCGTTGTTGACGGTAAGTATTTGTTCTCAGTGCGGTGACGAGGGAAATGATAACTGACTTGTTAATTTAGTAAGTAGAAGAATTTTCCGTGTGGAATTTGTATCGATTGGAACTGGGCATACGTATTAACTGTCGCGTTTCATAGGGACTTCATTCCTATGCGGAATGCGTCATACGCCCCGACCAAAGCCGTTCAGCATTGGTACACGAAGGCAATTTCTGCTGAAGATCCCTGGCTAAACGCGTTTGTCATTGACCCTGGGTGAGTCTTACTAGATTCAATAGTTTTGTGTTCTTTCCCTGTGTTTCCCCCGTTCATTACCACCCACAAGGATGATAGCTAAAACGGTTGGACCAATATAGTTGGGTTCAGACAGATCTTGGTAACCGTGGTGCCGATACTTTCGGATTCGAAAAGGCTGCCATTACTGTGGAAGAGAGTGCTAGTGGAGTGGTCAATGTGATTGATGTCTCTACTTTGGAGACTCATAGCGGGAAGCCCTTCAGATACGATGGCAGTGAAAAAGCATGGTAGGGTTAGAATATTACTCGGGATTTTCAATTACGAGGCTATCTATATAGAGTAGACTTTCCCACTATAATATTGGCAAGTCATTTGCTTAAACCACGAAAATAGCTTGCAGATTACACATCGCTTCGTTGTAAAGTATGGGAAGATACAACCTGAAAAATCTATCGACGGACTGAGAAAGACACACAAATCCTTTAAGCTATGTTTCCGATGATTTGGCTGGCTCTATATTTCGATGTTACAAATACCAATCGCATCTTCGGAGATGTCTGACTCCCGACCCACGTCCGATGGGCCTGGCCCTTGATTCTTATTATGTTTACGTCGGAGCTTCATTTCTTCTTGATATTCCTCCCAGCGTGCATCTAAGGCACTTTTCGTCAGTGTCCATTCAGAAAAACCCGGAATAAATGAGCGAGGAGGAAGGGGGAGCAGAGGCAGTTAGCTATCACGTACCTCTAATCTCTTGCGTTTTGATCGCATAAGTCTGAATTTCCTCTTTTGACAACACGCGTAGGACAATGACATAATCTGAGCGTTCCTCGAACCGTTCGTTTGCAGCTTCCAAAGCCGCAGGGATAATGAGCCTTCTGTCAATCTTTGTCCATCGTGCCCCGCTGGAATGCCCATTTTTTTCAAGTCCTTTAATTGGCGCAACACCTTCTCGAATGGGGTTGGGATTTTCTGGAAAGGAATCTTTTGGGTGTTTGAGAATCCCTTTTGGTGACTTTTCAGAGGTCGCGATAGAAGGTGGAGGAGGAACGGTTGATTTCGTGGGTGCTTCGTCGCTCTCAAAGTGTCTTTCCGGCACTGAACTCGTTGATTCAGCGACCGGTAATGAGTCGTCTAGAGAAACTCGTCGCCTTGGTTCGTGCCGTGGTCTGTCTTCTGTGATCACGTCGAATATTCTGAGGTTTGAAAACCCGATTTTGCCCTCTCCTCATATCTAAGTCAGTGCCACGGTTTGGACGTGCTGTCGGATAATCTTGGTCAAACTGCTCCCGAGGCGTTGTATAGGAAAACGCGTCATATATAGGACTTGAAGCTGGGTTGATAGTATTCGTACTGGCCAAAGTTTTAGGGACTGTCGATGCCACTTTGGCACGGAGAAACCAGCTATCATTTCGCCATGGGGTCTCATACGAGTCTTTTGGAATGTGGGCAGCACTTTGTTCATTCGAATCGGAGCGGCCAACGAGAGATCGTCGCAGGCTCGGCGGTTTTGATTTTTCTGATCGTTTCACCTCGATGGGCTGTGTAGGTCGAAGCCCAGTTGTGGAACCATCACCGAGGACTGATTCAGGTGGCTAATGTGATTCCAAACTGTCTGTTACCTTTGATGGGGAGACTGGAGATTCTGGGCTTTCCTCTTCTGATCGGCTGTGTTTTGAGGGGAATCAAGGTGACCACCTTCTCTGGTAAAGAATTCTGCCAGCATCCTGCGTCCCACATTAATTATTCCATCTAACTCCTGTTGTTCGTTATAAGGCGGCACTTTGCGCTGTCCTTCCGGCATACTATCAGAATCACTGGACCCCCCGAAATTCTGTGCAGATGCAGTTTCGGGCAAGTGCTCTGATTCAGCTTCAACTTCCGGATCCGCTCCAGGAAGAATAAAAAGTGCCAATTGCTCCAAGTGATGGCCAACATGTCGCTCGAAGGTAAGAGGTGGTCGAATGGGCTCCAGACAAAGAGGACAATCCGAACCATTCTGATTAGTATCCGAAATGGAATGGGCTTCGCACATGTGATGATACCACTGTCGACGACTTTCATACAACTTTGATGGTGTACTGCAGTCGGGGGATAGGCATACATATGGCATCAAGTCCCGGAACACATGACGTGCCCAGTCCTTGGTGTTTTTAATGGTAATCACAAGGCGGCAATATGGACATTCGAATGGTGCTTTATCTGCGGATTCCTTCGGAGCACTAGGAATAGAAAATGACTCATCCCCTGCGAATATGCTAGAGGCGTATGATGTTTGTGACACACCAGACGTCGAATTTGTCTCAAGGAAGTGGAGGTGATCCATGCCATCGGCCAGTGTCATTTCCGTAGCCACCGTTTCAGAAAGAAAGTTGGATTCCGCGTCTCCGTGATTTAATAGGCCTTGGCCCAGTTTTGCTCGGTGCCGCTCGAAATATTTCAGGACTGCTTTTTGTCTCGCCATGGCAGCGCTTAGACGGCGAATCGTGTTGTCCCCGGCGTCGGGGAATTTGTGGGAAATGTGTTGCTGAGCCCAGGGCTCGAAGAAAGAGGCATGTTTGATCTTCATTCCAAGAAGTCGATCATGATCAGCCGGTTTGCGAATAGCCATGGTAATCTGGAATAGAAGGTTGATATTGTTGCGTAGGCTTTGATAGAGTAGTTGAACGTCCGTCATCTCGTTGCCCTCGCTTTCGAACTCCATGTCGCTACCACTGCTAAAAAGCTCCTCCTCATATGGCTCATCTTCTCCTTCCTCGATGACCTGGCGTAGATTTAATAAGACCTGTAGCGTTCGCTGCAGGATCTTTATCGTTTCACCCTTCAAGTGTGATGCATCCCGGAGCCGATAGTCCAGTGAAGACTGTCCAGTTTGATGAGCGCCAATATTGGAAGCCCAAACTCGAAGTCGCCCTAACTCGTCCAACCAGCGGCGTTGCGAGACTTCATTTTCGAATTTCGCGAGGACGCCTGAAGTGGTTGAATCGGTAAACTCCTTCAAGCAGTCATTCAAAACACTAGCAATCGTGGCCGTCATAGCTTAGACGCTTTACATGCCCTCAGATAGAGAGACGATGTCCTGCTAGGAAGTGATAGGAGTTGAGAGTAGAAAGTGAGGCTGAAGCTGCGGGGTAGTGGCGGGCTCAGGACTCAAACAGTCTCACTCTTTCGCTGTCATTCTTTTTCACCTCTCAGTACTGAGTGGTCGCTGGTCTAATTTCACTTGCTTGAGCGATGGTGACGGGAATAGAAGCCACTGGTGTGGCGTTGGCCATTCTTCCCTTGCTTGTGAACCAACTGGACAACTATGCGCGGGGCCTAGAAAAGATAAAAGCCTTTCGGCGATATAAGTGGCATTTGGACGACTATTCAACTGGACTGAGTGCGCAATATGCCATTTTGCTGAATACCTTGGAGCTGTCTCTTGAAGACGTTGTTGATGATCACGACGAAAGATCTGAGTTGATCAGCAACCCTAAGGGGCCAGGGTGGAGTGAGAGAGGGTTTCAACAACAATTGATCGAAAAGCTCGATCGCAACTATGTTCCTTTTACCCGGACGGTAAGAGGACTGTGCGACCTTCTAGAAGATCTGTCTCGAAAACTGGGACTGGAGACAGCAGATTATACAACGGCAAGCTACCAGAGCATTTCCACACAAGCGAAAGAGCTAATGTATTGTGTTCGCGTAGTCCATATCAATAAAACCGCTGAACGCCCTAAAGTTTTGCAAAGTCTTTTCCGCCGCAATTTACCAGGATCTCCTCGATAAAATTGACAAGGCCAACCAAATCCTGAAGACTCTGACCGAGCAGTCTCAACAACGGGATCAATCTCGACGCGGCCCGGCCAAAAAAAGGAAATATCTGAATCGATATCGAGACAACAGACGACATGCAAAGGCGATTTATGCTATCATGGTACAAAATGGTCAATGTTGGAGTGGTTCATGTCACGACGAACACTCCGTCGGATTCCAGCTTGATCAAATCGTCTTGAATGGAACAAAGGGCTCAAGTGATGCACTCTTGGACCCAAATTTCCACTTGATTCTTCCACCACCAAAAAGAAACAGCGCCTCAAATCATCAAGGGCGATGGCACGAGGTCAAAGTGGTAGCGAGCCCGAACATCGAATCCGGTTGCCTTCCTCAAGACCCTCAATTCCCCGCTCGAACACGAAAAGTACAATTTACTACATGTTCACCGGCAACAGTCTGCATGGAGAATGTCCACACAGGGCCCATTCGTGGACTAGGCTCACCAATCGCCGATTTATGCTCCACCCTTGATCAGTTTGATACCACGAGTCCAGAGGCGAACTTGGATTCTATTGGATACATCAGCAGCGAAGAGGCCACATTCGGAAGTCGATACCACATGAGACTAGTACGTAGCGTTCAGCATGAAATGCATGTTCACTCCTTGCAAGAGACACTGATTGGAACCCCGTCCCTGCCGGACTCTCCGATTCAAAGATCCAATGAATTAAGCCGCCGCGACAGGCTCCATCTTGCCACTCTTCTCGCTTTCAGCGTTTTCCAGCTTCACGGAACATGGCTCCAGCAGAAATGGGGAACATCCGATGTGCTTTTTGTTCGACAACCGCAATCTACCTTTCCTCAATATGAGCGGCCGTACCTTTTACGGAGTGTTCGGAGATCATCTGAGACGGGCTTCAACGGGGCAGCATCCGAAGTATGCACGGACTCGAGACGACGCCAGATTGCAAATTACATTCTCTTTCCGCTTGCGCTTGCGCTGATCGAACTCTCACTGGGGAGAGCGATCTGTACACTCGCGCGACCTGGAGATGGAGAAGCCTCTGAGCAAGGTTCACAATTCAATACTGCTGCGAGACTGCTGCGTGACGTTTACTGCGAGAGCGGATCGAGCTACGGTGATGTTGTTAAGGAGTGCTTGTACTGGTCTAAAAGCCAAGGCGATGGCTTCGAGGATCCTCACTTCGATGAATCCGTGTTTGACACTATTGTCTCACCTCTCCTGAAAGACTTTGACTATTTCGACGGCATCTCCGCTAGGGTATACTAGGGAATAGAGTAAATTCTAGCCCCCAAGAGCTATGGGTCATCTGATGTGTTCAAGTTTGAAGCTCAGTATGAATTATTACTTCCTATATTATTACAGTACCTTTTGTACAAAGCCATATTATTGGTTGAGGTTGATGTGGAAACACCGGGAAGCAACGGAAGCACCAGATAATACAAGGCTGAATGTGCGTCAAAGGACGAAGCTTGGTGAAGGCTTAATATGAGAAAGAGTTTGTCTAACGGACTTGGAAATGGGACGGAGTCTGCTATATACTTTTCCCCTTGCCGCAATTGTCGCTGATCTTCAGTCAACTTGCCAATTATGACGGACCGCCGAGACCGGCTTCATAACGCCGAGGTCCATGTCCAGCACTAAAGTGACCCATTAATGAAGTTACATGTACAAATGCGCGTCATCCGAGGAAATTCCGGGCCATCTATTGGGATAGATATTGTGTAGGCTCCGATGAAGTTGCTCCATTCGTTTTGGTGGGAGGATGCGGCCTCTGATAGGGAATTCGGACAGCAACAGTTATCTTTTAATATGGAAATTCAGTTAGAGATCCTCCAATTTGCCTATATATACGCTCGCAGTTTCGCTTCGAGCCGAAACGGCTGTGTTGACAACGAACTCTTGGCAGATCTGATAACTTCCAGAATTTTGCGCATTTTTTCGGCTCTTGGCGTGGCTGAATGTTGTTGGCTATGAATGCCCAAGTCCCACTATTAATTTCCTACCAAGACGCCAAGCGAAGCTTGGAGCAGCTAAAATGCGACGCCACGGGCATTCGACCTTTATGAGGTAAAGATCTCGCTAGACAAGCTTACGCGGTGATCTGATTAGATCTCGCTACCGGCCGACGCCGGTTGTCTCTGTCACCGGTGGAGTTAGGGCCCACGGGGATGGACTAATAACACGCAGCACAGCGGACAGAATTCTTGTTTGGCCCCAGAGATCCACATTCAAGGTGGTGCTGTCCCTCGTTGAGCTCTCGAATGCTCCCGAGTTCGGGTGTTTTATCTGATCTTTTTCCTGGTTCCTTTCTTACATATTTTCACTCCGATCATCCCTTCCCTGGAGGAACAGAAGGTTTCCAGAACATTTTACCTTGAATCGCTGGAGCTATTTACTGTTAAGGTGAACTGTTCATTATGGCGATTCGCCCTTTGATTAAAAGGGCCAGGGCGGTCTTCCATCGGACGAGACTCGATCGTGAGGAGGCTGTGAGTAGTTCGATCGACGTTGACACAAGCAATGTCAATGAGCCCAAAACTGATCAGACACACCCTGTGGCCGATGAGGCGCTTCCAAACAACGGTGCGGAAGTGCCGGGTGTACCATTTGAAGAGCTCCAACATGGTGTCAAAGACGCCGAGGCTATTGCTCAGACCTGGTCGAAGCCTGCGTTGATCGCTGTTTTAATCAAGTATGTCAATTCACTTACTCGGCCAGACCACTGCTTACGCTATGATTCTATAGCATTTGGTTCCTTTACTTCGTCTATGCATTCATCTCATCGGTGAACGGCAGTTTGAGTACCTATGTCGCCAGTTCATTCCAACAACACTCCCTATCCGGTCTCCCCACTGCTATGGCGGATGCATTCTCTGCCGCAGTTTTCCTCCCCGTAGCGAAAATGATGGATACCTGGGGTCGTGCTGAAGGATTCCTGCTCATGGCAATTTGTGCTACCATTGGGCTGGTCCTCATGGCTGCTTGTGACAGCTTCTCTATCTATTGTGCTGCCAATGTAAGTTGCGCTCTAGCAATTGAAGCAGTAGCAGATGTTAACATGAGATCCAGGTGCTTTACTACCTTGGCTTCAGTGGCATGGAATTCGCCGTAGACGTGGTCACCGCCGATGTTACTCAGTTGAAGAACCGAGCCCTAGCTTACGCTTTCACATCGTCTCCGTATATCATTACGGCGTTTGCGGGACCGAAAGTGGCGGAACAATTTTACGACAACGTTAGCTGGCGATGGGCCTATGGCACTTGGGCGATCATCTTTCCTATTATTGCTGCCCCTCTCTTCTTCATTTTGAAGTTCAACCTCCACAAAGCCCACAAGGCGGGCCTTGTCACCGAAAAAGAGAACAGCGGCCGCAACTTCTTCCAAAGTGTTTGGTTCTGGATTATCGAATTCGATTGTGAGTATTCAAAAGCTACTGTTTCAATATCCTGGAGGATATAAGTACTAACCCTACTTAGTGTTCGGAGTGTTTATCTTCACTGCTGGCCTGATCCTCTTCGAGCTTCCGTTCGATATCGCCACCGAGGCCCCTAACGGCTGGGGCACTGACTATATCATCGCCATGATAGTGGTCGGATTCTCGATGCTCTTCTTCTTTGGATTCTACGAGAAGTGGATCGCCCCCGTCCCTTTGCTCAATTGGGGGTTCCTTACGAACCGCACTGTCGTCGGCGCGTGCCTATTGGATGCCACATACCAGCTTTCGAACTACTGCTGGAACAACTATTTCCAGAACTTCCTGCAAGTGGTTAATGATTTGACTATTGCCGAATCCGGATACGTCGTCAACACATTTGACGTGGTCTCTGGTGTACTGTTGTTCGGCGTTGGAGCTGCCATTCGTAAGACGGGTCGGTTTAAGTGGCTCCTATATATCTCTGTTCCTCTCTATATCTTTGCTCAGGGGTTGATGATTTACTTCCGCCACCCCGGTCAGAGTGTCGGATACCAGGTTATGTGTCAGATCTTCATCTCGATTGGCGGATCCATTTTTATCATCGTCGAACAACTGGCCATTTTAGCCGCTGTTGATCACCAGCACGTTGCCACAGCCCTTGCTTTGCTCAACGTCGTTGGTACCATTGGTGACTCTGCCGGTCTTACTATCTCCACGGCAATCTGGAACAATACATTCAAGAAGGCACTCATCCGAAACCTTCCAGACTTGTCCGATTTGGAGTCGATCTACGAAGATGTGGACCAGCAATTGAGCTATGCCCCTGGAACTGCGATGAGAGAGGCAATCCAGAAGTCCTACGGTTACTCTCAGGTGAGAATGCTTTCAGCTGGACTGGGCGTCATGGTTCTCGCCTTTGCGTGGACCATCATGATCAAGAATATCGACCTGAAGAAGGTTGCCCAGGTTAAGGGTGTGGTGTTCTAAGATATCATCACGACGAAGGGGATTGGACTTAAGGATTTTCATGGTATCAAGTATATAATTCTTCATGGCTTGTTGATTACCCATGTTGAAGAAAATTGTCATACGTGATGCTATCGCTCGAATTTTTGAAACAATCCGCCAGATTTAGCGCGCGACATGCTCATCTGTTTTCTACTTTCCTGCATTGAGTGAACAGTTGGCCCTTGGCGCCTCTTGTCGTCTCCTTTCTGTTCATTTTTCTACCACCAAATTGATCTTTTGGTCTCTTGATCTCTATCATCTCGCTCTTACTTGTACGATAGAAAGAAGCGCCTTTCAATATATTTTAATAGCCTTCAATGCTTTTTTGCTCTTTTGCTCTACGGGGTAAAGTTGCATAGTCTATAAAATCGGTATTCATTTTTTCCAAATCTCATCATTCGTACCTAGATTGTCTGCTTTCTCTTTGTCTGTCTGGGATTTGCCCTATTTGAGTGCTAGGTTTAAGTTACGTGTCGAAAAGAACTACCGTTTTGCATAGCGTGAATTTAGGAGCAATATTGAAGGCAGACCTCATTCTGGGTAATACCTAGTTGTTCACTGGAGGTTTTCTTGCCTCAACCTACTCGTCCAATTCTTCTGCAAGGTTAGTATTTTCTACATTTATGCTGGTCATAATGAAGCCCGGAAACACAATTGTACTACGGGAATTTGGAGATTCTAAATTTTAAGGAAAACAATTCATTGATTTACCGACGATATCTAAAAATTTCAATTATCAAGGGCGTCTGGCATGGTGACAGTGAGTAAATTGACAACATCTAAAAAGGCAAAGTAGCCAGAATATCTTCGATGGCGGTAGCGAGCTTCTGTCTTTGTGCACTGTGGACATTGTCCAACACATTCACATCACGCAGCTCGGTCAGCTCCAACCTGATTGTACGACAAATCTGCTGAAAATGCAACTGCCCGTATTTCTCCTGGACACGTGGGTTTACACGAACACGCAAGTCCAACGAATCATTAAATCGGCTGATAACTTCTGCCTTAGTGATGAGTTCATTCTGGGTTCTCGTGAATGCAACAAGCCCTTCAGCTCCTGTACGTGGAAAGTTTTGAATATTAACAAGCTGAGCTTGTAACTGGTTTTTGAAGTTATTACACTCCCTGATGTATCTCGCAGAATCATACATGGCTATGGCTCTAGATGATGGATTATCAACCAGCGGTATATTTTTGATGCGAGGTCAAAAGATTCCTTTGGAAGATAAAGGCACTTGCCCGCCAAAATGAAAGGTGCCAAATCTTTATGCTTTTCTGTGTTTCTCAAATATCTTAATGGGACAAAGAAGACAATCCTTGATTAAGAGAACTAAGAAAACAATGCAGTCATAGTGTCCTTTGTTACCATTTTTAGTCTTCGGCAGAGAATTAACCCAAAGGTTCGCTAAACTCAGACTATGGAGTAGGACTACGACATAATTGCGTCCGCTGCAAGAAAAGAAACAAAACCCACAAAGAGCTATTTTGCGCTTCGGTCATTGTGATACGCGGGGGTCGATCTTAGAATTGTAATAACATCAGGGGCGCCTTATTTGTAGAAAGTCAGGAAGAATTGAGAAAGTTCGATAGCGAACGCCTGCTTTGTGCGTACATATAAACATGTGATTCACGAATGATATCCTTGGCCAAACAAAAACCTTTCCCATATTGGGCAAATTGCATGCGCTAGAACGAAGAGACTTTCAAGTCGCAATTAGCTACTTTTCGTTCGGCCAATATAACTAACGTTGCATGTGTATTTTTGGCCGTTTCGCTGCGATACACGAGAACCCGGGTCGTAACAGTACCGTACCAGCGTCCTGACAATACTTGAAATATACGTTGAACGGCGCTTGAACAGAAACAAGTCCCGCAAGACTGTGTTAAATTAACTTGTGGACTAGACTCGGTATGCCAAGGAGCTTGTATTAAACAGCGGGACTAGGATGACGCCGAATATAGCCGATCAGATATGTGAAATGGGATCAAAGTTCCTTAAAGCCAAGATTGTCAACGGAGAGCCCGAGCATGAGAGCAAAACTGGCCGAAAAAAGCCCCTGCTCTTCTATATGCCTAGACATAGGCACACGGGTGTGATATCCACGGGTCCGCGCCAGATGCGCCAAGTCGCATCTCGTGCCACCCTTGCCAGATGAGAGAATTTTCCCCTTCAGCCCTGTCTTGGCCCCGTTAGCATACTTTTTCGCTTAATCTTCCATGAAGGTTCTGTTTACCCGATATCGGATGATGCAGCACCAAGAATATATAAATCTGATCGCCACATCTTGGCCAACTATGTGTTCGGACCACGTATCTCTCCACGCAGTCGTCAGGTAGGCAGATCGACCACACTATGGCAGCTGACCCTCCCCATCCCTCTGAGAAGCAGGGTGAACAGATTCATACCTCTCAAGAAACTGGAGTTGCTGTCCCTGCTATAGATGGCAATGTCACGTCCGATCAGGATTCACTCGACCAGGAGGCACAGGCTGGTGTGAAGGGTATTCAGGCGGCTACGAAGGTGTGGACCAAGGGGCATCTTATCTTGGCATATGCGATGTGAGTTTGAACGGATCCCTAGGTCTCCCTTAGTATAGTTTATTGATTGTTTGTTGTGAAGCATCTGGTTCATATATTTTGTTACCTCCATTCAGGAGGTTGTTATCCGATCCTTGAACCCTTATGTGACTAGTGCTTTCTCACTCCACTCGTTGACTGCGGCCACGAGCATTATGGCCAACATAATCGGTGGTTTGAGTAAAATTCCACTGGCGAAAATTTTGGACACCTGGGGCCGTCCTCAGGGTATCAGTTTGACACTGTTCATCTGGGTTGTGGGCTTCATCATGATGGCCGCCTGCAACAACGTGCAAACATATGCCGCTGCACAGGTCTTCTCTTCCGTGGGGTAAGTTATCAATCAGTCAGTCCTTTTCATAGTCTAAACTAACTCATACTTTATCTAGATCCCAAGGAGTCAGTTATTGTTTGACTGTCTTCATCGCCGACACCTCGACACTGAAAAACCGAGCTCTAATGCTGTCCTTTGCAACTTCTCCCTACATCATTACAACATGGATTGGCGGTCCCATCTCGCAGAGTGTCTTGGAAGGCCCCGGATGGCGATGGGGATTCGGAATTTTTACCATCATCGTTCCGGTCGTGGTCTCACCACTATGCATTCTGTTCTTTTGGAACCACCAGAAGGCGAAGAGGATGGGCCTGCTCAAATCCAATCGCGGTCCTCTCAACCTGCAGTCAGTCAAGGAATATCTTATCGAGGTCGACATGCTTGGAATTCTGCTTCTTGCTGGCGGTATGGCGCTCTTCCTTCTTCCATTCAGCCTCTGGTCCTACCAAAAGGACCAATGGCGTTCTGATATGATCATCTGTATGATCATCTTTGGAGGAGCTTTGCTCATTGTGTTTGCTATCTATGAGAGATTCTGGGCTCCAGTGACCTTCATCCCATTCCAGCTACTGATGGACCGAACTGTCTTCTTTGGTGGGTTGATGTTTGTGTTCGAGTTCTTCAACTCCATGGTTTGGGGTAGCTACTTCGGCTCCATGCTCCAAGTCGTCTGGGGTCTGGATGTTACGGAAGCCAGTTATGTCTCAGCCATTTATCGAGTTGGATCCTGCCTGTGGTGTCTGCTCGTCGGATACTTGATCCGCTGGACTGGCCGATTCAAATGGTTGGCGGTTTACTTCTCATTTCCCCTCATGATTCTCGGAGTCGGATTGATGATCAAGTTCCGTCAGCCTGATGCGGGCATTGGCTATATCTGCATGACTCAGATCTTTGTCGCATTTGCAGGTGGAACTACAGTCATATGCGGCGAGCTTGCCATGATGGCACCTTCTGATCACCAGCACATTGCTGTTGTGCTTGCTATATTGAATCTTTTTAGTAGCATTGGAAGTGCGATTGGAGGTACTGTATCCGCAGCTATCTGGACCAGCGAGTTCCCGAAGGCTTTGACGAAGTATTTGCCGGCAGAAGTCAGCATGGCCACAGTCTACTCAAACATCAATGCCCAGCTGTCGTATCCTTTTGGAAGCCCGGAGAGAAACGCCATTGCCCATGCCTACGGAGATGCGCAGCGGTACATGCTTATTACCAGTGTTTGTATGCTGGCAGTTGCCTGGGCCTGCGCCGCGATGTGGCGTGATATCAAGGTCAAGGACTTCAAGCAGGTGAAGGGAACTGTGTTCTAAACGGAAAATCAAGGTATTGCGCATGTAGGAGCGAGCTATGTGTTGATTAATTAGTACAAGAAAGAAGGGGTAGTCGCGATAAGTAATGTCTCAGAGAGTCAGAAAAGAAAAATCTCAACTATATAATATCAATGTTTGACATCTAGGTCAGAATCTTCAATTCAAGTTTGTGCTTCGTGCATAAACTGTAATCTAAGCTGCATCTTGTATCTCACAAATTATTTGCCTCTAATTATCCCGCAAACTGCTGTCTTCTCCCGCCTATTTCTATTGACCCCAGTGTGCTAAAAGTACATAATTATTACATCTCAGACTTGCTTAGCACTGAGTCTGAACATGCACAGATTTGGAGACTCCTGCCTTAATGCCGTGTCCATGAGCCTCAACACGGACGTACTTGAGACCCCCCTTGACAGAAGTCACAGTTTCAAAGCCTGTCTTGGGTGTCACTCCAAGCCGGGGAAGACCATTTTGAGTGACGCCTCCAAAAACATGCCACTGCTGATGCTCAGTAGCACCATTCCAACTCATATAGACATTTGTCGTGTTGTGAGAAGTGTCGATGCAAGAAAATACATCAGGAGCCGTGTTGGGAATACCAACCCAAGGGTGACGATAAGCCCGGTAACTGGAGACCACGGAATCTTCTCCAAACTGAGCAGTCATAATACAGGAACCATCGGCGTTGTACTCTTTAATCTTGGGGTTGGATCCGTAGCCAATCAAGACATGGTTTTCGGGCAGGGCTTGAACGGCTCCCTGGGAGGTGGAAAAGATCTCGTCACGCGGGTCGTCAAGGAGGCGGAGGGGAGTGACAGATTTAGTATCCAGATTGACATTCATGAAGATACCTTCAGTGTGGTCGGTGCCATTCTTGACGTCGGAGTTGGCGTTATCAAAGATGCTGATGACCAATTTGCTGTCTTCCTCATTTCGGATGCGCGCGTCGTGCTGGTAGGCGAAGTTGACTCCATCCAGTGAGAAGTCGCCGCCGGTTTGACCCTACGGTAGATATGTTAGTATAGGAGAAAGATATATTGAAAGAAGTAAAAGAATGGGCCTTACCTGAAGAGTCCAGTCAACAGAACCATCCTTAGCAATCTTGAACAAGGAGCAGTAGTAGCGTGAAGAGACGAGGAAACTACCATCCTGGAACTTCTCAACAGAGTTGATGTGGAAGTAGCCATACGGAGCACTCTTGTTGTGCCCCCAGTCATGGATAGGGTAGAAAGGCTGCACATCTTCCAAGGAAATTTGATCAACGTGGTCCTTAGCACTCCAGCGGAACAAGATGTCGTTGGTCTTAACATCGACCTCATAGAAGAGCGAGTCAGCAATCCACCCATCCTTGGGGCCACCCACGGAGCTCAAATCAGCCTGGGTAACATTATAGCCAGTAAGCAGCATCGTGTTGTCCGAAGTCATGGTGCTCTCGTGGATATCAAGCCAAGAGACAAAGCTCGAGCTGTCAACAGTACCGACGGCAGTGTAGTTATCGTGGATGACCGAAACATTGTAGATGCTCTGGTAGGACTGGTCCAATATTTGGATAATACCGTAGCCCCAACCAAAGGGCTCAGGCACACCAATGCCATTGAAGTAGGTCAAGACCGGTTTTCCGTCCAGCATCTGCACGCGGAAATCTTTCAAGTCACCGTACGGACTCTGCCAGATGAGTTCGTTGTCGTCCGACATCATAAACACACTGTACTGGTGGGCATCCCATGACTGATCGAAGAATAGGTAGCCAGGAGCGGTAGCTCCAGACTTGGTGATCTTGAGGTGGGGTGGCTCAAAAGAGCTGGACTTGTAGGTTTGCCAGGGCCAGCTGTCGTTAGCCGCCACGCATGAGGTAGCGTGCAGTCCAGCAAGAACGGAGATAACGGATGAAACACGCATCTTGGATCCTAATTCCGTGAAATCTTTTACAATTGCTCCTTGTTTTTCACCGGCTGACTACAAAAATATACTCGACAAGGGTATTGAGAAATCGCATGACCCTAGCCGATGTCGGCCCATAGCTCCGTACCCCTGTGAGCGATTTATCGCTAAGATCCGATGTGGTCGTCTTCGGCTAGGGTTGAATACTCATCTTGTAAACCTGCTGGCGCTGGCGGCACGAGCCGACAATCTGATAACGCAAGATCAGATAAGATCTGCGGCCCCACCCGTATTTCACGTATGATACCACGTTCCCATACGGTATCATTTGTATTACAGATATTCACCAGTATTTCAATCCAAATACAAGAAATGACATCTCCACCATGGTATGCGGATGACTCGGTTAGTTGGAGTTCGGATGACTCCAGGGATTGATCGGCACTGCCGAGCAGCTGTGCTGATGAGCGCGGGGCGGGTCCGACTTATACCCGACCTCGTGGCCGAGGACTCCAAATACGAAAATATGGAGAGCTGTTGACCCCTTTACCTCTACAGAGTGACACACCCACGCATACCATGGGTACGCAGTTAGTGGCGTCGTTAGGGGAAGTCAATTCCTGTCACCGCTGGCCAGTCAATGAAACCGCCGGGTGTAGCCAAGCCACACAAGCCACTCCCGTCCAGGTGAGGACTTTGATTTTGCGGGCCCTGATCAATGATCTCTAAATCAGTTTAAGCTGGGTCTGACTATCAGATTGATAAAAAGGCTTCTGCCTGATTGATAATTCTTTGCGGTAAGATCGTCAGCCCAGAATCCGCCAAGCGTTGGCAGGAAGTCTCTGTTCGCTTGGACACTCAAGAATGGCTAGGTACCCGACAGAGACTGCCGACCTGTATTTGGAATTTCTGCTTCTAGTAAGTATCACTGATGGAGCCCGGTATCCCTCCTGGAAAGTGCGTTTTCGGAGCATATAGCATGACTCCGGGATGAGGGATATCACTACAAGCCGAGCCTTCTAGCCGGGTAAGTGTTGCCCTGGCAGGAGGGCAACTCACTCACTGGTGCAGGGTGGCTTGCATCGAGACCCTAAAGAATGTTATACTAATTTCTTGGCTAATTTAAGAAGATCCATGTGACGGAAAGTGGTACGTAAGTCTAATGCACAGAATAATCTCGAAAGGATACTAGTCTAAAGTCTGTAAATTATCAAATCAAAGAAATTCAAGTTGTTCAGGGCTTGCTCTCTGCCCATTGCTCAAATTTTGTGCTGCCAGCACCCTTTGGCATCTTCACCATCAATGGTGCTTGAATATCCTTGTCAAGCCCGGTAACCTCCGGTTTGAACACGACGGGTTCAGCAAGGGTCTGGAAACCAAGCTTGTTATACAAAGGAACGCCCTCCACGGTGGACTCTAAATAGATCGGGACATTCAATTTCTCTGATGTCTCAAGACCCCATTGCATAAGCTGCGCGCCAACTCCACGACCCTGATAGTCTGGGTGCACCGCAACCGTATGGCAGTCTATAGGCCTCAATGTCAGCTCACCGGTGATCGCAAGAATATACTGTTACCACTTACAAACGTGCTTCTTGGGTCCAATATACTTTTCTCGTTTTTCCCACAGCTGCTCTAGGAATCCTTCTGCACGCTTGCGCTGGTCACCCTCGAGCCATCCAATCCATGGCTTTATACGCTCAGCATCGGTCCGCTCCCGCCAGTAGACCTGCCAGGTGGCCATGCCGGCGACTCGGCCGGTGTCGGTGTCAATGCATTGGAAGGTGTGCTCCATGCTCAAGCCTTGCCAATATCCAAGGGTACCCTCGGCATGTACCTTGCGGAAAGCTTCATCATTGACATCACTGCCAGGGTAGATGAGGTCGAGAATCACTTGGCCTTTGAAAGCCGCGAACCACGCATCGTAGATGGCCCGGATGTCAGGGAGGGTGGCAGGAACAACAACAAAACCCATTTTGGAGTCAAGGGTAAGCTAATGTTCACGATGGAGAGGTAGGTAGCTTGAAGAGTAAAGCTAAAGATGTTACTCCTTTAACAGGATGCATAGTCGATAATCTTGGCGCCAAGCCAGCCCGAGACCGGATCTGATAACTTCGTAATATGCAATGGGCCGTATGGTATGGTATAGTATTGGTATGATGTGACATTTGCTTGACACGGTCCGATACCCGAATTAGAGGCGCCGTTGTCGGGTTGTTTTTCTTTCTTTCTCTGATCTTTGTGAGAACATTCAGCTCAGGACACGCCCCAATACACACAGAAAATGCCTGGAATTGAAGAACAACCCTACAAGGTCCTCGTCATCGGAGGTTCCTATGCCGGTTTGGCCGCGACTCTGAACCTGATCGATCTGTGTCATGGTCGGAAATGCCGCTTCAATCTAGACCCGAATGCAGTCGCGCCTGAGAAGAAGATTCCTGTACAGATCACTATTGTGGATGAGCGTGATGGATATTGTATGTTACTTCTGACCAAACGCGACATACGACTAATTAAGAATACCCCAGACCACTTGATCGGCGTCCCTCTTGCACTCGGTTCCAACATAGATGCCAGTGACTTCTGGAAAAAATACGAAGATATCCCCGCCCTCCAGAACCTGGATATCAAGACAGTCCAAGGACGCGTAGACTCCGTGGACTGTAAATCGCGAGTGGCACGCATTTACCAAAGCACAGCAAACGATGGGCACAAGATTGTTGAGGAGAAATATGATTACATGATTGCCACCACCGGTCTACGGAGAGAATGGCCAAGTGCGCCCAAGTCGTTCACTCGGGAGGCGTATCTCGCTGAAACCGCGGACTCCGTTGAGACCATTGAGAATGCTGTGCAGGGTGTTGTAGTCATTGGTGGTGGTGAGTACTATTCTATACTTTGTTATATCTTTCTGCTAACAGTGCTTTTTTCCTAGGCGCTGTCGGCATCGAAATCGCAGCGGAACTCAAGATGCTCCGTCCACAGAGCAAAGTCACACTCATCCACTCTCGACAGAACCTACTCTCATCCGAGCCCCTCCCCGCGGAATTCAGCGCAAAGACACTTGAGCTCCTCAAAGAGTCAAATGTAGAAATGGTTCTAGGTGCGCGGGTCCAGGAAACAGTCCCAGCCGACGACTCAACCTCGGCAAAGTACACACTCAAGCTCTCCAACGGCGAGGAAATCAATGCCGACTATGTCATCAACGCCGTATCCAAGTTCTCCCCCACATCATCCTATCTGCCCAGCGGTGCCTGTGATTCAGAGGGATACATCCGCATCACACCCAGTCTTGAGTTCTCTGGTGATGTTCCTAACAAGGAGTACCACTATGCCGCAGGTGATATTGCTTGCTGGTCTGGAATCAAGCGTGGTGGAGCGGCGATGCACCAGGGTCATTTTGCTGTGGTGAACATTCATCAGAAAATGATGGCTGAGAGATATAAGACCGAACCTAAGTTTGTGGAGCTGGCTGAGGTTAAGCCTATGATGGCATTGGCTCTTGGAGCTACGGCTGTTGGATACTTCCCTGCTACGGGTATTTCGTCCGGTGATGAGGTGCGAAACATGTTTTTTAATGAGGACCTCGGGTATCAAAGTAAGTTTGAATCTCTTGCTGACGTCTTGGACTTTGGCTAATTGGACTAGTTTGTTGGAAATGGATGCGTCTCGGAGAAGCTACCGATTAAATGATCATGTTTGGATGTACCGAATAGCAAAATTTGAATTGTTTATAGATATAGAATCACTTTCCTTTCCTTCGGTGAATGTTTCTTTTTGATTATATTTGTATGACATACCAAGTTTCGGATTGTTTGGATGAAATGTATGGTCGAGGACCAACTCTATGTAATTAAAATATATAACTCTAGTAACCAACATAGCTATCTATGTACTTTCATGAGAGAACCGAAATCTATCCATCGACTGCCTGGTTCAAGGCATTAACCCTGTAAGACTCACTCCGTTCAACCAGTTGAGCATGAGTACCCTGTTCAACACAGCGCCCATCCTCAATCAAGAAAATGATATCAGCCTTGCGAATCGTATAAAGACGATGGGCGATCGCAATGACAGTCATGTTCTTGGTGGCCTTCTCCAAGCCATCCTGAAGAAGTCGCTCGGACTCTGCATCCAGGGCACTAGTCGACTCATCGAGCAGCAAGAGCTTCGGTTTGCGAATCAATGCACGTGCAATTGCAAGTCGTTGTTTCTGACCTCCGGAAAGACGATCGCCATTGGGGCCGCAGGGCGTGTCATATCCTTCGGGTAGCTCCATGATCGTCTCATGGATGTTCGCCAGTTGACATGCCTCCTCCATCTCGGCTTGTGAGACGGTGTGACCTGGTCTAGCGCCGAGAGCGAGGTTGAAACGGATGGTTCCTTCAAACATGACGCTTTGTTGTGGTACATAGGCGACCGAGTCACGGAAAGAGATGTCTCCGTGGGCGATATCTCGTCCGTCGAGCTCGACGGTGCCCGACTCGGGCGTGTAGAGTCGTTCAACAAGAGAGATGATTGTGGACTTACCAGCACCACTGGGTCCCACCAGCGCGGCAAACTGACCTGGCTTGATGTTCAAGTCCAGTCCATGGAGGACACGAGTGTCAGGCCGAGCGGGATAAGCGAAGCGAACCTGCTTGAATGAGACGCTGGTTCCGCAGCGGCTATCATCGACCTTTTCTCGCATAGTGGCAGTGGCTTCAACATCAGCTGTGGAGTTTCCGAGCAGCTTTTGTGGGCTTGCTATGGGGTTTGATAAGTTCTTCGTGGATCCCAGATCCAGCAGGTTCAGTAACCGGCGGGTCGCCTGGAAGGCGCGCGCAACATCGGGTGCCAGAGCAAATACCTGGCCCCATAGCTGTGAACTGACGAGAAGAGCGAGCTGGACGATGAAGAACTGAGTCTGGGTATAGTGGCCTGCAATGATGTTCATTGCTCCCCACCAGTATGCTAGCCCATACAGGAAGTTGCTCATACCGTATCCAATTGCGAGCCAGAGGTTAACCCAGGCACTCTGACGGGTCATCTCCTTCATTGGGGCTGCTAGTGAGCGACGGTATGTGCCCATAATTTCGTGCTCCAGAGAGAGGGACATGACGGTTTTGATTGAGTTGACAGCTTCGACGGTCATGCCGACAGACCGGGCAAAGGCTTCCAGGTGTTTTTCTTGGAACTCAGCTAGTGAGGTAACTCGCATCCATCCCGCGCCTAGCAGTAAAGGAATGACGGCGAGACAGACCAGGGCGATGCGCCAGGCAATGATGTGGGTCATGATGATGGCAGCGCATAAGTTGACACAAATGGAGAGAATCGTGCAGACGACTGAGCCCGTCAAGCCTCCGAGGGCGTTGCTGTCAGTGGTAATCAAGGATAGTAGAAGCGATGGGTTGCGGTCATTAGACTCGTGCCATGCCAAGTTTTGCTCAAGGATGGAGCGCAGCGAGAGAACTCGTACTTTGTAGATGATATTCTCTGCCATCCATCCAAATAGAGACCAACTGAGGAAGTTGGCAAAGAACTCAATAACAGCCAGGACGAAGAACATGAGACCGTAGAATTCACCAGCATCGCGGATATTTTGTGGCTCTTCGCAGCCACTGAGCTTGCCAACAACATTACCGAAGATCACTGCCGATCCACAGTATGTACCTCCAATAATCACAGCGCCTGTCACAGCAAGAACCAGAACAAACATGTAAGGACGGAACATCGACCCTAAGGACCCAACTGTGGCAGAGAATGATCGAGTAGTGGCAATGGCACCAGCCTTCTCCTTGGGCTTGGAATCTTTATCTGGGGCTGCAGTAGTCTTTCCATCATCTTCAGGAAAGTCATCAACTACAGATATATCTGTTTTCTCAGCCTTCTCGTTGATTTGTTCCACTGGCGAAGCAGATCGAGTTGAAGACCCTTCTCCGGCGCCGTGGACATTGAGGTTTTGCAGACGGACAAGCTCTGCGTAGGCACCGTTGCGAGTCAACAAGTCTGAATGACTACCTTGTTCAACCAGTTTTCCTTGTCTCATTACGATGATGTTATTCGCGTTCTTGATAGTTGACAGACGATGGGCGATGGTGATGACTGTCCGACCGACGGCAACACTTTCGATAGCTCGCTGAATGCGCATTTCGGTCGCAGAGTCCAAGGAGGCAGTAGCCTCATCCAGAATGAGAATTCGGGGATCCTTGACCAAGGCACGCGCCAAAGAAATCCGCTGTTTTTGTCCACCACTGATCAGATTTCCACTGGAGCCAACCATTGTGCCATAGCCTTCCTGGAGCTTTTCGATGAAGCCATTGGCGTCGGCCAGCAAAGCAGCATTTTCAACGAGGTCCACGATCTCTCGTGCCTGATCTCCATGTTCCAGTGCGGCGGGCACAATCCCTTGACCATCTCTCACGGCTGCTGCAATCTCAGCCAACGCCGTGCTGGTGAGGAGTTGTATGAGATGACCATGGTTTGGAGAGTTGATCAATCCCAGTGCGATGTTTTCAAAAATCGAACGATCAAGCAGACAGGGTTCCTGCTGGACCAGACTGATGTTGCTTCTCAATGCACGAACATTCAAGGATTTCACATCGTGCCCATCCAACAAGACAGCTCCTTCAATCGTATCATAGAATCGAGTGACCAGACCCGCCACAGTGGATTTTCCACTTCCAGACAATCCAACAATAGCAGTTTGTTGACCAGCAGGGCAGGAGAAGGATAGATCTTGGAGTACTGGCTTGTCGGCACGAGAAGGGAAAGTGAAGGAAACATTGCGCAATTCAATATCGCCCTTGACTTGTGACAAGACTTCACCAGAATTTTCATCGGTTCCATCAATGGCGGACGAGTGATCGATATCGGCACGAAGTTTGGTGAATGCGACCGACGCGGCATCGAAGCTCTGAATGAAGGGTGCAACTTGACTGAGGATCAAGGATGCTAGAAAATAACACAATTAGCAAATGAATTTTGGTTGTACAA